CAAAATATAATTTGGAAACATTTCAACAACCGAGTCTTTGTTGATAGTATCGTGATGATGGTGTGGATGAAAAAAGCATGCTGGGCAATTGTTAGGCGACAACCAATTGTTTTCTATGATACTGTTGCCAGAGGAAAAACAACAGCATGATTCAGTAATTTTAAACAATCCTGAAATATTCTGCCACGAAGCGAGAATTTACATGACACCGACACAATATCTGTATGTCCTTATAAGTATCTAAAACAAACCGCGAGAGCCGAGAGATCTTTTGATAACTGTTTCGTCGAAAATTGATGCTCACGAAGATGATAAATATGCTCATTGACATTGCATGCTCTCGCTGGTTCTGCTCAGACGAAACGATTCTTCTTCAACATGCTCTGATTTACCTGTCACGTAAATCTGTAGTCCTATGTTCTGTTATACATTATATAATATATTGTATAATACTGGTCTGATCATGAAATATCTATATACAGACGTGACTGTAGACTAATTCTAGATTCAAATCCAACAAATTGTAGGCAGAGGAATGCGGATTACTCTAAAGTCAAAACGGAAATACATTGAACATCAGTTTATTCAGTTATCACCCCATCGCACGCTACTTAGAAGTCAGCAATCTAAAATTGTAGCCAATCGTTCTTATCTTAGTGGAGCATCTCCTTGCACGTAGGGGTGAGACTATCACTTTTTTTTTGGGGGGGGGGGGGGAGAGTTAGCAAATGTGATCTGCAAGCCAAATTTTTGGCTCAAGGCCATAATCAAGGACCTTTTCCCGACGAGAATTTGTTCAATTTGCTTATATTGTATTCTGTTCATGAAATTGGTAGCTTGTCAAAATTAGATAATTGTTTCCAATTTTTAAATTACTGATGAACTAAATTAGACGTAAGACACGAATAAGTAAGAAATAATAACTCAACTTATTCAATATTCTTCACCATGTACTTAAGTAGCGTTTCTTCACAAAACAAGCACATGAACTGAGTTGACACGATCATGGCCTCTAGGTCTTTATGTCTTATGGTCTCACTTCACATGCTGTGGTTATTACTCCATTAGTCGCTATCGAACCTACACCTAAGGCTCTTTTCCGGTCCTCACAATGGCAAGCCCACAAGCCTGCTGCGAGGGTTTTCATCCAATGAAAATGCTTTATGTTGATTTTAATTAAAGGCACCCACTCCCGGCGAGCTTGCGAGTCGGTTTTGCGCAGCTTTTGCTTTAAGGCAGCTTTTGCTTTTATGCGACTGACGAGTAATGAAGGCTGCCACGAATATTTCTGGAGAACCTTGGGCGGTGATAAAATTTCTACAGGTTTTTCTCCAGGTTTTCTTTACGATGCAGATTGTTGTCCGTATTCTTTCGACATTCTTGTTTACCAAGTCGTACCTTTTTTCTGGCCAATCGCTTTTCGCAAGACGCAAAACCTCAGGACATAGCTGCCATCTTTCGTTTAAACCGTTTATTTCATCACCGAAGATTTCATCGGCCAAATTTGATTCGCACGATACGTGTCTCAACTGGTTGGAATAATTTTCAGTCATCAGTAAAAAAACATCATAAAATAGGAAACAAAACGATCATTACTACTACAAGCTCCTACATAGCAAAATTTCACAATTATATATCAATGTGTTACTCTGTTCATCAATGGGGAAATGCTCTGCATGGATCACCAGTCACATTAATTTTGATAAAGTTGTTAAAAAAATTAAACAATAAGAAAATGTTAATATTTCAAAATGTCAATCAATGTATATCCACACATAATGATAATTCATATTCATTGGTATACCAATGCTCTGTTATAAACGCACCAGACAGACATATGATATGGGCAAAGGCAACAACAATCATTTTATTAGAGGAAAAATGCTGAAATTGCAACTAGGATTCATATTTATATAAAAGACGAAAAATTCTTGTCACTAGCTATATGAAAACGTAATCACGTTTATAAACGTTATCACGTTAATCATTTTATTATTTGTATCTATTCCAGGTTGTTCAACTGTAACGGTGTCTCCATCAATGTCAGTTCATAGCGTTAAGTTTATAGAAACCCCATCTTTATCATGGTCGATATCCAATAAACCCAGTCAATCAATGTCGATGTACACCATGGGTACTCAACCCAGTCAATCAATGTCGATGTACACCATGGGTGCTCAACCCAGTCAATCAATGTCGATGTACACCATGGGTGCTCAACCCAGTCAATCAATGTCGATGTACACCATGGGTGCTCAACCCAGTCAATCAATGTCGATGTACACCATGGGTGCTCAACCTAGTCAATCAATGTCAATGTACAAGATGGGTACTCAACCTAGTCAATCAATGTCGATGTACACCATGGGTGTTCAAACGAGTCAATCAATGTCAATGTACACCATGGGTACTCAACCCAGTCAATCAATGTTGATGTACACCATGGGTGTTCAATCCAGTCAATCAATGTCAATGCACACGGTGGGTGCGCAACGCAGTCAATCCATGTCAATGCAAACGATGGGTGTTAAACCCAGTCAATCAATGTCAATCTACACCATGGGCGTTCAAACCAGTCAATCAATGTCAATGTACACCATGGGTACTCAACCGAGTCAATCAATGTCAATGCACACGATGGGTGCCCAACTCAGTCAATCAATGTCAATGCACACGATGGGTGCTCAACCCAGTCAATCAATGTCAATGCCCACGATGGGTGCTCAACCAAGTCAATCAATGTCAGTGCAGACGATGGGTGCTGAACCTAGTGAATCAATGTCAATGCACACGATGGGTGCTCAACCCAGTCAATCAATGTCAATGCACACGATGGGCGCTCAACCCAGTCAATCAATGTCGATGCACACGATGGGTGCTCAACCCAGTCAATCAATGTCAATGCACACGATGGGTGCTCAACCCAGTCAATCAATGTCAATGCACACGATGGGTGCTCCACCAAGTCAATCAATGTCAATGCACACGATGGGTGCTCAACCCAGTCAATCAATGTCAATGCACACGATGGGCGCTCAACCCAGTCAATCAATGTCAATGCACACGATGCGTGCTCAACCAAGTCAATCAATGTCAATACACACAATGAGTGTTCTATCAATGTCAATGCACACGATGTATGCTCAACCCAGTCAATCAATGTCAATGCACACGATGGGCGCTCAACCCAGTCAATCGATGTCAATGCACACGATGGGTGCTCAACCAAGTCAATCAATGTCAATGCACACAATGAGTGTTCAATCAATGTCAATGCACACGATGGGCGCTCAACCCAGTCAATCAATGTCAATGCACACGATGGGCGCTCAACCCAGTCAATCAATGTCAATGCATACGATGGGTGCTCAACCAAGTCAATCAATGTCAATGCACACGATGGGTGCTCAACCCAGTCAATCAATGTCAATGCACACGATGGATGCTCAACCCAGTCAATCAATGTCAATGCAAACGATGGGTGCTCAACCCAGTCAATCAATGTCAATGCACACGATGAGTATTCAACCGAGTCAATCAATGTCAATGCACACGATGGGTGCCCAACTCAGTCAATCAATGTCAATGCACACGATGGGTGCTCAACCAAGTCAATCAATGTCAATGCACACAATGGGTGCTCAACCCAGTCAATCCATGTCAATGCACACGATGGGTGCTCAACCCAGTCAATCAATGTCAATGCACACGATGCGTGCTCAACCAAGTCAATCAATGTCAATGCACACGATGGGTGCTCAGCCCAGTCAATCAATGTCAATACACACGATGGGTGCTCAGCCCAGTCAATCAATGTCAATGCACACGATGAGTGCTCAACCAAGTCAATCCATGTCAATGCACACGATGGGTGCTCAACCCAGTCAATCAATGTCAATGCACACGATGGGTGCTCAACCAAGTCAATCCATGTCAATGCACACGATGGGTGCTCAACCCAGTCAATCAATGTCAATGCACACGATGAGTGCTCAACCAAGTCAATCAATGTCAATGCACACGATGGGCGCTCAACCCAGTCAATCAATGTCAATGCACACGATGCGTGCTCAACCAAGTCAATCAATGTCAATGCACACGATGGGTTCTCAACCCCGTCAATCAATGTCAATGCACACGATGGGTGCTCCACCAAGTCAATCAATGTCAATGCACACAATGAGTGTTCAATCAATGTCAATGCACACGATGGGTGCTCAACCCAGTCAATCAATGTCAATGCACACGATGGGTGCGCAACGCAGTCAATCAATGTCAATGCATACGATGAGTGTTCAACCTAGTCAATCCATGTCAATGCACACGATGGGTGCTCAACCCAGTCAATCAATGTCAATGCACACGATTGGTGCTCAACCCAGTCAATCAATGTCAATGCACACGATGGGTGCTCAACCCAGTCAATCAATGTCAATGCACACGATGGGTGCTCCACCAAGTCAATCAATGTCAATGCACACAATGGGTGCTCAACCCAGTCAATCAATGTCAATGCACACGAAGGGCGCTCAACCCAGTCAATCAATGTCAATGCACACAATGAGTGTTCAATCAATGTCAATGCACACGATGGGTGCTCAACCCAGTCAATCAATGTCAATGCACACGATGGGTGCGCAACGCAGTCAATCAATGTCAATGCATACGATGAGTGTTCAACCTAGTCAATCCATGTCAATGCACACGATGGGTGCTCAACCCAGTCAATCAATGTCAATGCACACGATGGGTGCTCAACCCAGTCAATCAATGTCAATGCACACGATGGGTGCTCAACCCAGTCAATCAATGTCAATGCACACGATGGGTGCTCCACCAAGTCAATCAATGTCAATGCACACAATGGGTGCTCAACCCAGTCAATCAATGTCAATGCACACGATGGGCGCTCAACCCAGTCAATCAATGTCAATGCACACAATGAGTGTTCAATCAATGTCAATGCACACGATGGGTGCTCAACCAAGTCAATCAATGTCAATGCACACAATGAGTGTTCAATCAATGTCAATGCACACGATGGGTGCTCAACCCAGTCAATCAATGTCAATGCACACGATGGGTGTGCAACGCAGTCAATCCATGTCAATGCATACGATGGGTGCTCAACCCAGTCAATCAATGTCAATGCACACGATGGGCGCTCAACGCAGTCAATCAATGTCAATGCATACGATGAGTGTTCAACCTAGACAATCAATGTCAATATACACGATGGGTGTTCAACCCAGTCAATCAATGTCAATATACTCCATAAGTGTTCAACCTAGTCAATCAATGTCGAAGTACAGCACAGGTGCTCAACTTTATTCAATGTCTCATTCAAAGCCTATATCAGAAACAATATCTATATCACTATTAATGTCAATGTCAACATCAAAGACAATGTCAATGTCACCTTTGATGGAGATGTCACCATCAAGGTCTATGTCCGAATCAAAATATATGTCGCCATTGATGACAATGTCATCATCGAAGGCAATGTCAGAACAAGTGTCAATGTCACCATCAGAGTCTAAGCCTGAATCAAAATCTATGTCCCAATTAATGTCAATGATACCATTGAAGACAATGTCAGTGTCACATATGATGTCAATGTTACCGTCGAAAACAATGTCATTATCACTTTTCATGGCTATGTCACCATCAAAGTCTATGTCGGAATCGAAATCTGTGTCACTATCAACGAAAATGACACTATCAAAGACTATGAATGAAATAATGTCGATGTCACCATCAAAATCAATGTCTGAAATGAAAACAATTATGCCATCAAAGTCAATGTCAGAATCAAAATCTATGTCAAAATTGATGACGATGATAGCATCAAAGTCAATGTCCATGTCTGAATTAATGTCAACGTCGCCATTACAGACAATACCAGATTCAAAATCTATGTCCAAATTAATGTCAGTGACACCATCAAAGTTAATGTCCATGTCCATGACACAGGTGATGTCAAGTTCGATGGCCTTATTAATATCACCTTCTCCGTCTGAACAAGTGATGGTCTCTTCCACATCAATTATCGTTGAGCCAGTTGTTGAAGACATTGTGTTTGAAACAACCATAACGATGGGAAAAGAATTTACTGATGACTTAAAAAACAAAACCAGTAAAAAGTTTCAAGATTTGGCTAATCAGCTCGTTGAATTTTTAACTAATGTCTACACCAACTATGCTGGATTCAAAAGCGCTGAAGTCCTTTCATTTTCAAATGGAAGTATTGTTGCAGACACAAGGGTTGTTTTTGAAAAGAATTCCACCATAACCAAAGAGAATGTAACAAATGCAATCAATAATACCATCACTGCGGGAAATAATACTCTTAACATTATTAGTCTGAATGTTACTCAAATAAAGACACCACCACTTTCCAGTTCTAGTGTCCATGTCGGAAGTTCTTTCCAATCGTCTGTCCTATTATCAGTACCTCTGACTTCTAAAGTGAGTGTCCCACACAGTTCCACTGTTATTATTCAACACACTCCATCACCAACGAAATCCAGTTTCCATGTTGATGTGCCAGTTACTCCATCACCATCAGAATCGAGTTCCAATTTTGTTATTCCACTTTCTCCATCACCTTCAGAATCCATTCCCAATGTTGTTGTTCCAGCTACTCCATTACCAACAGAATCCAGTTCCAATATTGTTGTTCTAGTTAGTCCATCATCATCAGAATCCAGTCCCAATGTTGTTATTCCAGTAACTTCATCACCATCAGAATCCAGTTCCAATATTGTTGTTTCAGTTATTCCATCACCATCAGAATCCAGTCCCAATGTTGTTATTCCAGTTACTCCATTACCAACAGAATCCAGTTCCAATATTGTTGTTCTAGTTAGTCCATCATCATCAGAATCCAGTCCCAATGTTGTTATTCCAGTAACTTCATCACCATCAGAATCCAGTTCCAATATTGTTGTTTCAGTTATTCCATCACCATCAGAATCCAGTCCCAATGTTGTTATTCCAGTTACTTCATCACCATCAGAATCCAGTTCCATTGTTGGTGTTCCAATTACTCAGTCACCCTCAGAATCCAGTTCCAGTGTTGTTGTTCCAGTTACTCCCTCACCTTCAGAAACCAGTTCCAGTGTTGTTGTTCAAATTACTCCTTCATCTTCAGAATCCAGTTCCAGTGTTGTTGTTGTTCCAGTTACTCCATCACCATCGGAATCTAATTCCAGTGTTGTTGTTCCAATTACTCAATCACCATCGGAATCCAGTTCCAGTGTTGTTGTTCCGGTTACTCCATCACCATCTGAGTCCAGTTCCAGTATTTTTGTTGTTCAAATTACTCCTTCATCATCAGAATCCAGTTCCAGTGTTGTTGGTGTTTCAATTACTCAATCATCATCCCATTCCGGTTCCAGTGTTGTGGTTCCAACTACTCCATCACCATCGGAATTCAGTTCCATTGTTGGTGTTCCAATTACTCAATCACCATCAAAATTCAGTTCCAATGTTGTTATTCCAGTTACTTCATCACCATTTGAATCCAGTTCCATTGTTGATGTTCCAATTACTCAATCACCATCAGAATCCAGTTCCATTGTTGTTGTTCCAGTTCCTCCATTACCATCAGAATCCAGTTACATTGTTACTATTCCAATTACTCAAACACCATCAGAATCCAGTTCCAATGTTGTTGTTCCAGTTACTTTATCACCATCTGAATCCAGTTCCATTCTGGTGTTCCAATTACTCAATCACCATCAGAATCCAGTTCCATTGTTGTTGTTCCAGTTCCTCCATTACCATCAGAGAATCCAGTTACATTGTTACTATTCCAATTACTCAAACACCATCAGAATCCAGTTCCAATGTTGTTGTTCCAGTTACTTTATCACCATCTGAATCCAGTTCCATTGTTGGTGTTCCAATTACTCAATCACCATCAGAATCCAGTTCCATTGTTGTTGTTCCAGTTCCTCCATTACCATCTGAATCCAGTTACATTGTTACTATTCCAATTACTCAATCACTATCAGAATCCAGTTCCAATGTTGTTGTTCCAGTTACTTCATCACCATCAGAATCCAGTTCCATTGTTGATGTTCTAATTACTCAATCACCATCATCAGAATCCATTTCCATTGTTGGTGTTCCAATTACTCCATCACCATCATTAGAATCCAGTTCCAGTGTTGTTGTTTCAATTACTCAATCACCATCGGAACCCAGTTCCAGTGTTGTTGTTCCAGTTACTTCATCACCATCTCAATCCAGTTCCATTGTTGGTGTTCCAATTACTCAATCACCATCGGAATCCAGTTCCAGTGTTGTTGTTCCAGTTCCTTCATCACCATCTGAATCCAGTTCCAGTGTTGTTGTTCCAGTTACTCCATCACCATCAGAATCCAGTTCCAGTATTGTTGTTCCAGTTACTCCATCACCATCATTAGAATCCAGTTCCAGTGTTGCTGTTTCAGTTTCTCCAACTCCATCTACATCCATTTCCAGTGTCAAAGCCGTGACAAGCTCTGTTTCCGTTGCCACAACGTCTCCCACCGATTCTCCAACAACCCTTCCTACAGCGGGAATAACTACCTTCGGAATTGTGATGACAATTGACCGCGATTATGACAACCAATTGAGTAATAGCAACAGTCAAGAATATAAAGATTTAAGTTCAAATATTGAGGTTTTCCTGATAACATTGTATCAACCATTCCCCGGATTTCTTCGCATTAGGATTAATTCATTTTCACCAGGAAGCGTCATTGTGGATTTTGATGTGATATTCAACTCGACTGAAGCTAACACTACCGTCCAAGAAGTTATTGAGCCAATCCAAAAAGCGAAGGCTGATCCCAACGCACCATTTAAGATTTTATCAGTAGCAGAAAGAGGGGTTGAGGATGACGATGGAATGGAAACGTGGTTAATAGTATTGATTGTTGGCTTGGCTGTTTTATTCGTAATTCTAGTTTTGGTTGCCACTCTAGTAAGTAAAACTATAACTTGTTTATATTTAACTTAAATTTAACGTGAAATACAATTCTACTTTTGAAATATGTAAATTTGGCGACTAAGAAACGTATATATTTTCTGTACTCAATGCATGGACCATTCTTAGTTTTCTTACTCTTACCTTTTCAAGATTCTTCACTAATTTACATCTCAGAATAGAATTGCAAGGATTTAATGCACCAAAATCACAATTGGTTTTATTGCAGGTTATTTTGTGTAAACGTAGTTCAAAGTCGTCGAGTGAATATAATAGCTACAATTTGGAAGAAGGTGGTAATCACTTAGCTTTGGACTACGATTTGTACTCCTATGATAACGCGGAAATGTTTTCAAAAGCTGCATCAACGCAAGTAAGTCGAACTCAACAGATATTGCTTATAAATGGTCTAAGGGTCGAAAATTCAGGACGTATGTGATTCACGAAGTCATCCCTTTATATTCCTGGCAGATTTATAACGATAGGGGTTTGAGTAAGCTTATTCACATGCATATGATGTACTATGAGCAATACATCTTTGGAAAACAAGTAAAATTTTAGAAATTTCTGGAAGTTTCGCAAATTTAGAGTGAAAGAGTCTCGCCTGCTTCAGTCAGGAAGAGGGATGGGCACGTCCCTATTTTTTAATGTTGAGTCGTACTCAGGGGCGCACATTAAGAAAATAAATATTTTGAGCCGCAAGGTTCATGCATGCTGCATTAATTATTCCAGTCAAAAACTGGAATAATTAATCATTGGATTTAAGCCGGATCGACTTCCCAAACGGGTTTCCAGACGGATCGACTTTCTTGGTCTCATACATGCAAGACCGACCGGACCGACTCGCTGAGCTCCCCCATCACACACATGCACACACTCCAAATGTGAATCCTCGGTCGTGCATATATTGTTGTTAGTTGGGAATCGTTTCCGATCCACCTGACAGGAAAGTATGCTTTTTGAGAATTTTTTAAAACTTAAATTTTCTTCGTTCATTTTTAGGGCTACTCAGAGCCAGACGTAATAATCGTCGAGAAAGATACTTTTCTCTAATTGCGAAATTTTATAGCAATGTCGTTCATTCACGTGTAACTATATATTTATTAAAGAACGAAAATGGAGGAACTAGTGAGTATCGAGAGGTGCGAGCAACCTCGATAAAATATTAGATGTTGCACTGAGTTAAGATTTAATATGATAGGATTGAGTATAGGAGCTCCACAGAGATGAATGTAGCGGCTAATATGCCAGAGGACCTATAGTTGACTCATTTTTCCATCAACTGTTACGGGCTTGAATTTCAAGTGTGTATAATACCACTCGAAATTAAGACCCTTTAAACCTCTAGAATATTCCTGCATATATATTATATATTACTTTTTGCATAATAGACCAATTTTTTATTTATGTAGCGAAAAGGGAATTCCCGAAAAGAGCATACTAAATTTAGTAAATTTTTATTATTTAGTAAATTTTCTATTATGCAAAAGGTTCATTACTTTAGGTTGGCTGCATGCGTTCATAGATGTCTTTACTTGCGTAAATTTTCCAAAATAATTTCCGAGTATCGAGCTCCTATATTAACCTATATTTGTAGTGTCTAACAGAAATGGTATTTATATAATTCGTATATATTTAATTAGAATGGCGTGTATCTACGCGAACGTGTAATACTAATCTTATGCATGTGTAAGTTAACCAGAAAGTAGTTGGACCGAAAAACAAAACATTTGAAAGAATAGTATAAATCAACATGTGCTTGTATAATTTACTCTTGCTGAATTTCAGTGACTCTTAGTATTACTATCCTATTACTGCATGAATTAAACTGATGAAGCTTGAAAGTGTATCTTCGCTACACCTTGCCCCCTCCCCCCCCCCCCCTACACGTCAACGGCAAGAGAGGATCGAGGCAGCCCCTGTTGTAGTACCCTACGTAGCTTAGACCTCCTAATTGGGGGTGTATATTCATATATTCATGTTTACCTACCAGGAACAATCGCTTTTAAAAGAAAAAACACCTCGTCTATTTGGAGCCCTTATCACGCGTTTTTCGTATTTTGGGGCGCACTACCAGCTGATCTGAGATCATGACGTCATAAAGCGTCTCGACAAAACTGAGTTGTCATGTATCTGGTCTTATTTGTCCTTATTCTTCTAAATAATAATATAAAGGGTGAAAAATTTAAATTCTAATTTACAGTTGAGAAGAAATAAACCTGTTTTCGCTTAAATATAACAAAATTACTTTCGAGTGTCGAAGTCATATGCAATGAAGGAAATGATAATTCAGTTTTGTCGAAGATCTGGCTTCTGATTGTTTGATCTTTATAGTAACCCAGATCAGCTGGTAATTTTGAATCCCGGAATCTCGGCAGAGCGAGGATTTTTAAGAGAATATCGGCACTTCTTTCGTCTGAGGCTCTGAGCATGGTTATTTACTTATTTTGGTAATATTTATACTAGGGGCAAGGGAATCTTTTACTGGGTGAGGGAGGGAGAGGGGTTGTCGACTTGTCGAAGGAGAGGCTAGGGGGCTTGCGTGCCCGGGTTACATATACACGCCCTGATTGTGATATAAGTTATTAAAGGCGAACATTGATCGTTAAAATAGATTTTTATGACAAGTTAACAGTGTAGGCTGATTCGCATCGATACGCTCGTTATAAAAAATAGATAAAATAAACGATAGAGGGAAGTTAGGTTGAGTCGCTTAACGCAACACTTAATATGCAAGAACATTAATATAGCTCTAAAGCGCAATAGATAAGCACCTCTGGGAATCGAAAATGGCTCTTAATCCTTCATTTAAAATGCTAAAAGTAATTTTAGCTGAACTATGGTACAAACCCGAACAATATTAATATTCTTGCATATTCTTACTTCTTAAGAGCCATTTTCGATTCCCAGAGGTGCTTATCTATTGCGCTTTAGAGCTATATTAATGTTCTTGCATATTAAGTGTTGCGTTAAGCGACTCAACCTAACTTGCATATTCTTTGAGGGGTTTTAGGCAGCATACTCCTAGTTGCTTCAAGTCGTCAGCGTGTAAGAATGTTCTCCTTTTCTTGTTGTTTCCTTGTTGTTTCCACTCCGGTAAGTTAGATTGTAGCAAGTATAATGGTACACGCTACCCTAGGGCAGGCAGTTGTTGCAGCCCGTAGTAGTGTTAGGGGTTTTTTCTTTCTTTCTCTGGTCCTGTGCTAGACAGGTGACTTGTCCGCGCGGTGGGGGATGGAGGTGATTACATTGGTTGGTGTGGTACATTCGTGCCCTCGCCTGTTTATGGAGGTCTAAGACGTTGCAGACCATCCAGAAACAGTAACCAAATTCCATCCCCACCACGGAAAATGGCAAATATATAATATCATAAGTGTAATAAATAATGATAGTTGTTATCAGCATGAAATGCTAACGAACGTTTTCTAATACACCCCAGAACTTTATTTCCAATTCATATCTACATTAAAGTACTACTCCACTAGGCATTATACAGGGTGTCCCAAAAAAAGGTTTGATCAATGAACAAAATGAGCCATTACACTGAAGTTATTTCATTAGATAGAAGCAATGATTGCAATTATATTCAGTTTCTTTAAAGTACATAGTGTGGGAGACTGGCGCTATTAATAACGTAATTGCTGCGGAGCGAGCGAGCCTGAAGCGAGCGAGCGTAGCAGCAGTCTAATTGGCGTAGTAGGCAGTGAAAAGCAAATTTTTAGGGTTGCGTTGCATTGTGGTTGTGCGCAGTGACGCAGTTGTATCAGGCCTGTTTGTATGCGCAGTTGTGCACAAATTAATCTCACGTTTCAGTGACATGGATTAAATACCAATATGGATTAAAACTTAAAAGTCAGGCGTCCAAGTCTGGAAGAGGTACCAGTCCAGATTTAACATACATTCTGTTCTTCATTCGCCTTTGTTTCCATTTATTATAAGGTTGACAGTTGCTTGTCGTTTTGCCTGATTTCTACTGTAATTTGTTTTGATTAACAATATAAATATTCGCGCATTGATGTCTAGATTTTTCGTTTAGCATATCATACGACGCGCGATATACAGCATTGACTATCAAATCGTATTTTAAGTATATTGTTGATTGTTTTGCCTGTTTGGACTTATTTTGACTCAGTGTTGTAATCCAAGTTTATTTCCTCATCTTTGTCATTGCGCCTCGTGTTTCATTGTCATAGTGTGCCTGGGCAGTTTGCCGTATTCGAATTTCATTTTTTTCGAACTGATTAAACTGTTTGTAGCTATTCTCGGTTTCATTTGCACTACGGTACTGCGCTTAATTCAGTGTGACGTTTACTAGGGGTAAAAAGCTCAGTAAAAGCGGCAATTAAGTGTTTAAAATTAAAAATCCAAGTGTTATGTTTTACATATTTGTCATTGCGGCTCGTGTTTCGTTGTCGCTTGCCGCATGTAAATACAGTAAATGATCGAGTAGCAATTCTTTGAAGGAACTGATTATATCTTCGATTTCATTTGCACCTTTGCGCTTGATAGTATTTCCTATTTTATCTTACTGTTAGACCACAGTTTAGTTTGATAATCCAAGTTTATTTTTACATCTTTGTCATTGAGCCTCGTGTTTCATCGTCATAGTGGGTCTGGGCAATCTGCCATATACGAAAATACAGCAAACGAGTATAGCAGTTCTTTGAACTATTTAAGGCAAGACGACGATGCCGAAGGGTCGCCGAATACATCAAAGGTGGATTGCCCTGCAGAAGGAGTCACTTACATTTTTATTTTGTTAACTTTAGAGTTTAGTCCAGACCCTGTTACACGATGCAATTTTTTTGCAACTTGCAATACAACTCTACTCTTGAGAAATGTAAAATGCCAAAGTACGTGTTTTGCGTTGATATTTTTCCAATCCATATGGCATATCTTCATTGACTTTACTGATTACAAGCAGAATTCCAAGTTGCAAGAAAAATTTCACCATAACACGTCATTTGTTAAATTAGTTGCGACCTGATCGTGTGACACATATTTCATAAATTTCAACGCTTTTGTAATATTTTTTTTAACAATTGTACAGTTTTGCCAATCCTGTTCTTATATGATATTTGGTTCAATTTGTTTTTAATGCCCGCAGCAATCCCTACCTTGCAGGTAACCTAGTTATATAGGGTTATATAGGGTTTCAATCGCACGTGACGTCAGTAACATAATCGAAGTTTAAGACGAGGACGTGGGGAGTTATGGAGCAGTGTGTGATAGTGAAGTGTGACGTGAGCAGCCCGTGCGCTTATTGGGATTTTGTGTTATTGGAATAAATTGTGATTGCGTCGAAGATCACATCTTGGCGAAGGTAGCATTTTTGACAATAGCACATTGGTAGATGTTTCTAAATTATGCAACAAATGAACAAAATATCCCGTATAGCAAGCAAATAAAATTATTTTGCATGATTTTCTCGCGTTAGATAAACTGATTTAATTTCAATAAATCATCGCGCGAATGTGTAATGCATAGCATGCATAATGCTCCATCATAGGCAGCCCAAATATGCGTGATAATTTCTACGCGAGAAATTTTTCGGCAATTTGTCAACATGGTGTAGTTAACAAATTGCCTAAAATTTTTTCACGTTCAAATTATTAGACATGTTTGGGCTGCCTAAGATTTCATTGTTGAGTGTATACTGTGCGTGCTTCAGTTAAGAGAAGAATAATATTTTTATACGACCGGTGCATTTGAAAATATTTGACGGACAACCCGAAATATGGTTCCCATCTTGAACGAATTAATTTTCTTATGAAATACAACCAGAACATATCAAATTCTGATATGGCTTTCCTGTAGCTAATAAAACTTGTTTCATAGTTTACCCAATTTTACCAGTTTTTAAGCTGTCAATAAGGCCGAGCACGAATGAAATTGGTTCTGGTATTTTGCCGTGCCGATAAATTCAGTGTAGTGTAAACGGGGCTTAAAGGTATTTTGTCAACTGGGTATTTTGAATGAGCCTTCAGGATTATTGGAATGCGCCAATCTTAGGTGTTTGTCTATGGAATAGCTTCTCTCCAAGCCTGTTAACGAGTTTTCGTCGAATTCGATTATAGAATTTGCCTTGGATAGAAATGTTAGTAGTTCCTCAAAAAGAAGCTTTTGGGAAAATAAAGCCCCGTGGTACCAATCTCGAAACTAGAGCCCGGGATCCAGGGGACCCTAAATGTACTAGAAATAGTACTCTAGAGAAATAGTACCTATTTTCTAGAAATAGTACCCTAGAAATTTACTAGAATAGTACCCTAAATGTAGCCGGTACCAGGTGCGACGACCATACCTATATATGGTCGCGAGAGAAATGAGAAAAATTTATCTCGCCTTTCTGGTCAGCGACAAAAATCACAAAATCCTAGGAGCGTATTCAAATTTTGTGCTTCTTCAAATCTGTTATTTCAGATGAGCGTCAAATCAGTGTATAAATTCTGTAATATATTACACACTGTTCAACACCACTGTGTTCATAGAGTGAATAAAAGATATTTTTATTTTATACTCAGTCTCTGCGACTTGGTGTCAAAGTCTAAGCGGAAGTCACGGTTTACAGGTCACGCCATCGCCAACACACCGGAACAAACATTATCGGATGCCATCCTTTCGCTTTTTCCTTAGAATTAGAAATTTACAAAAAGTTTATGGAATTTCTCTTTTTTAATACTTTTTTAAAAGACCTTTCAAGGTCTTGAAACAAAGTTTGAAAAAACTCTTGTTGAGAAAAGTCCATAGATTTGGGAAAGGCTGTTGTAAGTGCAAGTGAAATTAAGAAATTTTAGACGAATCCCAAGGAATTTGTCAGATCCAAGCAAGGAATATCAAAACTTGATCGCGAAAAGCACTACACCGGAAGTAAATACTCTTGTCTCTTCAAAGTTAACGTCTGTTTACCTCTCGTGATATTCATCATATCTGTGATCATACGTTGCATGAAATAAAACGGATTGCCTTCATTTTTACTTAAAAATAAGGGAAAGCTATTCAACTTCCTTTCCTCATTAAAATTTTGTTTTATTTATGCGGTTTTTGCCCGACTGGTGTTACGATTTAATTAGTTTAAACTTCGTTGGCTTGGCGACTTTATGAAGCGACTCAATACGAGCGTGAGGGATCGAAAGTGGAAAAAAGCAATGGATTGCGATGACACTCCAACAATATCCATGGATTATTTGCCTGAAGAAGACGAACCTACGTGTTCATCAGTCAGAACGTCTGCTAAGTTGGATCATCAAAGTTTGTCAACTTCCGAAAGGGCTCAAAATCTTAGCGGTTCGATGGAGAGTTTGGCTTCGGCAACAGATGTTGGATGTTCTCGCATATTAGGAGATATTCAAGCGGGATTACAAGCGGACATTAATGCTGCCAAGGTAATCCTAATCGCCTAAAATTACTAAAATTATTAATTTGTTTCATGTTTTACTCGGTCAAATCTTTTTTCTTTCGCGAAATTGCCGCTAATATATTTTCTTGCAGTTGTGTTTATATTGTGTTTGTCGTGATGTTTCCGCTAGGAAATTTTGACCGCAATATAAGACCTACGATCGAGATATGAAAACCTAAATACCGTATTATTATTATTATACAGCTGTATACAGCGTTCATTTTCCCCATTCATTGCCTATTCGAAATTTATGATTTTTCATTCCATTCGTAATATCGTAAAGTGCCTTGTGTGAAATAACTTGGATATATAATTATAAAATTATTGTTTCCATAAAATACCAGTTGTTAATTAAATAAATATTTGGCATGCATACATACATACAAGGGCTACAGCAATTTGCTTGGATTATAAAACCATGCAATATGGAGAGGGGAGATGTGGACTCACATGCAAGCATAACTTGGGATGTAGGTTAACACTTGCCCAGCGCTGAAAAAGTAATAAGTTTTTAAATGATCTAGAATGAACATACACTTATTAATTATTTGTGTTTTATTAAATACCTTTGAGTGTTACTAAAACATTCTGCTAGTGGCTCTGGAACAATACCGTAGACTGGTAAGGTGCATTGCCAGGATTTTAAGAAAATAAAACCATTATTATTAAAGAAATAAAAATTTCTTTTATAAAAACATCAAAATATCATATATGTTCAAACCATATTTTCCACACTTCCCACTAAAAATCTGTCCATTTGTCTATGGCTTTGTTAACATCAATTTTATCTGACTTTCACTTTTTACACTTTTATGTGCATATCTCCTTTATAGCTTTTGGATTGATGATTCTCTATCATTCATCAGTTTGACAACCCTACAATGTATACTTTTTTTGTGTATAGCAAAGATGCTTCCCTATGTATTTTAAATTAAGGCATGGCACTTAATAGACCTTTTCGGTAATTACAGCATAAAATGAAACATGAACAGCATAAAAAAGTGTTAGTTTGTCTTAAAGTATGCCTTGGGGAAGTATGGATGGTTGAGGCAGTTCAGGTCCTCATCATACCTGACCATAAGTTATAAATACCTTGCATGTGTGATCAATAATCTGAGGTTTATTAGCCATATAACAGTTTCCAACATTAAATTAAGGCTAATGGAGGGAGTTCACATATGAACATGCAATATAATTCATTTCTGGATATAAACAGAGACATCTGACATTGACAGCTTTATATATAACTTGCAGTGTACAATAGCTGGCGTTTCTTTGAATTCAAGGCAAGCCAAGGCTGATATCACCACTCACTTGATTGACCTGTAGTTATATAGGCTCATTTTTCCAGAATCCTGGAGGGTTCCATTTCAGGTTCCTTTAATCCATCTTTGTAAAAGATCTTGATCTTGTCCTATATGGACACAAAACAGAACACAGTCAATAAGTTTAACTTTTTTGTAAATACATGGAGTCATACTTTCATTTGTTTCATACAGTAAACTGAATGTCAACATATCAAATATTGTGTTATATATCATTTCTATCTATATGTTACCAATCATTTGGATAACAGAATCATTATTCAAATTATTATTTGTTAGGTTGTTGATCTATATATTGGTATTATAGTGACAAAAGCCAAGGTTTTAGTTTACCCAAAAAGATACCCTGAGTATAAGATTGTGTCTTAGTTTCTCCATTAGTGCTCAATCCCTGGGAGTGTCTTGGTCTTGCATGTGTTTTCCTGTTTATATGGTCATTGCCCTTGCCCAGACGTCATTACCCATGCATTTAGGGACTTTTATTGTTGTATATTAACTAGCCTGTAGTCTCTTTTAACAAAATGAATAAATTCTAGTTGTTATTTGCTTTAAAATCTAGAGTACGTATGTATACTTTTTTTTTTAATCTCTCTTGTTCAAAGCAAATATAATCGTGAATCATGATTGATGGCTATTCTGTTCAGTTTCCATGTTGGAAAATGAAATTAAACCAGAAAAAATGAGGAACTAGGAACTATGTTCATAATTAATTGTACATTCGCAATAAACTACAGGGTTAAGCTAATGACTGCTCCTAAGGCCCGGTTTAAACTTTCAACGTTCCTGTGACCCACAGTAGGAGTTTCGCATTTGAATTTGTACGAAATATTAGAATGAAATAGACTGTGTTATATTTGCCTTGCATTTTTTCGGCAAATACTTTAATAATGTAAAGCAGGCAATGTAAACTATACTTACTCTTTCTGATTTCAGGCATTGCTTGGTAGAGGAGAGGAGAACTTGCAAGTAATGTTTCAAAATGTCAAGGAGCGTATTCACGTGAAGGAAGCCGCTGAGCAAGCGGAACGTTTAGCACGACAAGTAATTGAAGTTGGAAAACGAGGATGGCGTGTCGTGGCACACTGGGAGCTACCAGAATGGCTTCGAGATAATGATTTCATTGATCACGGACATCGACCTCCGTTGGAATCATTTCGACTGTGCTTTAAAAGTATTTTTCGCATTCATACAGAGACTGGAAATATTTGGACACATTTACTTGGATTCATTGCATTTGTGTGCGTCACATTGTATTTTTTCCTACGACCTGTGTCGATAACGAATCCTTTCCCAAAAGACGCAACGGAGAAAGTTGTTTTTGGTTCGTTCCTTGGTGGGGCATTATTCTGTCTTGCTTTCTCCACGCTTTACCATACGATGGACTGTCACTCGGACAAGATCTCGAACCTATTTAGCAGGTGAGTCGTAGTCTTGGAGCTCTTTCCACACGATCCAATTTTCTCGGATCTAATTCACTTCTTACGTAATATGGAATATATAGTTATTGATAAGCAGTACTGCGTTAGTTTTAGTTGATTTACTGCTCATAATACTTTGCAAGTCGACACAATAGAAAATTTCCATCAGAAGTGAATTGGATCCGATATTGGATCGTATGATATCATGAAAATATAAAACTCGATCCTTTTTTTCGAGCAAAGTGAGGTCTGTATGATTGGGGTAAAACAAACCATGGGTCCCTAGCGGCTGTTTTCGTGTCATGTCCGCGACCGGAGATTTGGTGCGTGACTAAACTTGCTACTTACTTTTGTAGAGCAGTTACTTTAGAATGCACAGTTTGCAGACATAATGCAATTGGAAAGAAAAACGTCAATAAACATTTCCCGAGATGAGAAGCATTTTTCCAATAGCCAGGGTTAAATACAACCTGTTAATGTACAAATTAGACCCTGTTCAGATAATTTCACGACAGATGTCTAATTTAAAAGAAAAATCAACCAAATCCAACGCGAAAAACCAAAATGAGAACTTTGTTTGACAGTCGACAAGGTTGAACTTCTCCTAAATGTTGTTGTGGATTATAAAAGTGAAAAGAACAGTGGGATTGAATAACTAAACACTCAGACATTATGGAGATGTTTTTCGGCCAGTATCTTTCCATCGAAAATTCTTAAATAAAACTTATCTTACATCAAAACTTTAAGCAATACGGATAGAATAACGATCTGCTGTCGATATAGCGAGAAAAAGAGTAGTCACTAATTTGCGATAATGAAAAAAGATTATAGCACCATGTCGATCTTTAAAGAGTAGTTTTGCCAATTTAAAGCAGTTATAAAGACAATTTTGAAGCGTTGTACAGTGCATGTCACATCAATTTGGTGCATGAAGATTGGCTTTCTTTCGAGGTTTTTTCGTCTTCCGCCAGCCTTTTTACTTGTCACCAAAGCCACGAAATTCTCTGCAAATGAAAAGATAGTGACATATTGATACAAAATTGGTCTTGCCCAGAAAGGAAGTTTCATATTTATAACAGAAGCTTGACCTGGCAGACACGCGGGTACTGTACATACGTTAAGCCTCGGCATTTTCCATCGTTTACAATCCGTACGGTTCCCCAGTCAGAGATCCAGTATAGATCTAAAACACAATATGAACTACTGTATTGACTGCGAAAATATTAAAATGTTTTGGAATGTGTGTTTCGGGGAACTCAATCTTCATTTGAGATACTATAGTGAGGTTTTTGCGAAATCAGCTAGTAGACGGTAGTTAGCTGGTAGTGTACTATCATCAGTGGTCCTTATTGGTAGTTATCTATGTTGCTATTTATAAACTATAATAGGCTAAATAAATTCTTGAATGCGTTTGTAGGTTGGATTACACTGGAATAGCGCTCTTGATCATCGGTTCATTTATTCCTTGTCTTTACTATGGATTCTATTGCTATCCGAAAATTAAGATTGTCTATATAACCATGGTTTGTTTTCTTGGATTGTGCTGTATATTTATCTCCCTGTGGGAGAAGTTCAACACGCCAAAATACAGAATTATGCGAGCAGGTAAAAACCCTAACTTGTGCACGAGTGTCAATTCTGAAAACTCTCCATCTGACAGAAGTTGAATACGGCGATCCATCTCTTAGCCTTCATTATAGCTACATAGCGATCGCGACATTTTTAACAACACAGTTATTTAACGGTAAATTCTTGTGTTAGCTTTTCGTGATTTGAAATCCATGCAGAACAGGTTTCACGTTTGTGATTTTGAACAAAAACGTCTGTCGTCATCTAAAACGGCTCAATTATACTTCCGAGTGAATAAAAATAATCGCTAACTTAACTCAAAGTCGTTATTTAATATTTGCAAAAAAGTCAAACGTTTATCCGTAAATTGATCATAAAAATTAATATGAGTTGCTTCTGGTTAAATTTTAGACAAATTTAGTTGATCTAAAACATTTGATAAAATGTGTAGATAATTCTACTTCAAGTTTGTTTTCAAAACAAGTTAGTGTTTTCAACACTAATTTCGAAAACATCCAAGATGTGTAAAATTTCTCGTTCTCGTGTAAAGTTTCGATGAATTTAAGTCCCATGCATTGAGTTTGTTATAGCTATTCTTTACAATACTGCATTTCTTGTGTACTGGTACTACCCTCTCTAGCACTTTTTGTTGGAGGGTTAGGGTGTTCGCTGTAATAGATATTAGAATGTTTACCAGAAAAAAATTAAAAACAAGACGATAACGTGCTTCTCAGAGCTTCCCAAAACATAAATATGATATAATAAATTGAATACTAAACTCTCAACTAAATTTCCTAACGTTTTAAGTGCTAGTAAATGCATGTCTTAATTAATTGTAACTGAATATGAATGAATGCATGCATGGCCGAAACTAGATGGTGTAATTTGTATAGTGCATCTTCATATATTCATTCGTTATGCACCCCCCCCCCAATTATCGCGTTGGTTGTTGCTTCAATTTTTCTCTCAAAATATTTTAGTTGTGTTCGTTAGTCTCGGCTGTTCTGGCATCATTCCTTGTGTCCACATTCTGATCGCACATGGTATTACGATTGCATTGACGCAAGCATCCATGGGTTGGCTTATATTAATGGGTATATTATACCTTACCGGTGCTCTGCTATACGCAACCAGAATTCCAGAGCGTTTTTTTCCAGGAAAATGCAATATTGTGGTAAGTTTTTCAGGGCGGCCTCAGGGATGCATTTGCCGGGAAGTGTGCGTTTCCCGTGTCTGAATATAGTGGTCTATCCAGGGGTAAAGCAATGCATTGATTTACAGATTTTCAGGTGTTAAAGAGAACATCCCAAGTTAAAAATACTAAGCTTTAAAGCCCCGTACAGATGGGAAAGTTTTCCTTGAAGGGTTTTCCTTGGCAAGATATATTTGCTTGTGTGTACGCGAGCTTTTCCTTGACAAGGAGCCTTGTTCAAAAGCTAGTCATGGCAGCTTTTCCACAAGGAAGAATGCTCGTGTGTACGGCCGTCATAAACTTGGCAAGGAATTGCGCAACAGTATAGGGAACTGCGTAACAATATCTTCAAGCCATATCTAGCGGACACCGCGGAAATTGGTATAGGCTTAGCCGCAATTCTCAATACTTAGACTTCAAACTTGGTGAGGAAAAAGATTTATAAATATTCAAGAAAATATGTCTTGTACAAAAGATTTGAAGCTTGCTCACGGTAAAAACGAATCGTCTGAATTAATAACCTTGTGTATACTTTAAGCCTCAAAATGGCCATTTCACAGCGGTCAGATGTGTATGATGAGCTGTCAAAAGATTGCAGAATGCGTATTCAGAAGAAAAATTGAACTTTTTTAAGATATTCAAAAGGTTTCTCTTTGATAGGGCGATACAGAAATGCACAATTGTGAACCAGCGATTAGATTTTCGGGTTGAAACGTCTTAAACACCAATTTCTGCGGTGTCTATCTAGCGTGTTTTTTGAAGTATTATGATTTTGGTTTGTTTTGAGATTCGGTCGTATACTCACTTTATTATGGCTCATAGTATCGTAAAATATACTCATATTATCGTAAAACCTGTCAAGAAAAATTTTTCGCGTAAAAAAAACTTGGCAAGCTCATACACACGAACAAGTGAACTGGTCAAGAAAACTTGTCAAGGAAAACTTGCCCGTCTGTACGGGGCTTAATCCATAGGTTATATACAGAACAACGTGTATAGTTTTGTCGGCTAGTACAACGATTGAAAAAATAATATCCGCGGTGCCGATAGATGGCGCTATCCAGCTTTCGTATACAACTGCATGTGACCCCATACAGTTCTTAAGTTTACGAAAAAGAGTTTATGCATGCTATGTGCATTTAAAGAAAACTTCAGGCCCTCTGGCCATGCAGGGATATATTTTGCAAGGTTAATGTTTTGCAATGTTCTTACCACTATACTGTACATGCTTTTCAGTTTCAAAGTCATCAGATTTTTCACATACTGGTTGTGGCAGGAGCATTCGTCCATCTTCATGGTGTCTGCCAGATGGCTTACTATAGATATACAGTTGGAACATGTCCTAGTTAGTTTCTATGATGCAGAAAAATGTATGTAAATATAAATCGGTTTATATTATACTGTTTGTATATAAATGGCTATATCATTATAAGAATTCGACATAATAATTTTCAATCGCCTGCAAAGCCTATGGTTTTCAATCATATACAGTGTAATTCATCATTTATAGATGAAAAGCCGGATTATTATACTGCCGGGTTTTCGAAAAAACAGCAACCGCGGAATTTCCCATGCACATTGTTTTCTGTGCATGCATGAAAGAAATTCTTGTCAATTGAGTATAGAAGAAAGTCCCTTGAAAAAAATTCTAGTCGATTGTATGCAGGAACGTGAGACTATACCATTCTTCCCAGAGAGTTCTGGACATGGGAAATAACGTAAAGTAATGACCTATAGTTAATCAATTTTTATTCATGCTTCGTAAACTGAAGTCTATTGAGTCTAATTTTTAAAACTGAAAGTCTTTCATTACTGCACAATGCACTAATTGCTACACATAATTTTTGTTTTCCACGCGTGTTTCAGAATTATTTTTTATCATTTCATATCTTATAATACTTAAAAAATATCCAAAACTGTTTTTTTTATTCGCCCTGGAACTCTGTCTCTCGGGCGTGAACGTTTGGGCTTGGATATTCAAAAGTTAGACTCGAAATTTAGCTCAGTGGAAAACCGCCCTAATGCTGCTTTTCGAGTTTTTAGTTTGTTCATATAGCTATAATATATAGTTGTGCCCTCTTAAGCGTTTGAAAGTTATTCAAATTTTTGCTCTGATTGTGCTCTGAAAACAAAAAGAATTTACAAACTTTGTTCACCCACCCAGCTTCTTTCATATTTGTTGCTCATCTTTTACCAAACACGCGTTGTTTCACCTTTGGGGCCGGTTGTATAAAACATTGTAAACTAGATTTTGAGTAGTGAAATTGTAGTTAACTTAAAAATACACGATTCCGATTGGCCAATTCTGTCACTAACCTTAGTTAACTACCCTTTTATACAACCGGCCCCATGCAGGAATTTAAATACCTTCTAACACAGTAAAGTAACACATAAAATATACGCTTTAGCCTTTACCTTTTTCTGAATGATTAGTGATAATTAAAAAAGGATGACCTTAGAATAGTTCAAAAGATGAGTAATTTATACAAGGGGTCTTGTTTGGGACACGCTGTAATTCCTTCAGGTAGACCTATTTCTTCTTCTGATAATTGAAAGGCTGTGGTAGGGTGGTCTAAGATGTACCTATATTAAGATTAGCATGAATATATTTTTTGCCATGCAGGCGCATAAAATTTTTTATGTAATAATTTCGAGTAATAATTTCTTTCTTATAAGAAGAACATTGACAATTATTCATGCAAGGCCGTATATGAAAACCATGTTTAATGAAATGATAGAATATTATTTAGAATCTAGTTCATAGAAACATTAAATTGTAGTTAAATATGACAGGTGTAAAATACAGATTAGGGTCATATATTAAAGTCAGTGGTGTACCAGCTCAATCATTGGAGGAGCGTATTCATATATTACAATGTTTTGCTGTCGTAATTTTATATTAAAATCGATTGCCGTCAACGACAGTGGACAATATATATAAATATGGGTCTCGGATTATTGAGATAGCTTTACGCCACTGCTGGAAATAACTGTATATAACTAACCAAATAATATTGTTTTAGGGGATGATGTAATTCGGGAAAAAATTAACAATTGTGAGAAAGAATGTGAATAAACTTGAACTCATTATCTTAGCTGAGGTGTAAGTGTGTTTTATTCAAAATAAAACTAACCGATTAAAACGGAAAGTAAAACTATTAATTTTTTGGATGTATACAGTGAACTACTATTGCTAAAAATGATGATTAAGGGCAAATTTCCATTGGAGTAGCTTTGCCCGCGCGGGCGAAGCCCAGAAGCCCGGTCACGGTCGCATTGGGACATTTTCAAAAGCCGCGCTTCGCCCGCGCGATTGAGGGGATCGCCATAGGCATAGTCGTATATAGGCAATGAAGTATAGCGGGACAAAGCTGATAATGCTTATAAGACCAAAAAATCGTTATATCAGACAGTATGGTAAGAAAAATCATCGTCAAATAGTTTTCCCAACCACATGAATTTTGGTAAAATATCAAATTAGGGAACATCAAGCGACCTATTGCACCTAATCTAGAACCTTAATTGGAATGGCGAGCGATTTAGCGGGAATGCGTCAAGGCCCAAAGTCTACAAGGCTAATAATTTATTAATAACCAAACGTGATAGTGACCTTTCCACCTCACAATCTGACGCATTATGTATATGTAGCTTTATCGTACCATACGATCCGTTAGCAACTATATGGTGATCATTGTGTAATACGTAGTTTGTCCTTCCTACTGTGAGTAACGATCGATTCGGCATCATTTACCATCACCTTGCCATACTTTGGTCTGGTCGGAAGGATCCTTAGCTCTTACGGACTTGGTCCTCCATACAGCCTGTAACGACGTTTTGAGCCTCAAATATATAATATAAAATCTTATATGCCTGTGACGTCATGTAGAAATCCATTTTTCGATTCGGGCAACGTGATATCACTTGGAATAATTTGTATACTTGCGGCTCTGACTTTGTTTACCAAAAGGAATCTGCTCTTGTTGTGAAAACAACGCCATGTAATTTGAAAACGGGGGAAAGACTGGAACTAGTTGTAAAATAACAATCTATTTTTGGACCAGGAACTGGTCCCCACACGCGGCTAATCTTCTTGTTGTTGTTGTTGTTGTTGTTGTTGTTAGGGGGTGACGCTCTTTAAAAAAGCCTAAGGCTCCGTCAATTCACATCAGATCGCAATAAAACTTCGCACAACTATTCTTAGCGATATTCCCCATCGATTGACGGAGTTATAATTTTGATTTTTTTTTTTAAAGAAATTTAGAAGCAACTCAAAATTGTAGCGTAGTAATGCGTATAGATTATATTCAATATTAGTATGCATAACTGAAGCAAGTTCGAATGGCTAAGGCTCCGTCATTTCGCTCCAGATCGTGATAAAACTTCACACAACTATCTTAAAGGTTATTCTCTGTCGACTTACGGAGTTAAATTGTTTGTGCTTGTATTCTGCAGAAGATTTGCAAGCCATGTCAGATTGTAGCGAGAGGCAAATTTTAATATTATTAATATTCATATCCTATGAGTTCAAGCTAGAAGGTCGTGTATTTTCGTTGTTTTGTACACAATATATACTCATGACTATAGGACCATTGCGTTAAATGCGTTTCTCTCTAGGGCATTTCTTATTTTTTATTTATTTGTTTAGGGTTTGCCCAGCATACATATACATAAAAAACGACTATAATGACAGTGGCACGGTGCACGCAACGCTAGCTTCTCGCCAGCTACAGCAGCATAGATTAGGACATAGATGTGCAACTCGGCATATTTTAAATGTCTTTGTATTGAAAGCAGATGAAAAATGTAGAAAAGCGATAATTTTAACATAACCGCAAGATTGCCTAGGTTCATAGATATTTGAAATTTCATCCTGGAGAGAAAGATTGAATCTATATTCACCAGTTCCTGGTCCAATAGTACGATCGTACTTGTTCGATTAAGGCAACGTAGTATCACTTGAAATATACTTTTTTTCCGTTTGAAATTTATGTCTGAGCTATAGTTCTCGACTTCTCGTAAATAAACATAACTACAAAATTTTATCAAGCTTCATAAAGAGTAACGAAAGATATAATCAGTTGAATACTGCGGAATGGATTTCTTTTCGAACTACAATTTCTTAGCGCTGTTTAGCTAAATTAAAATCGCGAGATCGCCTGCATGGATAGTATTTTTCGACCTCATCGTAGATTTGGTGCATCTTAAACTGACTAATAGCATAAAATCCCACATAAGTGCACGTAATTTTTTGTGCCAAAATTCTCCTTTAAATTGTAATACTGGAAACAATAGAGCCGTAAGTTTAGCCCTCTTTCCGCTTTTGCATGCCCCCCGATCAGATTTGTAGAAAACCATGGTCATGATCAAGCAAGCTTTTAGAGCTTATAATCTTCGGTAGGATTTAATATTTTTTTATTTGAAATTTTCGATCTTGCCGAAACTTGGCTACCAGCACGTGACATAAATCAATGTTTGTTGGCCATATAGTGAATATTAATATTCATTTTTTGTAAACATACGTTCTGATTGGTCGATTTGTACCACGTGAGTGAATGTTATATAACAACAACGCCACGGCAGTGCCGTAAACTGCCGTTATAGGATTTATTGCACAAACAAAAAATTTGCCGAACTTAGTTAAGAGGAAATTAATGTAATTATAGATGAATCCACACCGAAAAATACTAAACGGACAACCGCTTGAATGTTTTTTAGTATTTAAAGGTAAGCATGTGTTGTTTAGTTAAGTTTAAAAATGATATAAAGTCTTTACGAGTTTACTCAAAATGAATATCAAAAGCATTAAAGAACTCTTTTTGAACTCGTTCACAAACAAGGAACTGGAAGTTCAATTCTGCACTCGGCTTCGCCTTGTACAGTATTGAACTTCTCGTTCCTTGTTCGTGAACTCGTGCATATAAAACCCGATAATGCACTCACAGAGTGCATTAATCCTTAATTAAATATTGGTCAGTGACAGCTATAAGACTGTAAGTATAAGATTGCGTGTTTTTGCGTGCGTGCAGCAAAATTAGTTGAGTATAGCAAAGTAAATAGCAAATTTTTTACAAAACAAAAGCTTCGAGAATGAGATATTCGATAATAGGTCGGTATGTTCAGGATGACCTGCAAATACTCACAATAGTCTAATAAACTTGACATTTCTGTGCCTCTGGGATTTCATGTGAATAATTTGTACAGTCAAAGACAAAGCAAAAGAACGAAAAAATCACAAACAGGAAATTTTATTTGCGGATTATGCTTAATGCATATGTAAATAACTATGTCTATGTTAGCTATGTTTGTTCCGCTTTTTCTGCGACACCCTGAATAATATGCCTTTACTGAAGGCTAATTTCCACTCCGGAAAACAAACTGCGAATCGGATCGGATTTGGAGCCTGGTCCGATCCATGAAGTGATTTCGGATCGGATAAAAAAAGGTTAAAACTATTTGAACTTTTTTTTATCCGGTCTCGGACGCTTTTGGATCAATATAAGCCAAAAATTTCAACAGACGGCGCACGCGCGGATCAGTATCTTTCGTTCCGATCCGATCCGATCCGATCCGCTGCTCGTTTTCCGGGGCCGGTTGTTCAAAAGCGGGTTAAATTTAACCCAGGGTTAGCGTTAAACCTGGGTTAAAATCCTTAACCCAAGGTTAGCTAACCCCAGGTTAAAACTCCGTTGTTCAAAGCAGTGTGAAAGTTGCGGTTAACTAACCCAGGGTTAAGGCAGTTAACCTTAGGTTAAAAAGCGCGCGAATTCTTGCAAAATGGCGGACGTTGAAGGAGGGAGACAAAAGAAAAGAAGAAAGCTCAACTTTACGGTGACCGAAATAGACACTTTGACCAGCAGAGTGCAAGAAAATTTAGGACTAATCCAGTCAAAACTAACCAATGCGGTAACGAATCAGAAAAAAAATAAAATTTGGGAGAATATCACAAAAGAAATAAACGCGATAGGGGTGGCAAACCGCACAACAAGCGAAATTAAAGAGAAGTGGAAGAACCTGACCAGCTCCGCTAAGAAAACGTTTGCCGATGTGAATAGGCAGATGCGAAAAACTGGAGGTGGTCCTCCACCTAAAGAACCCACTGCAGCGCAAGAGAGGATAATCAAAATATTTGAAGATACTCCTCTTTTTACCGGATTAAGCGGCTTTGAAACAGGTACCGGTGGGAAGTGATTGCATTTGTTGCGCTGAACTGTGGTACAAGTTTGGGCAAGTCTCTAAATTAGTTTCCAGAGCGCAACGCTTAATTAAATTGTAATCATATATTCATTTCATATCATCATATTTGCACGAACGCGGCCATGTTTGCAAAGAAATTGCCAAGTTTTCAACTATTAATATTTGTTCAACTCCATTAGTGAAAACGGCTTCCTAAACTAAGATAAGTTTTTTTCTTTCTAGTTGAAATTCTAACTTTGCCAAGACTCTGCTATATATAAATGCTTGTGTCAACACTTTGCATTTTGCAGTTTCGCCTTTTTTTAAAGCATATACTTTGTTTATTGTATATGTATTATGTTTTATTATTTGGGTATTTTATGTCTCTTCATTTTTCAGACGGACAGGATAGACAATCCTTGGAGGGTTGTAGCACGCCCGCACTTAGAGACGGTATCCTTCAAGAATTAACAGAAGTAGGACAACTCGACTCAGATGATTCAGATGAAGATAATTATGATCGTGAAAAACAGCGTCCGATACCACCATCTTTCAATAAGGAAGAAGTCTTTACTCCTAATTGTTTACCTGTGCCCACCACCCTTATCCCCGCCCTCCCTCCACCAAGCAAAACAGAACGAAAAAGGAGAATAACAAACCAAGAGGTTTTAAAGCTGCAAGCTGAAGTTCTACAACACCAGAAAGAAGTTTTAATATTGAAGAAGGAAAACCTAAAACTAAAAAACCAGGCTTTAAGAGAGGCACAAAATAGTATGCTGAAGCTTTGAAGGGTACTGTGTCTATTCATTCCTTTGATAACTTAATTATTTCTATACAGCTTAATTATGGTTGGACTTTCAGAACCTCAAATTCTATGCATGCAAGTGGTAATAGGGGTTGTAAGGTACTAGGCATTTACACATTAAAAGCAGACAGATTGCCTTGTGCAACAAATTTTCATGTTCATGATTGTAAATACACACTCTCAAGTACTTATCATTCTTTATTCCTCCAACGTTAAAGGAAAAACTTATTAATATAAATTTCATTTAGCTGTATATAATTTTGTGTGTAAAGTATTTATATTAATGTTATATATTTATTTATTTATAGCATTCATAAACTGTTCATAAACTAATCACAATTACATATTTGCAATATAATTTATAACCCATACTTTATTGACACTGTATATTAAATTATAATATTTGATATGATAATATTTAATATTAATTAAATGGGTATGTGGAAAAAGTAGAGTGTACACTCAGTCATTTACAAGCTTGAACACATCAATCAACTTACCATAATAGCCTGTGGTTTAATATACACAAATTCATGCCAATTAATAGCTGTTTAAAAAAAAGTGTTTGCTATATGGTCTCTGATAAGATGGCCTGTTTCATGCCCTTGATATTCCTGTACTTCCAGTTCATCATCTTCATCATCATCATCATCCATTGGCTCATTAAATGCAATTGCAATATTATGCAATATTGCGCATGCACCAATAAGCTGGCAAACCTTTTCCGGGTGCATTCTCACTTCTGAGTGCAGAAGATGGAATCGTCTTTTCCATCTACCAAATACTTGTTCAATTATGACCCGGGTCCTCCTATGGGCTCGGTTAAACCCCCTTTGATTTGCTGTGGCTGGCTCATGATATGGTGTCATAAGGTATGGCTTCAATGCATAGCCACTGTCACCAAGCAAAATTCCTTGCTCCAAGTGGTTGTGGTTGTTCTCAAGCTGCTGGCATATTTGAGATGTGTGGAAAATGTGGCTATCATGGGTGCTGCCAGGCCATCGAGCCACAATGTTTGTAAACCGTCCTATCAGAGGAGTATATTAAAAATGTAGTACATTTAAACGTGTGGTGTAATGGCTTTACTGATTCAAAAAGTTATTAATTAAACTGGACTAATCTTTTGGGACGCCCAGTACAAGTAATAGCAGTGTGATTATATATAATTATGACAGTATCAGTATGTACCTTCATGATCACAAATGCCCTGTACGTTGATAGAGTGATAGCGCTTCCGGTTCACGTAATTATTCTCGTTATGATGTGGCGCCTGAATTCTGATGTGTGTACAGTCAACACACAACCAATCACAGACGGAAAGCCAGCTTGTGCAAAAAAGTGGTTCTTTACTTTCTCGATTTCGTTTATTGAAGACGGCCATTTTATGAAATCATTTCGTCTTCTATTCAGTGCCAAAGATACATCTCTGACCGTTCGAGACACCGTTGATTTGTCAACACCGAAACTATCTCCAACAACTTGTAGGAAACTGCCGGAGGCATAAAATCTCAAGGCAATTAGGACTTGTTGTTGTGGCTCAAGTGCATGGCCTCGCTGCGTATTGCGAATTAAATCTTCATGCAGAAGGTTTGTAATGTAATTTATTGTGTTTCTGCCAAACCTATACCTTGCCCTTAGCTCATCGTCGTAAAGGCCGTCAATATTTATGCCACGTGGACGATATCGTCTTTCCCGACGAGGATGATTTATTCGAAACAAATTAAGAGGAAAGCCTGCCATGTTTTATTTGCAAACTTGATACGTTAACCTAGGGTTAAGTAAGTTAACCCATCTAGCGAGGAGGGTTAAAGTTAACCCTTCCTTTAACCTAGGGTTAAAGATAACCTAGTTTTGAACAACGCAAAGTAACCCAGAGTTAAAATTTAACCCAGGGTTAAGCAAATTTAACCCTGGGTTAGCGTTAACCGGCTTTTGAACAACCGGCCCCCGGAGTAGAAATTAGCCTTAAGGCCTAGTTCGTACGTCGCATTTTCGTCGCATCGAATGCAATTCAAACAACAGTCAATGAGATGGTCATGAAGCTAAATAAGGTTTATAGGTTTTAGCTATACTATTAAATAATGATCTATTGAATGTAATTTTTACTACCATTCCAGAAGTTGTGTTTAATGGCTTGACTATTTGTCCACTAAGTATTTTTTATTCACACAGATGCTGAGCTTCTTTTGATATAAATCGCTTTTAAGGCTCTGTTACTCCATGCAACTTTCCTTGCCATTTGCAATGCAATTCTACTCCTGATTGCATCAAATACGAATATCTCTTACGATCTACTATTATAACTACTATATATTTCATAGTATTTCGAACAGTCTTCGCCAATTAACATCCCTCAAAATTATAATTGCATTGTAAGACAAAGTTGTGAGGAAAATTGCATAGTGTAATTTCCTTTGTCGGTGAGTTCTCAGGCGGCGTTTATACAAAGGAAACTTTCCTGTACTCTCCGATCCAAAGGAGAATTTTCCTGAGTGGAAACTGGCCTTAAATTAACAGCGCCTTTAAAGTAAACTGTAAAGAGTATATACAACATTAAAGTGAGGCTTGGTTAAGGCAAATTAGACATTACTAGTATAAGAGAAAACTCACATTGAAATTGTGCCATAATATAATTGTTGCTAAGAAATATTTCAAACGTTGTATTTTCACAACCAAGTATATGTTCACCTCTAATAAAATACCTGAATGAATAGGCGGAAATGACCCACGACCCACGATTTTTTAACCCTCAAAGAACACCTCACTAATTGCAAAACCTGATATATCATATTTCATCTTTGGATTTGTTTATAGCAATGTTGATATAGAACATTCGATTTTGTCTGTTGTTAACGTTGAAAGCGTATAGATAGTTGAATCGAGGATAATCGGCAGGCAGACTACAAAGATTTTTAAAACCAAAATGGAGAAAAACGGAAGAGTTTGGCTGAATGTTTTCTTTTTTCTGGTCATACAACGATCCAACTGGCGGGGGCAAGCAAGCATAACCCCGAACAATAATACATCCTCGATTGAAAGCACATATTCAGCATCAAGTACAACATTTTTAAATCCTACCACAGCGTTACAAACATCTGGTAAGAGATTTAAACCTTAAAATGAGTGTAGATTTTTGCTCTGTCAATTTTAGTTCGACAGTCTTTGTTTGATACAGTTTGATGTCGAAAGCGGCTCCGTATACGATCTTTCAGACTTCGCCGACCGACGACAACGCTTAAATTCATCCAAATAAACTTCTCTATGAGCATGATTTGTAGCATCAATATCGTATTAAAAGGATATAAAGTAATACATGACGTGATTTTTTGGCAAAATCATCGACTTCAGGGTCGTGTAATATTTTATTTCGCTCAAACCAAATTTTAGACCTACAGTAGTTTAAAATATGAAAACGCTTACATTAAACAAAAAATATAACTCTAAATATTTTCTTGACTGAAAATCTCTTGATAAAAGAGAGGTGTTTTATTATTGGTATTGTAAATCGCGAAACAGACAACATTAATCACTTATTCCCCGTTTACACTACGCGCGATATTTGGTACGGCACGGATAAAAGTTCCGGCCGTGCCTCTTTTACAAGTACTTGGACTACCTAAATAGGTAGTCCAAGCACCGATAAAAATTAATGGTACGGGTGCCGGTGTTATCCGTGCCGTACCAAATATCGCGCGTAGTGTAAACGGGGCTTATGTTGACTCACCAGTGCGCTGTGCTGCTGTAGGACGCAGGGACGCCTATTCAGTGTGATATTATTCTTATACCCTGCTGGGGGGGGGAGGTGTTGGGAGGGATGACTAACAAGGTGTCACCGAACTGGCGCCCAGAAAGATAATTTTTAAAATTTGACGCCTCGCGCAAGCATTTTTATACCATTCAAAATCTTATATTAAGCTGTAATGTTTGTAACTATAATTGCAAATTAATTCTCTCATTTCTTTGTCAAGAGCTTATAATTAATCCTTATTGATTACCCCGATGATTAATAATGGACCACCATTTGGGGAACGAATTCAACCGAAATATTTCCAGCTTTTTAGGGGCTATGCATGTAGATTTTCAGAAATTTTTGAGATTTAAAAAAAACAGGTACATGAGTCATGAATGAAAATCATATCTTTAAAATATATAGAAATCATATCTTGTCATACATATCATTAATTACATATGTCAAATTCATTACACATCTTGAAAAGTTTTTATCGGTGCCGAGCCTTCAAAAATTCTCTAAAATCTCATATATATGATTTATTCTATTTTCATCTATATTTTTATCTATATTTATATCTATATTTATATGTATATTTATTCTATCTATATTTATTCACTCGGCTCTAGGAGGTATTATCACCTTATAATATCGATTTTATAATTTTTCAAACAAACATATATTCTAATTTCCCAAACAGCCGGTGCTCGCACCCCCCCTAAGAAAACTTCTCTGAATCCATCCTGCTCAACCTCTTTCTCCTAATGTTTATCACGACAACCCCCCCAGTTTTTTGCTAGCTTCCTACAACCATGATTTATGCGTGCAAATGCTACATATCTTCATGAGACAACTGAAGACTGTAGCGTTGTTGGCAAATTAGCCATTACGTGCATGCATGTGCGGTAAAAGTGGAAATAATATTTGATTTTTCTCTTTTTTGTTTTCTATAGGTGTAACCTCAGTGACAATGACTGCAATTTCCAGCCAGCGTATGTCATCTTCAATGTCAAGTCTCAGCCCTACAACAATATTATCAAGAACACCTACACCAAATGCAGGTAAGGCTTCGTCCAAACAGTACGAGAATTGCAGTCGTATCTCAAGTTATTTATGTGATAATTGTCAGCATGTCTGTAAATTAATCCAGAAATATACCAGTTCATTACAGTACATCATCGGAGTGAATGATGAACGTTGGCAGGTTGTAAATAGTACAGTAAATTTTATTGGGCATGGGCGATAATGACTCGTGAATGGTTGAATTAATTGCAGTTAACATCAAATTGCACTCAGATATATATTTTTATATAACTGAGTGCAATTTAGTGTTAAATCAAGTTTAATTTGATTTCACACCAAAATTACACGACATGAAGTGAAATTAGTTCAGATTTGTTTTTAAAAATCCGATCAGAACAGAAATTCTTCATGCAGGAATCTTAGCTAACCGTGTTCGAAAGGCCAATTCGATTATTTGTCAAGCCTTGTTTTCATATGTGCTATTGGGCCGATTTCTACTAGAGACAGATTATCCGTCTGGACGAATGATCTGTCTGACAGACGCCTGAGTATAGAGTCTATAGACATACAACAAACTATCTAAATTAACTTTGGAGATGAATATGTCAGACGAAACAGAATCGCCTATTCAAAAAGCGCACAGGAATTGGGAAATCCTTTATGTGGTAAAAGGAGTGGACAGGCGCCGTTTTATGATCGGAATTTTTCGTAGTTCGTCCTCACCCCGTATTTATTTATCATGACTAACAGACGGATGATGCGGCGAGACGAACAACCCATTCAAATTCGTCTGAATATACAAACTATGCAGATAATTCGTGTTGACGCGGATGATCCATGCATCTGCTTGTCCGTGTAGAAGACGAACTATCTTTCGCTTGCACAAGTTCGTCCAGACGGATTACAGGGACCGCGGATCTGGGTGGATCACTGGGCTTTAGCCCCACCAATAATTTTTACGTAATTAGTCTTTAATTTTGAATATTTTTTAGACTCAAAATTTACAAGCAATATTTTTAGCAATTTGTATTTTTTGCTTAAAAGCATATGCGAATATGTATCTTATCTTGAATACTATCGTAACTTTTACTTCTTCAACAATAAAGGTACACCACGTACTGGGTATTTAATACTGGCCCCAGCAATACGAAAAACGCTGATTCGTCTTTAGTATAAATCTGGCCATTCTTATGCCGCCGAAATCCCACATATGAAAACCAAATTACAACAAATTATAACAAATTCACGATATGTGACTTATCACGAGTTATTATGAAAACCAGTATACGACGTAAAAAATAGTCAAGTATGACATAATAGTCAAGTTATATAACTTAACTATTATGACGAATTATGTCATGACTTTCTTCGTGTAATAAACGCAGGAAACTTGCAGAGGAATTAAGAATATTCATACTGTATACGTCTTCTGTTATTGTTGCCAGCCACATCCAAGATGACCAGCCAATATCAAGCGGGATCAACAAGTCAAATAAGTTCATCTTCAATCGTACCAGAAAAAACTTCAGGGGTTCCTGGACGCCTTACAACTACAGAATTGAATACTGCTGTGTCACCTGCGACAACTAAGGTCGTTCCCGTCTCTTCGTCCGTGAAGAACGACAATGATAAAAAAAGCGATGACGAACCTAAGGTTGAACTGTTTGTGTGGGAGTTTGTTGCTATTGGTTGTGGAGTATTTATATTTCTTCTTCTGATCGTCATTGTATTATTATGCGTAAGTTTACTTTATTATTTTTTATTAAAAAACATGAATTAGTTTTATGCCTTTATTCTAAATGCTCACTCACACTCAATAACCATACCATACCATACCATACCATACCATGCCATGCCACGCCACGCCACGCCACGCCACGCCACGCCACGCCACGCCACGCCACGCCACGCCACGCCACGCCACGCCACGCCACGCCACGCCACGCCACGCCACGCCACGCCACGCCACGCCACGCCACGCCACGCCACGCCACGCCACGCCACGCCACGCCACGCCACGCCACGCCACGCCACGCCACGCCACGCCACGCCACGCCACGCCACGCCACGCCACGCCACGCCATACCAATACCATACCATACCATACCATACCATACCATACCATACCATACCATACCATACCATACCATACCATACCATACCATACCATGCCATGCCCCGCCACGACACGCCACGCCGGTTTACCGTATACCTTATTTTTTCTATATTTCTAAAATTACTTTATATTTTAGTGCCAAAACCGATCATTGAAAAAGAAAGCAAAATGCAATAACTACAGTCTTCCAATCAAAGAGAATGGTCAATGGATAGATAACCAAGATATTCCTTTATGGCAGAAAAGAGCTTCTGCTTTTGTTAGCGACAACCCCGTTGTTGATGAGGCCCCGGCGCCAACCCTGACAACATAAAAATTCGAACCTGGATCCCTACGCGTTTGTTTACATTTTGTATCAATTTATCTTATTAAGTGTGTTATAATGATCACTAAATTAATTATATTTATCTATATCCAACCTGACGATTCAGTCCTGCCATTTAGTAACACCCCCATAAGGTCTTAGAGCACTTTTACTTTCTAACGTTAGTTGAAAACGTCAAAATTTTAAAAGGAAAGGGTCTTCTTTTCCCTGAATTTGGGCAAATTTGAAAATCGATTCTAAAAATCATTGCAAGCAGGCTATCCCCTTCTGCGCTTCGCCCCCCCCCCTGCCGGCGCCACTGCCAGGCATGCAAGTTTAAAGTTAGTATGATGAGTTATTTGAGGTAGTATATCCTTTCAAATGGACAATCAATTAACACTAATATATTAGCAAAGCGGGAAAAATCGTCGGCTAGGTAAGATCTCTGAAATACCATTCATCAGGTTTAGAGAAAAGATGTCATATAATCACGGCACATACTCGACCTTAGTTATTATTTTGTATAAGGGCGGGTGGTAGATTATAGTCGTGGCCAATTAAAGGTTCCAATCCAATCGCCAGTGAACGTTAGTTATTTTTACGGCCGTGTTAAACAGTGCAACTTGCAATGCAGTGTCACTTTTGAGAGATATATATTAGTGAAGCGTTTTTCAAAATTTGGTACACTGCTTGTTAGTTAACTCAAAAGTAGTGTTTCGTACGTCGGTGCCAGGTTGAGGCCCTGTTTACATGCACTATACCGGATTCGCACGTGGCATGCTATGCTAGTTCACGAGTCACGACGTCAAAACTAGCCACTCTGCAGAGCGACTTTTACCCTCCAAAATATGATAGCATGATTGCTTTAATATGGTCAGCTCAGTAAAAAAAATTTTGTGAATCCGGTATAGTGAACAGCGTCAGAATCAGGTGTGTCCGAGCGGGGAGCTCAGTGATGGTCATTAAATTAGTTATCTGTGATTGTTATGAAGCATGAGGTTAAACGATAAACGTTTTTAAATTTACGTATTATGATTAATTCCAGGATTTGCAAAGAGGGTTTTACCTTCATGCCCTAGGTACGTCCTCGAGGGAAGATAGCTCCATGCGGGAAACATAGTTTTAAGTGAAACTTTATTATTTAACTGATGTAAAAGAATGAAATGTTCCAATGAAGTTAAAAAATGAAAGCCATTCACCATGGCACAATGTTGACTGCTTTATATTAATAATCCTAATATATACCGCGGTTAGTAGTAACACATAGTGCCGACGTGATCATATAATATAGGCATATTCGTTTAATATTTTTTTCATTCAGCGAAGCTGCTCTTCGTTAGCGATGATCTGATACAAACTTGAGTTAATAGCAAGGCTGGTGAGATTCGACATGACTATAACTGTAAGACATATTGGTGATCCCGGGCACATGCATCCCGGCTGCACCCAACAAAGGTATCACCACCTATTTACTTGCCAGGGATTTTCGCTCCCACTGCCACAACACCTCTCTTCTCGTCGGTCTTGGTTGATAGTACTTTAAAAGAGAAAGCCTCACTGATATACATTTTTACTCAAGTTCAATTTTACTCCACATGGGGCCGCGGAGGATCTTCACGGCGGAAGGGGCTAATATTCATATACTCGCGTTATGCATTAATTACATCTTTTTCGCCGTCTGTTAACACCAATACATGAATATTAGCCTCCCCCCCCCCTTCCGGCTCCCACTGAAAGATCTTCCGCGGCTCCTGAACCCATGCATTCTCTGCGATCCGAATCCATTATTACTCTCTCTCTCTCTCTGTTGTTTACGTGTTTCGCAGAATGAACGTGGAATTGGCCTGCTCCGAGTTAGCTTCGTCTTCACCGCAAAAGTCCGAGGTGTATTTCAGGGACAATCCAGTTTTACCAGGTGATATATAGTTGCAGGTTGATGCATCCTTGCGGCAGATCTGAATTTTATAGAAAATGTTTCGCGAGGTGCTGTGATAGCATAGTATGAAACGAATTTGAAAACAACCATTAAATATTTCATTGTTAAGGAATGATCCATTTTTGCACTTGAAAACGATATTCGCACAATGGTTTTCTGCTCTCTCTATTATCCTCCATACAGCGTACAGGCTTTTCTCTTTCCACAACTCTGGGTGCCTTTCTAAACAATTTTCTGTCCCGTTGCATCCTTCGCGTTGAACTAACACAATTTTTGGCACATTTCCTACCAAATGAGTTCGATCAAAGGCCTCCTTGCTAGAAAGGACTCCAAATGTAAACGGAGCAATATTTACGACGAGCAAGAATATAAGAACGATTCGCAAGATTGATTTATGTTTGCCGTTATATTTATACATGGCTCTAACGACAATAAAAGTAAAATAGGCAAAATTCAAAAACGGGGAAACGCAAATGAAGCATATTTTTACAATCGAGTCAAAGTCAACAGAACAGCGTGTGACGAACCAGTAGGGGAGAGCAGCTTGGGCGATGTCTTCAAATATTAATGTTAAAGATTTTATGGCAATGTTAATGATATCAAAACGCCTTTCTATCGCTTCTTTACTCTCAAAAATATCTCTTGAAACGTCTTGATTACATTTGGTATAGCTTTCACCTTTCTGCTTTTTCGTGACTTTCCAATAGTACACCAAACTGTAAATTATTTTTACCAACGAAAATGCAGCCCCAACACAGGCAAGAGCTATGAATGCAACTGCAGCTTCGGGTTGAGGTTTCGATAAATGCAACATTTTGCCAGCTCGATATTCAATTGCTTCCATGCTATCGATGACAATATCATATATTTCCATCGATATTGTGCCCATCAGAAATAGTATTCTTGCTCCTCTCGCACATATTGACAAAGTTCGAGTTTTTCCCATGTTTTATGCCCATGAATTACCGACCTGTGTATTTAGCTAGTATATCGCTATATCACACTACTATACAATGCATGCTGAATAAAAAACGAAATTGAAAAGCCTTAGTGAAAACTGCCAACGTAACAACACAGGCGCTAGTTTTATTTTCGATATTCAGTATACCAAAAGTAATTGTCATGATCAATAACCGGTCTAGAAAATTCTCGAATTATTGTTAGAAAGCATTCATGTTTTTGATAAAGTTCTTGGCCTTACATAGAATTCTTTCTTTACATTCGGCGACAGTATATACTTTATATGCCTTTATTTGAATTTCACTGATGAACTCATGACTTGTCAGAAATCTGAAGGGCTCTGAATAAGTTTCTAATTCAGGCCATAGCCTAGCCCATAAGTGGGTTTCCTGTTTGTCTGATTTTCTGGGCGGGTTTCGGTCAGTTCCGGGCAGGAAATTTTGAGACAAGATGTGACCTATATATGACCTCTTCTGTATGCTTATATAAGCAGGTATTCTAATATTCTTAGAACTTTCACCTCCAGTACCAAGTTGATTCATCGTGTTAGCAGTTTTAAAAGCAAATGCTCGAAATTTTTGCGAAATGTCACAATATAGCACCTGCCTTTAAATCAACAGATAAATTAAAAGCATCGGAAATAACGATTTAGCACCTTTGAAAGTTGAACCAAGCAATGACATGTAAATATTTTATGTATATTATATTCACACCAAGTCAAAACCGTGAAAATTTTAGGTAATTTGGGGTAATTCTCGTGTAAACAAAACCGGATATATTGGGTTTTCTATGGCGCATCGTTTTTTGTTACTATTCAGTCTTTCCATATGCAAAGAAGTGAATATAATTACAAATGTTGGGCCGGGTGTTATTATCTTTATTTGAACTTCCGTAACCCATACACTCGCTCACATCTTTCAAAAGAAGAAAATCGAATTTATAATCGCAGCAAAAGTACCCAAAATTTGGCTTGAGCATGAGGCATACTTCCAAAGCTTCACCTCTCTTTAAAATAGAGAACTTATAGAATAGAATAAAATTGAATATATAGACTTCAAAGAATTAGTAATAAAAATGTATTTGTTTTATATTTTGAAGTCTGTGTGTCGTAGTATTAAATTTTTTCCACGCTGTATACTTGCAGGGTATGTACATCAATAATTTGTTAGAATACAGTTAGATAAATGCCAATAATAAGAGACAGGGTGTTGTTTTCTTTTCTGTTATAGCCTCATTAGTGTGCTCCGTGCAGACTCACGTTGTTCAGGTACACAGTACCACACACCACTAAAATAATATGATTTTACTATTTGCGAATGGCCGAATAGATGTGACTGAATATGACCCTTATTAGTACAGGCTACAGGATGTATCAAAACAGTACTAACAGTATCTCAATGCCAATGCAACTATACTTAATACTTACGTTACTTAATTTTTTTATTCGAATGGCTCACAAATTAAGTAAACAGCAAATAAGGAATAGCTATTATAAGTGCGACTGATTAAGAATGGCGCAGCTAACCACAATCCACACCACAGTTTTTGTCGTGTTTAATAAACGCAAACTGAAGCTCAAGCTCGATCACAGACACAGTCTTCAATAAATTTTGTTTCATGTACACAATTCGATGTCCTTTCTCGTGAGCGACCCTAAAGCCTGATTCACACGAGTGGAATAAGCACAAGCATAAGGAAAGACAAAAGGAAAACAAAGAAATGCAATGAGGCGTGTTAGTTTTCATAATGTTCAAATCATGATAAATTATACAGTGATACAATTATGCAACTTTCATATTGAATATCTGATTCCAACTAAGTTTACAGACTTGTTTTTGTTAAACCCTGTATATGCGCTAATAGTTATCGTAGTTTAAATTAAAACTCCATTTATTTCTGTAAGACGCGTTTTAAACGTGATTTCCTTGAGAGTCTGGTATATTATTGACTTTACAATCGTCGTCAGGTCTGTTCTCAGTGATGACTTATGTCAAGATTCAGCATGTCTTCGGCAAATAACACAAAAGCGTGTCATTCAGAAGGAAAATTCGTTATCGGTTTTCGATGTTTTTGAAGGTGATTCGTATTTACATGCTTTCCCGACCCAAATGATCGGTGTTTGTTTTTATACTGGCCTATAGGGCGGTAAGGGCACCTAATTGTCACCTCTGTATAGTAGATATACTCTTCTGGTTTAGTGTTTACTGCCAGGGCTTAATATCACTGCTTAGTACAGCTGCCGTCCATCAGAATTACGGAAAAAAGATTTTGAGAATTGTGTGTCCACTGCAAAATTGTGTACCTCGAATCTTCTAGACATTCGAAACAGCTCCACATCGACGATGGAATAATTTCGCGGTTGACCGGATGCGATATAGTATGCAAGTAAACTAATTTACATTGATACCCCCTGTTAAGCTGCCACTGCTATTCATATTGTTATAAGGTTGCACGTGCAGGAGTAATGAAAGAATCATAGAAAACAATTGTCCGAAGAGTCTGCTTTTATTCACCTGCGTTTTTCAACAAGAAGAGATTTAGGACGCACATGGTAAGCTATTTTATCCTATAACTTTGTGATGTTCTGTCCGAACTTGGGAGGCGAAAAAAACATGATTTCTCATTGATTTCATCTGTGTTTATGTCCGCCATCACGAGAAAATAAATTCCCGTCTAATTGGTTTAGTAATGGTCCCTATTACCGCACATTTATTTCACAGTCGGGTACTAATTCAGGCTTTGAAATTTCTCTTTAAACACTGCAAACGAAACAGACCGAATATATTGTTCTCACCGATTACTTATTTATGATCAAAGTCCTTTCCTTATCACACTCGACGGTCTTACTAATTATCTGCCGCGGTATGGCTATGATGAAGGAATATAGTTTGTTTATACTAATCTTTTTGTCATGTCGCCTAGCTTATGATAGGAAATTACAGATAACTTTATTAACGGATTATAATCTGCTTGTCAAATTTTGCATCCCTTTCTTTAACTTTTGACATATCCGGAAAATTGATTATTAAGTCTAATATTACTTGAGTCCCATCCACATGTTAATGAGTAAGTCATAAGCACGTAGAAAATTGGGATGTATTTGTAAAGGGCTGTACATTTCGAGTTTTGACCCAGCTCGGAATATGTTATGCTGAACAGCTGGCAGTTGTTTACTCGCATTGAACTTGATTTCGAAACGATATCTCATGCACTTAACGTGCAAGAGATACTGCTCAGATGACAGACCGAAATTCTTTTGCCATTTTTGGTCGAAGCGGCGAGAATAATACTAGCCGAGTATTATTTAGTAGCTAATGCTAACTTTGCTAGGGTCTGCCTGGGCACATTTCGACGGCCTACCTTATTTCAGTAAGTTTGCGTTTATTGCAAGAGCTTTGCAAGTGGGAATGTGCAGTTCTTTCATTAAAATTTAATAACTACCTTGTCGCATAGTGCAAACGTGCGGGGAATGTTTTGCTTCGGCCGAACTTAAGCGACCACTCGAGTTGACTTGTGCAGTTTTGCTCCTTTCTTTCTCAACTTACCGCGGCCTCAATATTCTTTTATCTGGCCTTTGTCGTTGAGAAAATGGCCGTTGTCATTGGCAAAATATAGGTTTCAAATTTTGTAAGACAAAGGTAGAATTTGACTATGCATTTTCACATTACTTGATTTACTTCTCCTGCTGCTTATGAAACAAAGAATTCCGCATCAAAAGGAAAACTCAAGCTGACTAATAAATATTATTTTTGTTGTGTTTTGGACCTTTGGTGCCAATACCGCGGAACCACACAGGCGGCATTAAAAGTACTTTTTGAAACAAATAACCCAAATTAGCTAGAGAAGAATTAGATACAGGATGGAAAACCGCAAAATAGGTTAAAAATTTAATCTTCCATGTAGCCCAGCTAACTCTGTTAGCTAATAACGTTAATACATCAACGACAGCGTTTTTTATGTGAGGAATATTCTGAGAAGTTGGTAGTCCCGCAGAGCTCAATATTCTAATATTGTCTCTGATGTTCTAAACTCGTGATCGTTCTAGAACAATTACGGCGAAGGTAATGTTGTTCTCACGAATACATTTGCCGAATTAAAATTATATTTATCAACTCTGCACGGGAGCGTTATTTTTCGGGAGACATGGAAATACGTTTCATGTGAATGTGATTGAAATCTTCGATAATGGCTGCATAGTTGCCAGAGATTCTTGTATCTTAAATTTCTCTCTAGCTACTCTCGAGTATTCTAGCTCGTTATCATAAAAAAAAATAAGAAAATAGATACAAGGATCAGGTTAGCTTTAATCGAGAATTCTTTCACTGCCGAACATACTTTTACTGGGCCGTACAGACGATTATCAAGCTATTGGGATAGTTCAACAGTTATTAGAGAAAAGAACAGTCTTGGGAGCCTAGCGTGTCTAATTGAAATATTTCAGCATAACAATATATTACATTATAAAACCGTATATAAGCTGAATTCTTTTAGGGACAGCTGTCCATGCAATCACGCCCCTCCCCCCCACGAAGTACAGTCCTGTTCTGTTATACTTTTTTCTCTTTACGGTCTACATGTTTTGCATTAGGTAATCGCAGCATTTGTTTCTATTCATTCTAAAATTAATCCTCTGCATTCTGATCTCACTTTATAGGATAGTTTTTGGCATAAGGCATTCAAGAAGTTTTCTGTGTGTTTTTTTGTGCAGGACTCATAGGAAATTCGCTTGCTTAATGCCCGTGTTTTCTGTTCTCCCATCGAGAAGGTTCGACTTTGTCTGTTTTACGCAATTGCTATGGCGCATTTGAATAATTATCGATTTAAATCATGGCCCGTTTCGGACGTCACTTTTTATGTACCGAAAGAATAGATTCTGCACATATTGGTTCTCATTCCTTTTGGCTTTTCTGTAATTGTACGAGAATTTTTTTCTTCAGTTATAAAGCAGATTAATTTTGCGTCAATCTTTTCAAAAATCTATAAAACTTAAGCTTCTAGTCATATGCAGGCAAAAACGCCATTGAACGTTGTTGGCGCAACAATTGTTCTCCAAATTCATGGCACAGGGACTGCATAGAAGATCCAGTTTACACTGCTCCGGATTCACATGGCACGACACCAGTTTAAGTTTTTTAGGTTATCTCTGTTCCCAGAACTTTTTCATTTGTCAGATAATGGCAGCAATCATGCTATCATACTTTTTGGGATAAAATTCGCTCCGACTTGCCGGCTAGTTTTGATTTCGTGACAATGGCAATCCTTGATAGTGTAATCATTGCCTAAGTACAATGCAAAACACTCCGAAAGCTGAAATCGACACTCCGAGAGCCGTTTATAGACTAATCTGCAGGCATCATCAGGAATGACGCTCAAATATGCCAAATCCAATGAAATGTGATATCTGCATGTTTATTGAAAGGAGGATTTACTTCCGTGGTTTGGTTTCGACAAGGAATTATGAATATGCCAATGTTAGAGATTCGTGAGAAGAAATTAATACCAATGTCCATATATACCAATGTAATATCCTGCGGTTGTTAGAAATGCTCGTTTCGAGACTCAAGTCATCTTAGTTGAATAGCGAATGAGGTCATAAGGAAAATTAGATGGCGTTCAAGAATAACGGAATATTTAGCTATGCGTTCGTAGCTCCTGTAGATCTCTAGATTCCTTAATTGTGGGCGTTCTCTTTTAACTTTGTCCGGCCATTTCTGTTGACAATATTAAAAAGTTTAAGTAAACGCGATAAAGAATCAAATTCACGTGAATACTATATCTAATAAATATTCTACAGTCGGTGCTGCCGGAAGTTGTTAAGGGCAAGGGGGCACTCCCGATCTCGTTTCACCTTAGCAACCGTAAGAAGAGGAAGCTTGAACATACAAGTACACACAGATTTGCAAATTCACACGACAAAGATATTTTTATTAGTAAGTTTTCAATTGATGTCAAAGAGCGCGCATCGCAAATGTAAGATAGCCTTAGAAATTAGGATAAAACGGGGTTAAACGTGTTATATTACTGTTGTGTTGATACGACACAGGCTTCTCCCGCTACCCCTGTGGTTCCTACAGTTATGAGTGAGTGATTAAAAACCTGAAGTCTCCTAGTTTATGGAGGGTACAAGGAGGTATGAGGAGGGTATGAGGAGGGATGAGGAGGATATGTGGAGGGTATGAGTTCAAAATAGCGCTCTATTATTGCAGGGAGTGTTGACATTAAATACAATTGATGTATTATTCAATATTCAACGATATTTCATCTTTCTAATACGCTCTTCAGACGTTTTTAAGCAATCATTCTTTGACAACTGTTAGACATATCTAGTCATTGTTCTTTATTACTCTTTTAGTTTAAAAATCTCTGATATATTCATCACCAAGCAGGGACCGAAACCTGACCACGGGTGTAAAGCTTCTAAAGAACTTTTAATCATGAGATATCATATGTCATTAGCACTTGTATGCATATAGCTTTGTTTTTCAGCGTCGTTCCTAGTGAGGACACAAATTAGTGGAAACGACGAGTAAGAGTTCGTAATGTTAAGCGTTTTCTAAGTGTTTATTGTTCAGAATTTTGTAAAATTATTCAGTGTTAAGTGCTAACAGTACACCAGTGCTATAACTAGTGCTAACCGTACTCATTCAGTGCTAACAGACAAAGGAGTGTACATGCATAACTAACCTATGTATGACCTAGAAAATGTTTCACATGCAGGAAAAATTTGCTTTTTTGGGGGGGGTGGTTCATAATAATTTAATGAAGATGCACAAAGGAATAAATTACATTCGACAAGGAAGTTTTGAGGTTAACCCTATAGGAAGGGTTATATAACCCTATATAAAAGGGGTGTGATCCACTACAACATGCACCCCCCGTTCTGATACAGTTTACTATTTACGTAGGACGTAATATCTGCTTGTAATATGCTGTGGAAACCAGGTTTTTATAAAAGCCTTACTCGCATACAGAAGGCCCGAGTTAACGGACCGAAAGCTTTGCAGTATCAAATACGTGGTGCACCTACAAGCTAATTTACGTAAATTATACTTGTTCAAAACATTGTACTGTGTGTAAAACAGTTGAAACTCTGGCGCAATCTATATAGAACACCCCCCCAAAAAAATTGCTGTCAAAATGCTCGATTCAGTCACATTGCATGCATTTTCATTTCATCTGTCTACCGTGCATATGTAATTGAGACTGAATCAAGCATTTGCGTCAACAAATTGAGCAATTGGATCAACGAAGGAGAACGCTTACTAATCGTGACGTCAAGGCTGGATGCTATTTCGTTCTGAGATCTTCGTTTGGCATTTGCCTCGCTTTCGTGTTTAGATAGATAGATAGAATGTTATTAAGCCGGATAAGACCCTGTGAGCACGAACTATACATGCTGGTATCAGTAGGGGTCAAATAGATACAAATACTATTTTAACATGCAGAAGTACAAGAGTTTTTTGCGTTTGCATTCGGGCACATTAAGAAGTTCTAGGAATTGTATACATTATTTTGATTTTGAAGTATTTTAATTATGAGTGAGGATTCTTATCGAAGCCTTCATATCTTGCAATGTTTTAACGATGGGAAATCCGAACACCTAACGCACTTGCTAATCTTTGTCATTCTTTGATTACTTCTAGTAGTAGGTTTTAGTTGATACATGAAAATTGAGTAATATAACATGATTGCTGACAGTACCTTTCTCAATACCTTTATTATTCCCTTTTTAGATACAATCTTCCGAGTAATTATCCGATATGTGGTTAGAACGGTTAACCATTCGACGTCTGGCGCTTTCCATATTCCTAAATGTTTTTCTCTTCGCTCTTGCTGGAGCACAACACACTAATGCATCGCATAACGTTTCATCTGCCATTTTAACCGGATCAGTATCAACCCTTTCCGGCTTTCGTTCAACAGTCGATCTGGAGAATTCGTTAAGCACCCGGCCTATGAAGTTCATGAATACTTCTAAAAGCAAACCCGTTATGGCAAATTTTACAGTTATGATTTACGCTACTGGATCAACTTCTAACTGGTCCGAAGGTGGAAGAAAAATGACAACTGAAATGTTATCCGCGTTTAAGCAAACGTCAACGTCCCCTGATTATATCACATCAAGTATGCAAAACGTGTTTCTGAGCAGAACCCTAATGACACACGCACAATCTACTCCTGCAAAACGTTTGAATGGAACCAATTCATCAACGATATCGAGCATTAATAGAACAATTCCGAAGCATGTTTCGCCAAATGAATCAGAAAGATCAATGGTTTCCAAGACTTCCCAAATTCCTGAAAAGCCTTTGATTGTCCCCGGAAATGGAAAAGCAAATATCACAGATGTTGGAAGCAAAACCAAATTATTGGTATATACACCTTCTCTCGACAGTATGCAATCGTTTGTGTCCACCTCCGCTTTGAAAGTAATTCCGACACACACTACACAAGTGATTGGAATTGTCAACACCACAGCTCCGAGCTCTCTTCAGATAGCATCCACAACATTGAAGTATTCCAAGATTGTCTCAAAGGTACCACGCATCGACGCAAATTTGACATTTACAACTTCGACTCTTACAGGAAAACAAGCGAACATGACGATGATTTTGAAACCCAGTCCGTCGTTGATCACGAAACAGCAGCGTAGCGAAGTTGAGACCACATCCTTATCGGAAACTCTGAAAAGTAAAGTCATTCCATACAGTAAATCATCTGAGAGTATCCTATTCACAGGACGAAATGATACAATTGTTCAACCTAAACTTGTTTTGTTTTCATCAAACAGCCTCGCAGCCGTTAATGATACTATGGAAAGTATTCTTGATAAAACAATGGCGAAAGAAAGCGTCACCAGGTTTAGCTCAGTTCCAATGTTGCGAAGCAAAAATTTGACCGCATCTCCGATCCGAAATATATTCGTTTCTCAAGTTCATACTTCTTCTGACATCCCTCCTGTTGCCAACCGCTCAACAATTGCAAGATACATCTCTAAACCCGACCTATTTAGCAAAATTGTAAGCAACCGATCTGAAATTCTAGCGAATAATACGATTTTTGGTATGATACCTTCCATCATCCTTCGACCTTCCACCATCCTTTCTTCATTCTACAATACTCTTTCCAACCGCACGGAAGAAATTGCAATATCGCCGTCGATGACCATCAAAGAAAAGCCTAAGAGGAGCGAAACAAAATTCGGAATTTTAAGGTATTCTACTCAGATATCCGATAAGAGTGAAGTAAAAAAGCCGTATATTACAGCTTCCTCGTGGTATATCGGAAAGGAGCGTTCTACGCCGGTGCTATCGACTCTACTGCCAATGGCAATGGTGAAGGAACAACAATTTCGTGTCACTATCCTGATACTCTCAGAAAAATTTCAAGAAGAATATCTCATAAAGAGCTCCAATGAATTTAAACAAAAAAGCAGAGAGATAGAAACTCAGTTCAATATCGTGTTCCAAAGTATGCCGAAGTATGTATTTACGGAAGTCTTGAAGTTCTTCAGTGGAAGTTTGGGATGTGACGTAATAATACACACGAAATCCAAAGACTCAGAACCGGTGTCAGTTGTGGAAGTTAATGATACCCTAAATAAAGCAAGGAATACTAAAGGTGGATTTGGAAAATATATCGTTGGTGATATCAAGGTTAAGGAAGAAAGTCCTGACGTTGAGGGCAGAGATGAGGATGAAAAAGATGAAAAAGAGACATGGGGTCGTATTCCCATAATAGTTGTCTCAATCCTCGGGGGAGTCTGCTTTGTTTTGATTGTGATGGTCATAAGTCAATGTGTAAGTATACTGTAACATTAAAATACCCATACTGTATTTCGTACATGCGCAAAATTGCATTCCTCGAAAGATGAGGTAACTGGGAGAGCTTATGATTAAATGCAATGAAACAGGTGAAAAAAGACTATGTGTATTAAAGTGTGGATATCCACTGCGGCGGTGGCCGGTTGTTGATTCCGGAGCACATAACATCCTGTTGTGACCGGTTTTAGTAAAGTACGTGTTTTATACACGTTTTACGGTCGACGAGAATACGTACTCAACCCATTTTGTTATTGATCTGTCAGTAATCTTACATTTTGAACCAGTGAAGATGACATATTATGGGAATTTTTTTCAAAATCCACATTTCTGGATACAGTATGGTTGTTAGTTGGAAATGGTTTGGAAGTTTAGGATATCCACACTATGAAAACAGTATGGATATAGTATGGATTTTTAAAGTATGGATTTTGAAACGAATTCCAATGGTATTACGACCGTTTTAACAACCAAAATGTTTTATACATCTACTGTGATGATCTAGGTTGAATACATCCGCCAGTCGAGTTTAATAGAGTATTTGATTTGAATCCCGGCCCCACTAGAGACTAATTAAGTTTATCCAGAAGTTAATTCAGGGTACTACAGTATGTTTTAATAAGAGCAATAGTTGTAAATAAGCCACAAATTATAATGCACGTATTTAATGGCGAAGGATTTCGTTATAGATTTTAAAGTATATGATGTATAGATTTCTTATTTTTCCAAATATTTATAGATCCAGAGACGGCACTATTCTCACTCACTGGCAGATTCTAACGAAATTCAGGAATATTCGCCCGCAATTCATCTGAAAAACAACGATGATGTTTTGTACAAAGACGAAGAACGGGTTCCAATGACGACATTTAACCAAACGGATATTTACTAGTGGGAGACACGCAGTTTAAAGTTGAGTTATAGTTTAGTTCTAATTCGCTGGGCTTTTTTATGTTGAGAACAATTAGTTGCGTACGGCTAGTGTTATAATTATTGTGTCTCATAATATGAGGCTCTTAATGATGATGGTTAGCAGAGTTTTACCAGCGTAAATGTAGATCGATGTTGCAATTAATTCGATGGAGTTAACACCATTGTGACTTTGATTCTGATCCGTGTGTACACACAATGTCACACTCTAAAATGCCGCGTACCCATATTATATGTAATATGTGTTAATATATTATTACACTTGAAGCTTTGATAAATTATATCAGCTGGTTTAAAGAGGAATTTTCTTGAATCCACATTACTCGCACTTTGTCACACCAATCTGTTAAACCTCTTTTGATCCTGCCAGTTTACTTCTTCAATTGCGTGCAAAATATACCCTTCGCCTTCGGTCAATTTCATACTTCGCAATATAGTCGCGAGAATGCAATTTAAACAAAAGATAATTAACCTTATTGAAACGAAAATTATTCATTATGATTATCATCTCATTATGTATTGTTTGAATTGCATTCGTCGCGACCAAAATGCGACGTACAGTATGATCTAGGCTATATAAGGCGCCGTTACAGTATGCAACTTTTATTGCGACTTTCAATGCAATTCTACTCGCCTGTTTTTATATTAGAGGACAGCTTAGACGTCTGAACGAATTAAACGTCTTGTGGCTGGGTGCTACTAGTATAAATACTATAGATGACACGCCCAAAAAAATTAATTTGCTACGTTTTCCGAAAGATGTCTGGAGTCTGGACCCACATAATCGCCTGGATAGTAAATAATCGGCAATAGTCTCGTATTTATACTACACGAATTTAACGTCTACGACGGTTAATTCATATGTTAAAGGCGTCGTTTAGACGCACTTAATTTGAGACGTTTAATTCGTCTAGTTCGTTTATTTCATCTCACCATTTTCTCGTATTTATATAAGACGACCTTAACGTCTGAGACGTCTAAGCCGTCCTCTTATTTATAGGTCAATTTGTAACAATTGTCTGAATTAAATGAACTAAATCTATGATCTGCTAACGTTTTCTTACCATCTTGAACACTCTTTACCAATTAAAATCCCTCAATTACAATTGCATTGCAAGTTGCAGGGAAAATTGCATAGTGTAACAGCGCCTGTTGTATATGCATTTTCAATGTAATCTTCGCTGTGCTTTTCCAAGTAATCGGTAGCCTAGTTACGTCCCTCCCCCAAAAAAGAAATGTTAAAAAAATGTTAAAATAACAAATAACACGTTAAACATTAGTAAATGTCAAAGACGGGGTGGTTTAGCCCAGGTATCATTGTTTAAAGACTAGCATAATTTTTATGATCCCAATTTTCTTGCATATAAATGTTAAAATAGTTTATTCACATTTTTAACAACAACGTGACTCCACAAAGTTCATCAATAAATGCATTTCTTTCAAAAAAGCCCCCACAAAACAGTTTTCAGCTTCAGACTGTCAGGAAAGAAGTAGGGATGCCCGTATTTTATAGAATGCAAGGTTGCAAGAAAGTTACAGCCTCCATTCGAAATTGCCCAAAATTATAATCGTGGGATTATTTTAACAGCGGAGTGATTGGAGAACACATCGATCAATCGATCAAAAAACCAAATTTAATTTTTGTATCTTTATTTACTAACTTCATATTGACCAGTTCACTCAGTTGAACTACAGAACTAGTAAATTAGCCATTTCCCAATCGAGCAGCGTACTGGGTCTAGTCGCGAACCGCAAAGCATCTATGAACTGTTTGGAGAGACAAACGAGTTTAAACCTATATTTCCTGTCCCTCCAAAGAGTCCATAGATGTTTTGCGGTTTATCACTAGACCTGGTACCCTGCTCCGATTAGGAAGTGGCTAATCAGTTTTGTTTTTCCCCAAGAGTCATGTTACTTGGTTTTGGTTTACGCTTCGACCTCGCATGATGGGAAAATTTTAACTATTTTTGCAATAACAAGAGTTTACTTTCACAGCCTAAATTGCCTTTATGATTTATTGTATAACATACCGAATTTTAATGGTTCTAAAATGAAAATCGCTTTAATCATTTGCAAGTATAATGATATTCGTTTATAATATTGTAAATGTTGTTTCGGGGTCCTCACACGGTGCAGGACATGCTTATAAATATTGAGGATATGGTAGTGCATGATGTTTGAGTGAAGTTTATAGAGTCATTACAGCTTAAGAACGTCGCCAGAACCAGGCCCATCCTCCATAATCGTGACGTAATCATTGTCATTAATATCTGCTCCAGAATTATCTTTTCCGATTTTTGATGTTGTTTCCTTGACAAGACCATCATTTTTTACATCAGTGTAGGACGTGGAGGAATACATGTTTACTTTCTGTAAAAATATTAAGAGGAAATTTTTAATTTTCCGAAGAATTTTTTAGAAAGCTCAAACACCTGCAGTGTAAACTTCGTAGGGATTATCCTTTAGGCCTAGGTTATGACGAACACTCGTGTGAGGGAAGATTTAAAAGGGCTGATTTCACATGTGCTTAAAAAGCGAGTCCCATCGGGATTTTTCTTTTCATCGACGCATAGTTTATCGAAGACTGTACAGCGAGATTATATTATTAAAAGTCATAAATATCGAATCGAGTGATCTTTCGTAGATACATACTTTTGGGAGGCGAGTAATTTACGAAAGTATGTTGCAAAACTGTCAAACCGTTGAAAGAAGTAACATGTACGGAATGCATTTTGACTAAACCTATCGAGTACAATTCGGCAACATTTGTAGTATTTCAGTACTGTACACTGTGAATGAGAAATTCTTCTGCATCCTGAATGGCACACCAGAAACTCCATTTGCAATGTCATTCTTGAAGCTAATTTGAGGTCAAAAGGTAACCAAGGCGCAGTTTACGATAATTGCGCCGAAAATTAAAACAATAAAGGTGACTGGTATTAGTTCTTCCATTCAGAAAATGAGACGGGTAATGCAATCTTAAACTATTGTTTATAGAATATTCTGCGCTTGTTTTTACTCACAATGATATTTACAAAGTGTCTAGGATATTGAGGTGAAGTATTCTGACGAGAAAACCTACCCGCTGTCCCGACTCGACATCTCCTTTTCCATCAGCAGATGTTGTACACAATTTAGTTGTACTTGTTGGAGTTGCTCGCAAAATTTTCATTTCCTCATTTCCGTCAATGATATCATAAAACGGTCCGCTAACATATGACGACACGTTGCCTGATTTTTTTTGTATTCTTGAAATCTTACACTGGAAAATGAAAAAGAAATGCAGCTGAGACCTCACTCCTGTCAATACAGCGGTGAAGCGTCATGCGCATCCGGAAAAACTATACAAGGTTTGAATACAAAGAACAATCACAAGAGAAACAAATCTGAACGAAAACAGAAATTGCAATCTGAACAGAAACGAAACATTAAGAAAACATAATGGAAGATGATTTGTGACAATCTTATTTGAGGTAAAAGAAAGTTTACTTTTTCTGAATTCACTTCCTCGAAATTTGGTTTAATCCATTTGCTAAAGCTTCATGAACAGTCATCTCCATACTCTTCCTAGTCTCCTATTTCTCTCTTATGCTTTCAGACTAGTCCCTAGTCCTCCTTAGCGCGCCTTCATTCTTGTGACGTCACCAGTATGAACGCGGGGGAGGACTAGCACAAAAGTTTTTAATTCTGAATTCAAAATGGCGGCAAGAAAATTTTTCTCCGGACAAAATCAGGGACAACTTTTGAAATCTCAACATTTTGTGATAGGCCTCTCAGCGTAGGCTGCCCTGCATAATTAACAGCGCGCGCTTACAAGGCCTTGGACTAGGCTGTTATGCTTTTACTGTGTGTACTCTCGGCTCATATTCAAAATTTACAGTAAAATAGGATAGTAGCTACAAACTCAATTGGACTTGGGATAATCATCTATTCGTCTTATATCCTACTGATCTCTTGGGAAGCTATTGTTTCTAGATATGTAAATGTGTGAAAATAGATATGCACTCTCTAAAATAAACGGTCTAGCTACGGTCTCGGTATCAAAGAAAAAGCCAAAAACTAAATAATACTTACGCACAAAACAATTATAGTGATAAGAAGGATAAAAGCAACAATTCCCGCGATAATAACTCCAATTTGCCACCAATCTAATCCTAGGATTACTTCATCATCATCACCATTATCGTCATCATTATTGTAAGACTTTAGTTCAGAAACTTCAAATCCACGAGTATCTCCATACTTTTCAAGAGTTTGCTTGAAATATGGTATATCCCCACGTGTCGAATTTTGAAAAACCAGAAGTACATCACACACGATGCTTCCAGGTTTGAATGCAATAATAAACACTGAAACGTTCACGTTGATTGGGCGGTACGCTTTTGTAATGTCCTCCTTTACTTTGACCATCATATTTTTGAATTGCGAACTTTGTCTATCGTAAAGTTTGTTATCGAACTTACCATTGTACTTTAATGAAACCTCGAGGACTAACGATTTTTTGCTTGTTTTTGTGGTACCTGTTATGGAGCTCATAGGTTGAGACGGTGTAATACTGAGGCTGACATGTTTAGACGAAATACCAGAAGTATTAATAAGAATAGTATTGGCACTCGTAGGTTTAATAGACATAACACCTGAGCTCATAGGTTGGGAGGGAGTAATGCTGCCGTTGGAATGTTTGGGAGAATAAGCGCCCGTAGGTTTAGATGTTATAGCACTGGAGCTTATAGGCTGAGAATGCGTAATGCTGACGACGTTGATATATTTGGATGAATTACCAGAAGTATGAACAGTATTAACGTCCGTAGGTTTAGATGTTATAGCACTGGGGATTGTAGACTGAGAATGCGTAATGCTGACGACGTTGATATGTTTGGATGAATTACCAGAAGTATGAACAGTATTAACGTCCGTAGGTTTAGATGTTATAGCACTGGGGATTGTAGACTGAGAATGCGTAATGCTGACGACGTTGATATGTTTGGATGAATTACCAGAAGTATGAACAGTATTAACGTCCGTAGGTTTAGCTGTTATAGCACTGGAGCTTGTAGGCTGAGAATGCGTAATGCTGACGACGTTGATATTTGGATGAATTACCAGAAGTATGAACAGTATTAACGTCCGTAGGTTTAGATGTTATAGCACTGGGGATTGTAGACTGAGAATGCGTAATGCTGACGACGTTGATATGTTTGGATGAATTACCAGAAGTATGAACAGTATTAACGTTTGTAGGTTTAGATGTTATAGCACTGGAGCTTGTAGGCTGAGAATGCGTAATGCTGACGACGTTGATATATTTGGATGAATTACCAGAAGTATGAACAGTATTAACGTCCGTAGGTTTAGCTGTTATAGCACTGGAGCTTGTAGGCTGAGAATGCGTAATGCTGACGACGATGATATATTTGGATGAATTACCAGAAGTATGAACAGTATTAACGTCCGTAGGTTTAGATGTTATAGCACTGGGGATTGTAGACTGAGAATGCGTAATGCTGACGACGTTGATATGTTTGGATGAATTACCAGAAGTATGAACAGTATTAACGTTCGTAGGTTTAGATGTTATAGCACTGGAGCTTGTAGGCTGAGAATGCGTAATGCTGACGACGTTGATATTTGGATGAATTACCAGAAGTATGAACAGTATTAACGTCCGTAGGTTTAGATGTTATAGCACTGGAGCTTGTAGACTGAGAATGCGTAATGCTGACGACGTTGATATGTTTGGATGAATTACCAGAAGTATGAACAGTATTAACGTCCGTAGGTTTAGCTGTTATAGCACTGGAGCTTGTAGGCTGAGAATGCGTAATGCTGACGACGTTGATATATTTGGATGAATTACCAGAAGTATGAACAGTATTAACGTCCGTAGGTTTAGATGTTATAGCACTGGGGATTGTAGACTGAGAATGCGTAATGCTGACGACGTTGATATGTTTGGATGAATTACCAGAAGTATGAACAGTATTAACGTTCGTAGGTTTAGATGTTATAGCACTGGAGCTTGTAGGCTGAGAATGCGTAATGCTGACGACGTTGATATATTTGGATGAATTACAAGAAGTATGAACAGTATTAACGTCCGTAGGTTTAGATGTTATAGCACTGGAGCTTGTAGACTGAGAATGCGTAATGCTGACGACGTTGATATGTTTGGATGAATTACCAGAAGTATGAACAGTATTAACGTCCGTAGGTTTAGATGTTATAGCACTGGAGCTTGTAGACTGAGAATGCGTAATGCTGACGACGTTGATATGTTTGGATGAATTACCAGAAGTATATATGAACAGTATTAACGTCCGTAGGTTTAGCTGTTATAGCACTGGAGCTTGTAGGCTGAGCTGCGATATGCTGACGACGTTGTATATTTGGATGAATTACCAGAAGTATGAACAGTATTAACGTCCGTAGGTTTAGATGTTATAGCACTGGAGCTTGTAGACTGGAATGCGTATGCTGACGACGTTGATATGTTTGGATGAATTACCGAAGTATAAACGGGTGACATTGTTGAAACTGTTGACACGGTCACACAGCTTTTGGTTTACAGTAGAAGTACTCCCTGGAACTGAAGACGAACCTGTAAGAAATCACCGACTAATTATCACCCATTGTAATATTGACTCATTGGTGGGGTAATGGACTTATATTGAGAGAAAAAGTTACCTGAAATAATTCGTCCCGCAATATACTTGTAAGGGCCGTTAACGTATACATAAGCCCGCGGTCACCCGACCAGGAAAATCCGAAGCATGCGAAATTTAGGCAGTTTTATGAGCAGAACCGATGCACAAAGCCTGGACTAGACATTGCTTTTAAGATGACTTTGAGGTATTGAATTTAATCCTCATCATGCACATTGTACTATACGACTTTAAGGTTTAAATACATGCTCTCTCGTGCACACTCTCATCAACTGACATCGGCTTTAAACTGATAAATTTTCATGAAAGTTCATACTCGTTTGGTCGGGTATAGTAGTTGCAAAACAGCTAGCAGTTTGCATTTTGTAGTAGCAGACTAAGCAGAATAGGTTGAATCTTTTTTGCATATTCGCATTTATAAACAAATAAGAAGTGTATGATAAATTTATCATCGTGCGGATTTCCAGAAAGACGCCGCTCGGAACGAAAGGCAACGTGAGACGCTGCTGCGACAAATATAACAATGGCTGGATTGCACTTCGAAAACATTATTATATAATAGTGGGTACAATCATGTACATTAGTTTGTTGAAACACAGAAACAAGAATATTGCATTTTTGTCCTGATAGGACCTTTTTTATCGTGAATGTTTACAGTGTTATCTCGTATCTTCGAATTTATCCACTTGATAGTGGATATAAACTACCTCCGCCCCTTGGATAAATTTATAGCAGGACTGAAACTAATTATGTCATACTGGCTACACTACAGGTCAGTTTAAGGGCATCAGTCTATCCAAAAATTCTGGAGGACGAACAAACGAATCAGAAAAAAAAGAAAGCCGAATAAAATATTTGTTAACTGCAACAGCATGCTTAACTTGTAGCATGCATGCAGTGACTATTATGTACCATTTATTTTGTACTATTCCAAGGGAACTGCTCATATTGTTTGAACTAAGGGGCTGATTACATGGTGTCGCTTCAGCCCGGCAAACCGGGGCCAAAGTATTTTTCAATTAGCTACATGGCAAGTTTCAGCCCGGGCGGTGTTACGACACGTCAGAATTATTTTAGGACCAGGGCTGAAAATTTAGCCCGGGCTGAGTCTGTAAAGGCTGGTAGTAGACTTATTTCTATTCTTCGAGCGCTTTAAAATCCCGAATGACAATAACTAGACCTTTAAGGAGCTATGACTACACATAAAAATGAAATAAACAAACGAAAAAGCATTGTCAAGACGAATTTTTCTGTCCGGGCTTAAGTTTATTTACGCCGGATTACATGACAGCAACATTACGTTTCAACCCAAACCGGGCTGAAATTCTTGTCATGTAATTGCGTGCGCGATTTTGTTAGGATTTTATAACAACCCCTGGCTGAAGTTTCAACGGTTAGCCGGGCTGAAAACACTCCATGTAATCAGCCCCTTACAAGGCTACAATTTTTTATTCTTCGCTTTGATTAGCCAGTCAATGTGCTCAAAATCGAAAAAGAAAACAATTAGATTTCAAGAATATCAATGATTGTTCAAGCTAATCGAGAATTCATAATGATTATGAGTTTAATATGGTACAAAATTTCAGGAAAATCCTGTTTTCTACAGGTAAATTTGAACTATGATCTATTGCATGGATAGCTATCTACTCCACTATCCATGCTTCGTGCAACGCGTTTTTATCCGGCTCCATCGGTTCCATTTTGAAATTTCGGGGAGTGTATGCCTCTAATAACTTGCTTAAGCCTGTAGCACACGAGAGCTATCCACTGAGCAAAAAGTTATTCGTGTCTGTTTGCTCAGCACTTTGCTCTCCGTGTGCGTGTGAATTTTACTGAATATTTGGCCTCATGCAGCCTTGACTCACGTATCAAATATGTTTGATATTTTTTTACTCCCAAGGCGAAAATCTCACCGTGTGCGCCTAACATGGGCTAGATGCTGAGCAAGAAATGCAAACTTAGCCAATAGCAATGCATTCTTTTGTCACATGACTAAAGTAAGATGGCGGATAAAGAAGAAACACTTTTACTTACTGAATTGCATCGCTGAATAGACGTCAACGTCGTCGTTACAAAGCGCTAAGTAGAGTTTTATGGACTAAAAGGTGGATAATGAGAAGAACAAGACAAGGCGCATATGCTAACCTTTTGCGAGAGACAATAATTGACCTGTTTGGTTTAATTCATGTGCTTTCTGTCGTTTGTCTTTGTTTTTAAAATCCGGTGATCGAACGTCGAATAAGCATGGATAATTCGGCCATAAATCTGCAATTTTGTCCTCCAAAATATATTCGCTCATTACTTAGCTAGATGCCGTCATCTTTACTTTAGTCATGTGACAAAAGAATGCATTGCTATTGGCTAAGTTAGCATTTTTTGCTCAGCATCTAGCCCGTGTTAAGCGCACACGGTGATATTTTCGCCTTGGGAGTAAAAAATATCAAACATGTTTGATGAGGCCAAATATTCAGTGAAATTCACGCGTACAAGGAGAGTAAAGTGCTGAGCAAACAGACACGAATAACTTTCTGCTCGGGGGATAGTTCTCGTGTGCTGCAGGCTTAAGCAAGCGCTTACACTTTTAACCAGAAGTGAGACATATGGGTGTTAATCTTTGGCTATGTTCTCCCGGATTCCGGGTGTAATTCATAATCTCCGAGCGGAATTAGTATGCTCTCGCAGGCGCTCCGCGCCCGGTCGGAGATTAGAAATAATCCGATACTTGCAAAAGTGTAGCGAAGGTAGCAATCGCCGTATTTTCGACACAATCGACCATTGGCATTGCAAATTCAGAGTTTTTCAGTATGGATATTTGGCGCAAATTTGAGAAAAAATACTTGAACTTCTGTACACTGTCGTCTTATTCTATAGCCAAATTATGCGCAATTTAAAACTTGCATTAATTACATACCTAGAAATTTAATGCAAATTTCAGTAGGTTTTTATCCTGTGATTAACAAAGCCAAATCCTATATGTCGCCATTCTCCCAAATTTTAGTGGAGTTGAATGTATCACCAGACAAGAATGTTTCGGGAAATACGTTTTATCAAATATTATATATGAATATTAATATTTTATAAATTAATACCTTACTATGTCAACGTCGGGACTAACCTACGATTCTGAATTCTGATACAACCTAATTTTACTGTCTATATCTTCGGCTCAATAACTCTAGCAGGAATTGAGTTGCATTTTTCACAATGACTTCAGATTTTGTACTTTTTCGTAACATATATTGCGAATGATATTGCATGTGTATATCCGTCCGTATTTAAGATATATTTCTTAGTAAAGTGCAGAGATTATTGGATACAGCTTTTTGGCGCAGAGGTAGCAAGTCACCTCCCCCCCCCCTTCTCTACGATTTATATATAATAGTTCAATTTTATTCGAATTTCGCGAACTTTATACCTATACTATAGCTTAGAACTCCCATTCTCGACTTTGGTTGAAAAAAACCTTTCTGAATTTAGTACCAGTCGACTATGAAATTAGCGCCAACCTATGTACAAACTCGTATATTCGATCTATCTCGATCAAGTATTTCAGTTTCGCTTATTTTTATCAAATTAGAACGTTCAATATCGTTATGGAACGCGGCATGTACAAAAAAATCCTATGCTAGCTCTCAAAGTTGATCATAGACTTTGTGCACAAACCAATAGGGATATTTAACTGATTCTTTACGAATAATTGAAAGAATTCTTACCCGTCACCATGGTTGACTCAAACATGTTGTTAAGCAACAGGAATACAAATATCAATGTTTGTTTCATCTCTCAGTTACTTCAGAAATCTTGAACAAGTATTCACGATGCGAAACTCGGTATACCAGAAGAAGGAATGGCTAAGCCTATATTATGATACATATAAATATATGTCGTAACAAAGTCGTCACAGATTCAAGCATTCCTTGAATTGTGATGGGCTTAAAAAGTATTGGTTATGCAAACTAATTAGATCAACTTTCTTCTACCAAGTTTCCCTTAGTCAGACCTTCATTTGTATTGGATGACTAGGCTTAATGTTTATAGACGCGGTGTCATAGCAACGTTCGTTTAATGCTTACTAATTATGATGAAGCCAAAGCTCTTAATCCCCTCCCCACATTCAACCACTTATAGGCAGTGTGTGTATCTTCTTTACGTTCAACAAGAGTTATACGACATCAAGAGAGATCGCAATGTTATTTCTATCTATACATGCAGTATTGCTTCCCATAATTATTAGGATTATCTCAGCATAGGCCCTAAACACTTTTTTTAAAACAATTAGCGCTGGTGATATACCAAACTAAATGCCTAAATATGTGAATACTTTAGCTCTAAACTGCACTAAGGACGCAAATTCTCTCTTTTGAAGGAAAGCCGAATTGATTGAAAGCCCAGATTTTCTGAAGATCCACAAGAGAAGTACTATAGAAATTTACGAAAAAATTTAAGCGATTAGGTGATCACGCCGGTTTAAGTCGTCGAACTTTTAATGTTTTGAATCCCATGCAAATAAAGCAAAACAAAGAATTTAGGTCATTCGGCACATGAAAAGTGCCGAATATTTCAATTTGTAGAGGTTTTCTTAATTCAGGGTCAAAAGATGACTGGCATTTGAGATACCGATCCTTAAAACGCAAGTGATCAGATGTGATGGAGTTTTAGAAAGTAATCCTGACTCCGTAAACCAAACGAGAGATTCGTGTGCGTTTTAATGACCACAACGTTGTCATGGTGACAAGGTGTTTCAGCAAGTAAAGCCTTGAAGCCTGTTAGTCATGTTACTATTATTCGGGATAAAATGAGGATTTAGCTAAAGTTGCATGTCAATGAGATTTGTTTATAGTAGCTTAAGTTTCAATCAATGATTAATGCCATCAGGATAAATAAAATGTTAACGATGGAAGTTCATATATCGGCATCATATTTAGTTTCATAGATTCATTTCACCTGGGGCAGTGAACAGATTTAGATGGAACGAAGCTACCAGTCTGCAATTCTTGACATTGCAAGGAAAGAAGTGTCCTAACTTATATCATTATTCAGTTAAAGCTTAGTCAATCATATGAAACTAATAAAGAAGATTTCCACGATCTAGAATTCGAAAACTTTACATATATAGTGAAATTATGGAGTGCGCAATTATATATCTTAAAAGATTGCTTAATAGTTCAATGGTTATGAATCACCTGATTTTTCTATGGTCAAATTTATGTTATTGTTTCTCTATGCTTTGCGCTATTAATATAAGTATTAAAGAGATTACAAAGTAAAAAGTGCTGTCTAGAAGATTATATTACACATTGACTACGCCTAGCTCTTCTGAACCAGAAGCTGCATTGGTCTCAGTGGCGTGATCAGTGACGTGATCAGTGACGTGATCAGTAGTGACGTGATCAGTAGTGACGTGATCAGTAGTGACGTGATCAGTGACGTCTGTTCCAGGATTCTCCTTTCCAACTTCTGATGTTGCTTCGTTCACGGGGCTGCCCTTGGCTTTGGTCCCATCAGTGAAAGAGGGGGAGGAGTGCATACTTATTTCCTGTAAAAATATTGATTAGGCATATTAACTGATTTTTACTCTGACTGTACTCGCTCCTTCGTCGCTCGCTCCATAATAAAAAGTCTCCGTTTGATATTTCACAGTACAGACCGAACAAACGAGGTCAATAATCGATTTATTCTATGGCCGAACTCTCAGACACTGGTCCAGATACGGAATATACGGACCACGGTTTCGTGGTGGTCGAGAAGTCATGAGGTTGAACTGCGTTAGGCCTTCTATTTTGTTTTGCATAACCCTAGATCCGCCACTAAATACAGTTTTCGTACTTTAATATGATATAAAGGAACGCAATCTTCATAATCTTACGCAAAATGATGCATGGGGATGTTCAATTCGTGACACAAAGAGTGATGCCGCAATGTCACTACGTAACGTATATGTTGGGGTAACATTAATTATGCACTAGGTATCTTTAGAGATTCATTTTAAAAGAGGACGCGCCTCGCTCCCTTAAAATTAATTACTTCTACAGAGCTGGGGCCGGTTATATGAAAGCCGGATAGCGCTATTCACCAGATAGTGATTTTTTCATGCTTGAGGAGCACATAAAATTTCAGCTTTGGGACCAACGATTGTTACAGGAATACTAAATAACAACGATTGTTACTTAGGAATACTAAGATTTAACCAAAGTTATAGCCAACAACCGCCGATTTTGTGCTATGGTACAGTATTTGAAATATGTGTTTACATAAATTGACTAACTTATCTTAGTTTTATTTCTAAGTCTTCCAAAAAACGTACCTGTTGTCCAGACTTGGGACCACCACTTCCATCCACCGACCTTGTACCTTCACCGGCCACCACAGTTGGCTTTGTGTCCGGCAGAACTTTCATCTCCTCATTTTCATTAACTGCATCATAAAGGTTTCTGGCAACAACATATGACGGCTCTTCGTAGAACTGGTGTTTTTGTTTCTTTTTTTTATTTCTTGAAATTTTGCACTGAAACAAGGGAAAGAACTTTGTTCAGGTATACGGATGAACAAATGCATGCTGTCCAAGGCTTTTTTACTCTTGCCCTCTAAAGAGCCATTGTAAGAATATTGTACAGTCGCATTTGTCTTTGTCACATTTAAAAATGCCGTAACAAATGTTGTTTTCACAAAGGCCTTTCATTGTCGATGGCGTAGTTAGCTGGATAGTTTTATGGTGGCCATATTATTTTATATATTCAGCTGACAGACTGTAAAACAATAGATTTCCGCCAAAAATATACCTAACACTTAAGAACAAATTAAGGTATACCGTCGTTTAAGCGTCTAAGTCTATGCCGTCTGTACATCTAAGCGTGCGCATGCACGTGATCACAAAACATGTCTTAATTAGATTCCAAGTTGTAACGTTTTTTTGTGACTTTTTTGTCTTAAACTTAAAAGCGAAATTTTACATTTAGGGCCTGTTTATATGGAGCGAGTTATCCCGGTTAGGCGAGGTAAAAAGTGCATCAGCTAGATCAAATTAAGGCTTAACTGGATTAATCATTCACTATATAAGAATTATGCGGTTTTCACCTCGCCTAGCCGGGATACTCGCTCCATAAAAACGGGCTCTCATATCAAAAGTGTGTTTGCGTACAAACATTTCTGAAATTCTTTGAACGCTTGAATCCCGTTTCAGTAAAGCCGATTCTCCATTACCGTTCCCTCCGCCCGTGCGAAGAGCGCTTTGATTTCGTTTGAAATTTTGTTTTTAACTTATCGTTATATCTGTTTACATTTTTCAGCAAAGCCAATCAAAATGCCTAAACTTAAAGTGCCTATATCACTTGTGGGACCTTTACGGATTTGAATAGAGCTTGAAAAATTAGTTTATAAGTTCTACAACCCTTTTTGATATAGTTAAATAGTTTCGGAAATATTTACATCTAAACATGACGATTTGCCTAAATTTCCGTCGTGCTCGGGGGCCTGGGACTCAGGAACAGAGTTCTTGTCAAACATAATATAATCAATTGTAATTTTACTTCTTCCAATAACGTAAAATATTTTGAGAAAAACTCGCCGAGTTGCTATAGCCATACACAACGCACCGTTCCCGCATTTTTTTCTTGAAAGCGCAAACTATATCGCCAGTGAAACTCTTCATGTTTACATTATAAAAGACGGCGTGTTTGCAAGTCATTCCTGAGTCCCATTCCCCCCAACCGACGTATTTTCGAAACTATTTAATTATATCAAAAACGGTTGTAGAACTTATAAACAAATTTTTCATGCAAGCTCTCTTCAAATCCGTAAAGATCCTACAAGTGATATGGGCACTTTAATACCTCATGTAAAATGGTAAATAAGGTACTTTATTACCGGAAGTAATCAAAATTTATGCATTGCCAATGGTAAATGGTAACGAAAAATGTAAACAAACCCGCTGATTGATCTAAAATGATAACTAAAAGATACTTACACACAAAACAATGATAATGATTATAAGAATAAACACAACAATTCCCGCAATAATTACTCCAATCTGCCACCAATTTAATCCCAGTATAACATCGTCATCATCATCCTCCTCATCAATTTCATTATACGATTCGAATGCCAAAACTTTAAATTGACTAGTATTTGTCCCATAATCATCGAGAATATTCTTTAATTTACGTAAATCTGCACTTTTTGAATTTTGAAAATACAGCCGTGCAACACACACAATACTTCCAGGTTTGAATTTAATAATAGCCACCGAAAGAAGATTTCCTGAAGCTCTATACGCGGTTTCAACGTCTTTCACCACTCTTTTCTTCATCGTTAAGAATTCCAAGCTTTGTTTATCGTTGAGATCGACATGGAAAGATTCGTTGGTATAATTTAAAGAAGCCTCGATAACTAACACTTCTTTTTTGGGTGTTGTAATGACCGTGGAGGAAGCTTGTGTAGGAATGGCACGAGTACTATTTCCTTTAGAGTAAAAAGTACTAGACGTAGACACGTTTACTGTCACAGAACCAGAAATCAGAATATTATTGGAACTCGTGGAGATAATGGAAGTATTAAGATCCATTGCTGTGGTGATAACCATGGATGTCGTTTCATCATCCACTGCTGTTCCTATAAAACTCGTTGAAAACGTTGATGGAGAAGGCATGGGTGATGTAATAACCTTTCTGCTTGTGGTAATAACCATAGAGGAAGTCATAGGTTGAGTAGGAATTCCATGAGTTCCATTGGGCCGTTTGGGCTGAGCGTAGAAAGTACTAGAAATCACTGGGTTTACATAAGTTTTATTATCCTCTGCTGTTTCTATGAAACTCGTTGATGGAGCAGGCATATATGGCGTCGACGTATTCAAACTATCTGTCATATTAACAAAAATATGTCTTAATTATTAGATTAGCAGCAATTCATTGAATATCCTGCTTCTGTAAAGTAAATGAATACGGTTGGGGTTTATGTGAACCAAAAAATTGATACAATATCGAAGTGAATGACAGGGCCAGGGTGGGGAGTTTAATTTCGCTGATAAATGAGTTAAGTCAAAGGGCTGGCTACTCGAACTGAAATTCTAAATTCGTTTTATGTTGTATATCAACGATTTTCAGAAGTTTATTCTCCGCAAACTAGGGCGTGAGTTTATGGAAAAAATTGGGTTGAGGACCAAAATCTAAAAATCCGTAGTGAGGAGCAACTTTTGCCGGGGGTAAGTGATAAAAATTCTTATTGTCCACAAAGGGTCTATAGAACGAAGAACGTTTGGAACATCTGAAATGGCCGATTAATAGTCTTCTTTTCATCTTTTATCATAAATTTTCTTTGCCTTTTGCATTCAAATCGGTCATTGTTGACTGTTTTAAAGTTTTCAGCCAGTGCCGTAGAAAGCATCCAGAGACTGGGGGGGGGGAGAGGGGCACAAGCTTCCAGCGGCAGGTATAGGGACGGTTTGATTGCCAAAGGACCCACTAATGTGGTTTATATTTATGCTCTACAAAAAGATTCGAGCACGTGTAAGTGGGTATACGTATAGGAAACAAAAGGGCACCTACGAATTCAAAATAGTATTAACTATTTACAGCCACGTCAGCTTCAGCAAAAAGGCATTTTTCATTGCAAAAAAGGCACTTTTGGCCCTTGAAAAAAATTTTGGGGGGGCGTGGGGATGGAGGTCACGTAGCCTCGGTTCCTACGCTCTGTTCACAGCTACAGAATACAAAGATTCTGTCTGTTTGTTGAGTAATCTTAAACTCCATATTATATCTACAGGACGGAAATTATAATAACCGGGGAGCAGAATGGTGGCGTCTTCAAACAACTTCGCGTGAAATGTAGTATAACAACTGCTTGAAATAAACAAAAACACTTCTCGATGTTTTGACCTAATGCCTGGTCTCCATGCATTTAGTCGTGGGTGTCGTGAACATGTCATAGCTGGATGATGTGACAGAATTATTTCTATGTGTGTGCGGTCAACAATGACCGATTTGCCGGAATGCAGAAATATAGACAAATTTACATCGGGACTATTTCTCATCGGTAGAAATATATTTGAACAAAGCCTATATCTCAAGGAAGTCACAGGCGGTCAGATTTTCCCGCCTCCTCACTGCGTGCCTAAATCAATCATCTGTCAATTCGATTTCCAAATTGAAGTTCATATACCTGTTTTCAGTCGAAATTTTATAAAATTCGGCTCATATATATGTATATTCTAAAACCAATGTGGCAATTTTAAGACCAACGCGTCACTGTGACCTAAACTTCGAGTCCATGGCAGATAAGCAGTGACAAGGCAATAGTTTTGACCAGGATATCGGGTCTCAATTATAACTAAAATTAATACACGGATTTATAATCATAAGGAGGCACGGACGTACGAACACAAAATAGTGTATTTAGAATTCATTCCTATGTGAAACAATTTGTGTTGTTGTCGAGTGTTCACAAAAAATGCTGGACCGAATAAATACAAACACCCAATCAAGCGATTCTACTGGCCTCCAGACATTGAAATAGACTTATCGTCAAGGAAGGTAGTCTATATCTATATCTATATCTATATCGCACCAAACCGTGCACCAACATTCACGAATCACAAGCTACACTTGTGGCGGATAGCGATAACCAGGCGTGTTGTTGCTCGTACGTGGCAATAAATAAATAAATACTTACTCGCTGTCACATTTGTTGATGTTAAGACAGCCGTGCAGTTGAACAACAGGAATATAAAGATCACTCCCTGAATAACCATTTCTCCGCTGTTTAAATAGTTACCCAAATACTTCGGAAAATGACGTTTTCCCAGGTACGTGAAATTCAGTCTTCCTCCTGCGGTATGTCGAACAGTCGAAGCTTGATGCTTATGCCGTTATCACGAACACTAAGTATAGTTGTCACAACATAGAGTTGAACATTCCACAGTGCATTATATTATAATTGGCGTAAAAAATATGTGCAATCAAGCAATCATATCTACTTTTTTATCGAAGTGAATTATGGCTCCCAAATATATTCTCATTATGGGTAAAAATATTTCATTATAACTGAAATATCGTATAAAAGGCGTGAAGATTCAGATCAACAGAATTCAAAATATTACTTTCACTATTCAGGTCTTTAAGTCATGCAGCTTTGAATAAAGGCTCCCTACAGAGAGGCTCTCAGAGAAGGCCAGGAATCATTTTCGCGATTCACAAGCCTGTTGTACTGGAACGGAATAAAATCAGCTGATCTCTTTTGCGTCTGGAGCACGTACCCAAGGGAAGGGGTAGGGGGAGGTGGTTATTTGAATATATCGTAATTATATCGTAATATCATAATAACATTATGATATTATTTGATTATGAACACTTTACAGGTTTTAAATACCGGAATATCTGAATAACAAATAGATATATGAAATGTGTTTCGGATTGTTTTGGTCACGTGTTAGGTTAACGGCTGAACGTGAAGGTTGACTAACCTAAAGTATTGAGTCAGGCGAGCCGCTGGTCGCGTTGACCACTTTTCATCTTAGTTAAAAATATAAACGTACGTACTTTCCTGAGTAGATGGCCATAAAAAGAGCGGTATAAGACTTGAATAGTCTCAATCATACCATTCCATTCTTCAAGTATATCACAAAATAGTATTATTCTTGATAAATTTTAAAAAAGCAAAACTAAAGTCGCGGAAGTGGGAAGTAGTTGGCATGGTGCCCCAGTTTTTTGAAAACACCAGATGTTCTCCCTTTTCGAAGCGATATCTTTGTCTCGATCCCTACTTTCAAGAGAGCTATCTGTAATAACAAGCCAAGTCTTTCTCCACTTGCCATTTTTCTTTTCTTTTCTCTTCACGTCAAAATACTGTTATTAAATATGCTTGGTATTTTACTTTTATTACGAGTAAACAACTTTTTTATATACAATACTTCTTAGAAAATTGTTAAGAATGAAATGGACTTATTACATATTTTTCGTTCGAGTATATTAAACTATTATGAAAATATAATATTAATCACGAATAATAAGCTAATCAACTCGAAAACAGTACCTCTGTGTTAAATACTCTGGAAGATTTTCATGACAGTATGAAACACGATATTAGTTCGGGAAGAACTCTACGAAAACAGTCAAACAATTGATAAAAAACCTCCATAAAATTTCTCATTTATGTTTTAGTCATTAAACCAGGATTACAGAAATTAAAAGAAACTTCAAAATTCTGAACTCTTCTGGATGAAATGGGTAAAAATTTATTCACCATATGCTTCGTTTTTCAAAAATCCAAGGGATTTTGTGAGTTGGCAAAAATGTAGGACAACACATTGTCAATGGGGAAGATTCCTTAATCTTCAGTTAAAGGATTAGGGCACTTCCATTTGATTGCTGCTGACTGCTGTATATCCTTCAGAAATTCTCAATACGCCGCGGAGGTCAGAGTTTTCTTCTTTATGTACATAAAAAGGACCGAGGATCCACCATTATCGCTGAATCATATACGCGAATTATCGGCCCAATCCTGCATGATAGGTGATTTGTAGGGAGATCTATCGCAAACGTTCACCTAATCCATTGGCTCTACCATTTTGACAGTCTATAGTTTAGCTCTTGACTTATCAATGAATTGTGCAAAGTTTAACCTTTTTTTCATATAGTTATTTTTCCTAATGCAAAGAGGAAGCTTTAGCTGTAGTCATATGATTCAACCCTGACAGACGATTCCAGGTGGTTCTCGTAACACTTGTCAATCCAATCCCTCATAAAACTTTGGACTAGTTCGCAAGAAACTCTTACGATCATTCGCACGGCTTTTCTCAAACGGTTTTTAAAGGCTCGTTCTTTAACGGATTTCAATCTCGAGGTCACATCGAGGTTTCCTGTTTCTCTTCCGAGGTTGCAACGATTTTCTGAAAGTAGGAAGCCATCAATTTTGAAAGATGGCTTGATTTTGGCCTGCCATACCTTTGTTGTTTCTTTTTTCTGTTATTCTGCCCGATAATATAGCTAGTTTTTGATTTTTGAAACCGATGTCGTGGGCCACCTGTATTTGAGTGCTCGGATTTTCAAATTACGCGGCGAAAGAAAAATGCCAAAATTGCAACGTTTTTTGTGCAAATATTCCAAAATTCCTTGAAAATCTCCTCAAATTATCCATGAAAATCGCTTCTACACTGAATGCAAGCTGCGAAAATTCTTCCCAAACTTGTATCGTGGTTCATACTGTACCATGGTACATTTTCATTTTTTCCGTTCTGCGCATGTCTTCTGATTATATAACAAAATAAGCAACATTCCAGGCGTCATGACATGGCAGTTGGAGTATAAAAGAAGATTTGTCTTGCTTGATTAAATAAACAATAGTGGAGGTGCCCCGTGTCACTTTTCGAATGTTGCTTAGTTTTGTTATGAGCAGAAAATATACACAGAATAGACTTTATTATCATCTTTAACTGTTCAGTAAGTTGAATACGTTTGCGAATACGTTTATGTCGTTCATTAACATACATTAGCGAGAATTTGACTGCCTACATAATTGATAAATACCTATACTAAAGTAAGTTAAAGCATGCACCCCCAAAAAGAGATATTTTCCAAACCTGCAGTTTTTTCAGTTATATCGTATTGATCCAACTTTATCAAGAACTTCATGACCTTCAAAAGATCTAATCAATGTTTCTGAAATATTGTTATATTATATTGGATGTCTATGACATCTAAATTGATTGCATATACCAGCATTCTTTTGTCTTGCCGATATGTTAAAGACGTGAAGGGATGATGTGCTGAATTCATCTGCACTTGGGCCAAAGTATATTTTTGTGATTTAAGAATTTTCAACAACCTCATCGAAATGTAAATGTACGCCATCTTCTAAAATATTTCACCAAACCATCATGACGTGTTTCCTTGGATGAAATGTTTACGTCCTGCAAAAGTAATTGCAACATAAAATCATGAATTATACTAATATAAGTTAATTTTCTTATTTTCTCGAAGCATCATTGATGTTTTCCTCTGTCTACAGCGTAAAGTAAAGTGTCTAATTCTAAATTTTAGGGGGCATCTTAATTTCATGATATTACAGGTGCTTCACTTAATCACATTCATTACATAAAACAAACTTTATTCAATGATATTTGTTGTTCGTGTTATTGAGTTAGACGACGTCACATGGTGCCAATAAAATGCATGAAATATATTAACATTTGACACCTAACAGGTGAACAAAAACAGTTAAAGTAAACTTACTCGTCCACCAGACTCTAGATCAATATTTTCAGTCGTTGTACTTGTTCCAGCATTCTGGTCATTCAATGTTTTTGCTCGTAGTCCGATTTCTTCGTGTTCATTAATGTTATTCCTCGAAAAGCGGGCGTTGTATGATAAAAGTTCCGCTTTTCTATTCTTTCCCATTCGTGAAATCTTGCACTAGAATATGAATATGATAAAAGAGAAATAAGCCCCGCTGTTCCACTATGCAATTTTTCTTGCAGTCCGAATCAACTTTTGAGAGATGTAAATTTGGCTACTACGAAACTTTTGTGTTTATTACTCCATCTTAAACTCACATTATGAAAACGCTCCTCTACTTTACGTGACGTAGCGTAGCCAGCCTGTCGATTTGTCCCGCTATGCTAATATTTTAGTGTTCACTGACTGTGAAAACAATAAATTTCTAAAGACATGAATAATTATAATAACTCGAAATTTACATAGCAGGACAAAATCGTCAGGCTGGCTACGCCACTGTTTACGTCTCTCCAAAGTAGAATTGCATTGCAAGTTGGAAAAAATTATTGCATCGTGTAACACGGCCTTACCGTCGGTTATGCAACATTAATTTTATATGCACATGGTTTTGCAGGTTAAAAGAACGATCGATTGTAGGGATGGGTCTCAATCAGAATAACCTTTTATCTATCTGCACCACGAACTAAATTATTTGAACAAGCTTAGGCAAAATATCTCTCATCATTGCAGATATGGGCGTACAGTACAATTTGGATCCAGGCGCATTCACACCCGGAAACTGAACCTATGGCATAATCTAGTCAATACGTTTGTTAGTGTAAGGCAATGGCGTTACTAGAACGATAATTGGGAGGTGGAGTAGGGGTGTGTTTATTCATATATTCAGTTCTGCTAGACGGATTTCTATTGTAAGCTATTGCACTTACAAAAGAAACCTGTCGGGCAGAACTGAATACATGAATATTCACACCCATCCCGCCCCCAATTATCGTTCTAGTTACGCCACTGGACTGACATCATTTACTGCAAATCGTTAGGCAGGAAAAGAGGCTATTCTAGAAACAAGTACAGGCCTGACCTGTAACTAACTAAATCGTATTCTGTTGAAAACTACCCATCAAACGTGAAAGATAATTACATATCCGGACAGAAAAAGTCTCTTAGTATGTTTTCTAGCAAATAATCAAACCAACTACGACAATATTAACCGTCCCGATTAACGCGCCCATGCAGGTGGAAAAGTCCCTTAACTAATCCCAGGTAGTTGTTATATATACCAGATTATTTTGAAAGGTTTTAAAAGAAAGTAAAAAAGTATAAACTTACACAAAGGAAAATAACAGCCATGAAAAATATAAGTGCAACTACTCCCGCAGCAAAGACTCCGATCTGCCACCAATCTAATCCCAGTATTACGTCGTCATCATCCGCAGTACCATTCTCTTCGGGTGCTTCTTTGAAGCTAGAAACTTCAAATTCACCGCTGGATGTTCCATAATCCGCCAATGGTTTCTCCAGATCAGGAACGTCATTTTTAGTCGAGTTCCCAAAGTACAACCGCATGTCACAAACAATGCTTCCAGGAAAAAATGCAATGACGATAACAGATATAAAATTTTTTGTTTCGTTGTAAGCATTTGACACTTTGATCTCAACCTCCAGCTTTAATTGCAAGAACTTCAAGCTTTGCTTGTTATGAAGATCTTCATGGAAGATTCTACTCGTAAACTTTATTGTAGCTTCGAGAATTAACGGTTTCTCGCTTCTTTTCGTGGGCAAAACACTCGGGAACAGTTCGGTGGTTTTTGGGATAGTGGTCATTGATTGTGCACCAATGTTGGGTAAGATCGAAGATTTACTGCCATTGAAAATACCAGTACTTGGTTGCAACACAAATGTAGTTAAGGAACGTGATTTAATAGTATTTGTAATCGGAGTGATAGAAAATTTTCTGATTAGAACGGACGTTGTGCTATGTGAATTATTTTTGTTAGGAAAAATCGATCCGGCTGGAATAAAACTTGTGGAGCGTGTTTCAGTAGCTGTATCATTTGTTTGCGATGATATGAGCTTTGTTTCAGATGTTTTTTGTTTTGCGGAATTGAAAATGGAAGCAGTTGGTTCAGTGCCGGTTAGTGATTCAGTTATGTTAATGATGAATAAAGTTTGTCGAGTCTTGTCAGGTCTTTTACTGGATGATTCTAGGTTTATAGTGTTATAAATAACAACAGTCGATTCTTTACTTTTCGCTGAAATGCTTGGTTTCTCGGTTACATTGATAATAGTGATAGTTAATTGTGTATTAGGTGATTCAGTTGCATTAATAGTAGCGATGTATGGTTCAGTTCTACCTCCTGTTATTCTAAGAGAATTAGTTGAATCGACAGTAGTGATAGTTGGTTGAGTTCTATTTGGTGTGATACTGAGGGATCCCACTGCACTCATAATCGTTAGGGCTGGCTGTGGACTATTTTGTGTAACACCAAGTGATTCAGTTGCGGTAATAATGGACATAGTTATTTTTGAACTAAAAGAAATATCTGAGTGAATACCACGGTTGTTGGTGAGTACTACTAAGTTTATACCGGGTGATTCAGTTGCATTGATAATGGTTATAGTTGGATGTGAACTGTAAGCTGTAACATCAAGTGATTCAGTTGCGTTAATATTAGCGACAGTCGGTTGAGTCCTATTAGGTGTTATACCAAGTGATTCAGTTGCATTCATAACGGTTATTGTTGGCTGAGTTCCATTGGGTGTCCCAACAAATGATTCAGTTGCATTCGTTATGGTTATAGTTAGCTGAGTTTTATTGGGTGTTATACTAACTGATGCAATTGAATTGATAACGCTTGCATGTACAATGGTTATAGCAGGTTGAGTTCTATTGGATGTAACACCATGTGATTCAGTTGCATTAACAATAGCAATAGTTATTTCAGACCTATTTGGTGTTATACCAACTGATCGATTTGCACTGGTAATGGTTACAGTTGGTTGTGAATTGTTGGGTGTAACAGCAAGTGATTCAGTTGGATTTATAATGGTTATAGTTGTTTGAGTTTTATTAGGTGTTATACCAGGTGATTTAGTGGAATTGATAATGGTTATAGTTGGTTGGGTTCCATTTGGTGTTATACCAACGGATTCAGTGGCATTGATAAAGGTTATAGTTGGTTGAGTTCCATTGGGTGTTATACTAAGTGATTCAGTTGCATTGGTAATGGTTGTCGTTGGTTGAGTACTGCTAAGAGTTATAGCAAGTGATTCAGTCGCATTGATAGTGGTTGCAGTTGGTTGTTTACTGCTGTGTGTAACATCAAGGGATTCAGTTGCGTTAATATTAGCAACAGTCAGTTGAGTCCTATTAGGTGTTATACCAAGTGATTCAGTTGCATTCATAACGGTTATTGTTGGCTGAGTTCCATTAGGTGTCCCAACAAATGATTCAGTTGCATTCGTTATGGTTATAGTTGGTTGAGTTTTATTGGGTGTTATACTAACTGATGCAATTGAATTGATAACGCTTGCATGTACAATGGTTATAGCAGGTTGAGTTCTATTGGATGTAACACCATGTGATTCAGTTGCATTAACAATAGCAATAGTTATTTCAGACCTATTGGGTGTTATACCAACTGATCGATTTGAACTGGTAATGGTCACAGTTGGTTCTGAATTGTTGGGTGTAACAGCAAGTGATTCAGTTGGATTTATAATGTTTATAGTTGTTTGAGTTTTATTGGGTGTTATACTAAGTGATTCAGTTGTATTGGTAATGGTTGTCGTTGGTTGAGTACTGCTAAGAGTTATAGCAAGTGATTCAGTCGCATTGATAGTGGTTACAGTTGGTTGTTTACTGCTGTGTGTAACATCAAGGGATTCAGTTGCGTTAATATTAGCAACAGTCAGTTGAGTCCTATTAGGTGTTATACCAAGTGATTCAGTTGCATTCATAACGGTTATTGTTGGCTGAGTTCCATTGGGTGTCCCAACAAATGATTCAGTTGCATTCGTTATGGTTATCGTTGGTTGAGTTTTATTCGGTGTTATACTAACTGATGCAATTGAATTGATAACGCTTGCATGGACAATGCTTATAGTCGGTCGAGTTCTATAGGATGTAATACCATGTGATTCAGTTCCATCAAAAATAGCAATAGTTATTTCAGTCCTATTGGGTGTTATACCAACTGATTCATTTCCGGTGGTAATGGGTACAGTGGGTCGTGAACTGTTGGGTGTAACAGCAAGTGATTCAGTTGCATTGATAGTGGTTATAGTTGGTCGAAATCCATTAGGTGTTACACTAAGCGATTCAGTTGCATTGGTAATGCTTATAGTTGGTTCAGTTTTATTCGGTGTTATACCAAGTGATTCAGTTGCATTGATAATAGTTATAGTCGCTTGAGTTATATTAGATATAACGCCATGTGCTTCCGTTGCATTAACAATCGTAATAGTTATTTGAGTCTTATTGGGTGTTATACCAAGTGACTCAGTTGCATTGGTAACGGTTCCAGTTGGTTGTGAACTTTTGGGTTTAACATTACGTGATTCAGTTGCATTTATCACGGTTAAAGTCGGTTGAGTTTCATTTGCTGTTAAACTAAGTGATTTATTAGTTGTATTGATAAGGGTAATAGTTGGTTGAGTTCCACTGGGTGTTACACCAAGTGATTCAGTTGCATTGATAACGGTTATAGTTGTTTGAGTTTTACTGGGTGTTATACTAAATGATTCAGTTGTGTTGATAATGCTAATAGTTGGTTGAGTTCCATTGGCTGTCATAACAAGTGATTGAGTTGCATTCAATATGGTTATAGTTAGTTGAGTTCCATTGGGTGTTACACCAAGTGATTCATTTACATTGATAACGGTTAGAGTTGTTTGAGTTTCATTTGGTGCTATACTGAGTGATTCAGTTGCGTTAGTAATGGCTATGGTTGCTTGCATTTTATTGGGTGTCATAACAAGTGATTCAGTTGCATTGATAATTGTTAAAGTTGCTGGAGTTGTATTAGATATAACACCATATGATTCCGTTGCATTAACAATCGCAATAGTTATATGAGTCTTATTGGGTGTTATACCAAGTGATTCAGTTGCATTGATAATCGTTAAAGCAGGTTTTGAACTGTTGGCTGTAACACGAAGTGATTCAGTTGCATTTATCATGCTTATAGTTGGTTGAGATCCATTAGGTGCTACACCAAGTGATTCAGTTGCATTGATAACGGTTATAGTTGTTTGAGTTTTATTGGGTGTTACACTAAATGATTTAGTTGTGTTGATAATGGTAATAGTTGGTTGAGTTCCATTTGGTGTCATAACAAGTGATTCAGTTGTATTCATTATGGTTATAGTTGGTTGAGTTCCGTTTGGTGTTACATCAAGTGATACGGCAGTTACATTGATAACGCGTAAAGTTGTTCGAGTTTTATTGGGTGTTATACTAAATGACTTAGTTGCGTTGATAACGGTAATAGTTAGCTGAGTTCCATTTGGTGTCATAACAAGTGATTCAGTTGCATTCAATATGGTTATAGTTTGCTGAGTTCCGTTGGGTGTTACAGCTAGTGATGCTGTTGCGTTTATAACGGTTATAGTTCTTTGAGTTTTATTGGGTGTTATACTAAGTGAGTCAGTGGCATTGATAATGGTAATAGTTGGTTCTGAACTTTTGGGTTTAACACCAAGTGATTCAGTTGCATTGATAATGGTTACAGTTGGTTGTGAACTGTTGGGTGTGACGCCAAGTGATTCGGTTGCATTTATCACGGTTATAGGTGGTTGAGTTCCATTTGTTGTTACACTAAGTGATTTAATTGTATTGATAAAGGTTATAGTTGGTTGAGTTTTATTGGGTGTTATACTAAGTGATTCAGTTGCATTGATAATGTTAATGTTTGGTTGAGTTCCATTGGGTGTGATGACAAGTGATTCAGTTGTACTCATTATGGTTATAGTTGGTTGAGTTCCGTTTGGTGTTACATCAAGTGATTCAGTTACATTGATAACGCTTATAGTTGTTTGAGTTTTATTTGTTGTTATACTGAGTGATTCAATAGCATTGGTAATACTTATGGTTGGTTGAGTTCTATTCGGCGTTATACCAAGTGATTCTGTTGCATTAATAATGGTTATGGTTGGTTGAGTCCTATTGGCTTTTATACTAAGTGATTCAGTTGCATTGATAATAGTTATAGTCGCTGGAGTTTTATTAGATATAACACCATATGATTCCGTTGCATTAACAATCCCATTAGTTATATGAGTCTTATTGGGTGATATACCAAGTGATTCAGTTGAATGGATAACGGTTATAGTTGTTTGAGTTTTATTGGGTGTTATACTAAGTGAGTCAGTTGCATTGATAATGGTAATAGTTGTTTTTTTTCCATTGGGTGTTATACGAAGTGGCTGAGTTGCGTTGGTAATTCTTCCAGTTGCTTGCGAACTTTTGGGTTTAACACCAAGTGATTCAGTTGCATTGATAATCGCTATAGTTGTTTGAGTTCCATCGGGTGTTATACTGAGTGATTCAGTGGCATTGGTAACACTTATAGTTGGTTGAGTACTATTCGGCGTTATACCAATTGATTCGGTTGCATTGATAATGTGTATGGTTGATTGAGTCATTTTGGGTTTTATACTATGTGATTCAGTTGCATTGATAATGTGTATGGTTGATTGAGTCCTCTTAGGTTTCGTACTAAATGATTCAGTTGCATTGATAATTGTTATAGTCGCAGGAGTTGTATTAGATATAACACCTTGTGATTCCGTTGCATTAACAATCGCAATCGTTATATGAGTCTTATTGGTTGATATACCAAGAGATTCAGTTGCATTGATAATGGTTAAAGCTGGTTTTGAACTGTTGGCTGTAACACGAACTGTTTCCGTTGCATTTATCACGCTTAAAGTTGGTTGAGTTCCATTGGTAGTTACACGAAGTGATTCAGTTCCATCGATAACGGTTATAGTTGTTTGAGTTTTACTGGGTGTTATACTAAATGATTCAGTTGCGTTGATAATGGTAATAGTTTGTTCAGTTCCATTGCGTGTTATACCAAGTGACTCAGTTTCATTGGTAATGGTTCCAGTGGGTTCTAAACTTTTGGGTTTAACACCAAGTGATTCAGTTGCATTGATTATGGTTACAGTATGTTGTGAACTGTTGGGTGTAACACCAAGTGATTCAGTTGCATTGATAACGGTTATAGGTGGTTGAGTTCTATTTGCGGCTACACTAAGTGATTTAGTTGTATATATAAAGGTTATAGTTGGTTGAGTTCCATTGGGTGTTATACTGAGTGATTCAGTTGCATTGGTAATACTTATAGTTGGTTGAGTTCTATTCGGCGTTATACCAAGTGATTCAGTTGCATTGATAATGGTTATGGCTGGTTGAGTTCCATTAAGTTTTATACTAAGTGATTCAGTTGCATTGATAATTGTTATACTCGCTGGAGTTGTATTAGATATAACACCATATGATTCCGTTGCATTGACAATCGCAATAGTTATTTGAGTGTTTTTGGGTAATACACCAAAAGATTCATTTGCATTGATAACGGTTATAGTTGTTTGAGTTTTATTGGGTGTTATACTAAATGATTCAGTTGTGTTGATAATGGTAATAGTTGGTTGAGTTCCATTTGGTGTCATAACAAGTGATTCAGTTGAATTCAATATGGTTATGGTTGTTTGAGTTCCCTTGGGTGTTACGGCACGTGATTCAGTTGAATGGATAACGGTTATAGTTTTTTGAGTTTTATTGAGTGTTATACTAGGTGAGTTAGTTGCGTTGATAATGGTAATAGTTGGTTCAGTTCCATTGGGTGTTATACGAAGTGGCTGAGTTGCATTGGAAATTGTTCCAGTTGCTTGGGAACTTTTCGGTTTAACACCAAATGATTCAGTTGCATTGATAATCGTTATAGTTGGTTGAGTTCCAGTGGGTGTTATACTGAGTGATTCAGTTGCATTGGTAATACTTATAGCTGGTTGAGTTCTATTCGGCGTTATACCAAGTGATTCAGTTGCATTGATAATGGTTATGGTTGGTTGAGTAATTTTTGGTTTTATACTACGTGATTCAGTTGCATTGATAATTGTTATAGTCGCTGGAGTTGTATTAGATATAACACCATATGATTCCGTTGCATTGACAATCGCAATAGTTATTTGAGTGTTTTTGGGTGTTATACCAAGTGATTCAGATGCATTTGTCACGCTAATAGTTGGTTGCAATTGAGTCCCATTGGGTGTTACACCAAGAGATTTAGTTGCATTGATAACGGTTATAGTTGTTTGAGTTTTATTGGGTGTTATACTAAATGATTCAGTTGCATTAATAATAGTAATAGTTGGTTCAGTTCCATTGGGTGTTATACCAAGTGACTCAGTTGCATTGGTAATGTTTCCAATTGGTTGTGAACTTTTGGGTGTAACGCAAAGTGATTCAGTTACATTTATCACGGTTATAGTTGGTTGAGTTGAATTGCGTGTTACACTAAGTGATTTAGTTGTATTGATAAGGGTTATAGTTGGTTGAGTTCCATTGGGTGTTATACCAAATGATTCAGTTGCATTGATAACGGTTATGGTTGTTTGAGTTTTATTTGGTGTTATATCAAATGATTCAGTTGTGTTGACAATGGTAATAGTTGGTTGAATTCCATTGGGTGTCATAACAAGTGATTCAGTTGCATTCAATATGGTTATGGTTTTTTGAATTCCCTTGGTTGTTACGGCACGTGATTCAGTTGAATGGATAACGGTTATAGTTTTTTGAGTTTTACTGGGGATTATACTAAGTGAGTCAGTTTCGTTGATAATGGTAATAGTTGGTTCAATTCGATTTGGTGTTATACGAAGTGGCTTAGTCATATTGGAAATTGTTCCATTTGCTTGGTAACTTTTGGGTTTAACACGAAGTGATTGAGTTTCATTGATAATCGTTATAGTTGGTTGATTTCTAGTGGGTGTTATACTGATTGATTCAGTTGCATTGGTAATACTTTTAGTTGGTAGAGTTCTATTCGGCGTTATACCAAGTGATTCACTTGCATGGATAATGGTTATGGTTGGTTGAGTCATTTTGGGTTTTATACTAAGTGATTCAGTTGCATTGATAATTGTTATAGTCGCTGGAGTTGTATTGGATATAACACCATATGACTCCGTTGCATTGACAATCGCAATAGTTATTTGAGTGTTTTTGGGTGTTGTACCAAGTGATTCAGTTGCATTTTTCACGCTAATATTTGGTTGAGTTAAATTGCGTGTTACACTAAGTGATTTAGTTGTATTGATAAGGGTTATAGTTGGTTGAGTTACATTGGGTGTAACACCAAATGATTCAGTTGCATTGATAACGGTTATAGTTGTTTGAGTTTTACTGGGTGTTATACTAAATGATTCAGTTGCGTTGATAATGGTAATAGTTTGTTCATTTCCATTGGGTGTAATACCAAGTGACTCAGTTGCATTGGTAATGGTTCCAGTTGGTTCTGAACTTTTGGGCCTAACACCAAGTGATTCAGTTGCATTGATAATGGTTACAGCTGGTTGTGAATTGGTGGGTGTAACACCAAGTGATTTAGTTGCATTTATCACGGTTATAGGTGGTTGAGTTCTATTTGCTGTTACACTAAGTGATTTAGTTGTATTGATAAAGGTTATAGTTGGTTGAGTTCCATTGGGTGTTATACTGTGTGATTCAGTGGCATTGGTAATACTTATAGTTGGTTGAGTTCTATTCGGCGTTTTACCAAGTGATTCAGTTGCATTGATAATGGTTATGGTTGGTTGAGTCCTATTGGGTTTTATACTAAGTGATTCAGTTGCATTGATAATTGTTATAGTTGCTGGAGTTGTATTAGATATAACAGCATGTGATTCCGTTGCATTAACAATCGCAATAGTTATATGAGTCTTATTGGGTGATATACCAAGTGATTCAGTTGCATTGATAATGGTTACAGTTTGTTTTGAACCGTTAGCTGTAACACCAAGTGATTCAGTTGCATTTATCACGCTTATAGTTGGTTGAGTTCCATTGGGAGTTACACTAAATGATTTAGTTTTATTGATAACGGTTATAGTTGGTTGAGTTGCATTGGTTGTTACACCAAGTGATTCAGTTGCATTGATAACAGTTATAGTTGTTTGAGTTTTATTGGGTGTTATACTTAATGATTCAGTTGTGTTGACAATGGTAATAGTTGGTAGAGTTCCATTGGGTGTCATAACAAGTGATTCAGTTGCATTTAATATGGTTATAGTTTTTTGAGTTCCCTTGGTTGTTACGGCACGTGATTCAGTTGAATGGATAACGGTTATAATTGTTTGAGTTTTATTTGGTGTTATACTAAATGATTCAGTTGCGTTGATAATGTTAATAGTTGGTTGAGTTCCAATGGGTGTCATAACAAGTGATTCAGTGGTATTCATTTTGGTTTAGTTAGTTGAGTTCCGTTGCGTGTTACATCAAGTGATTCAGTTGCATTGATAACGCTTATAGTTGTTTGAGTTTTATTTGGTGTTATACTAAATGATTCAGTTGCGTTGATAATGGTAATAGTTGGTTCAGTTCCATTGGGTGTTATACCAAGTGACTCAGTTGCATTGCTAATGGTTCCAGTTGGTTCTGAACTTTTGGGTTTAACACTAAGTGATTCAGTTGCATTGATAATGGTTACAGTTGGTTGTGAACTGTTGGGTGTAACACCAAGTGATTCAGTTGCATTGTTAACGGTTATAGTTGTTTGAGTTTTATTTGGTGTTATACTAAATGATTCAGTTGTGTTGACAATGGTAATAGTTGGTTGAGTTCGATTGGGTGTCATAACAAGTGATTCAGTTGCAATCAATATGGTTATGGTTTTTTGAATTCCCTTGGTGGTTACGGCACGTGATTCAGTTGAATAGATAACGGTTATAGTTTTTTGAGTTTTATTTGGTTGTATACCAAGTGATTCAGTTGCATTGATAATGGTAACAGTTGGTTGTGAACTGTTGGGTGTAACGCGAAGTGATTCAGTTGCATTGATAGCGGTTATAGTTGTTTGAGTTTTATTTGGTGTTATACTAAATGATTCAGTTGTGATGATAATGGTAATAGTTGGTTTTGTTCCATTGGGTGTTATACGAAGTGGCTGAGTGGTGTTGGTAATTGTTCCAGTTGCATGTGAACTTTGTGATTTAACACCAAGTGATTCAGTTGCATTGATAATCGTTATAGTCGGTTGAGTTCCATCGGGTGTTATACTGAGTGATTCAGTGGCATTGGTAATACTTATAGTTGGTTGAGTTTTATTTGGCGTTATACCAATTGATTCAGTTGCATTGATAATGTGTATGGCTGATTGAGTCCTATTAGGTTTCATACTAAGTGATTCAGTTGCATTGATAATTGTTATAGTCGCAGGAGTTGTATTAGACATAACACCTTGTGATTCCGTTGCATTGACAATCGGAATAGTTACATGAGTCTTATTGGGTGATATACCAAGTGATTCAGTTGCATTGATAATGGTTAAAGCTGGTTTTGAACTGTCGGCTGTAAGACGAAGTGATTCAATTGCATTTATCACGCTTAAAGTTGGTTGAGTTCCATTGGTAGTTACACGAAGTGACTCAGTTGCATTGATAACGGTTATAGTTGTTTGAGTTTTACTGGGTGTTATACTGAATGATTCAGTTGCGTTGATAATGCTAATAGTTTGTTCAGTTCCATTGGGTGTTATACCAAGTGACTCAGTTGCATTGGTAATGGTTCTAGTTGGTTCTGAACTTTTCGGTTTAACACCAAGTGATTCAGTTGCATTGATTATGGTTACAGTTAGTTGTGAACTGTTGGGTGTAACGCGAAGTGATTCAGTTGCATTGATAACGGTTATAGTTGTTTGATTTTTATTTGGTGTTATACTAAATGATTCAGTTGCGTTGATAATGCTAATAGTTTGTTCAGTTCCATTGGGTGTTATACCAAGTGACTCAGTTGCATTGGTAATGGTTCTAGTTGGTTCTGAACTTTTCGGTTTAACACCAAGTGATTCAGTTGCATTGATTATGGTTACAGTTGGTTGTGAACTGTTGGGTGTAACGCCAAGTGATTCAGTTGCATTGATAACGGTTATAGTTGTTTGAGTTTTATTTGGTGTTATACTAAATGATTCAGTTGTGTTGATAATGGTAATAGTTGGTTGAGTTCCATTGGGTGTCATAACAAGTGATTCAGTTGCGTTCAATATGGTTATGGTTTTTTGAGTTCCCTTGGTTGTTACGGCACGTGATTCAGTTGAATAGATAACGGTTATAGTTTTTTGAGTTTTATTTGGTTTTATACCAAGTGATTCAGTTGCATTGATAATGGTTACAGTTGGTGGTGAACTGTTGGGTGTAACGCGAAGTGATTCAGTTGCATTGATAACGGTTATAGTTGTTCGAGTTTTATTTGGTGTTATACTAAATGATTCAGTTGTGTTGATAAGGTAAGTAGTGGTTTTGTTCCATTGGGTGTTATACGAAGTGGCTGAGTGGCGTTGGTAATTGTTCCAGTTGCATGTGAACTTTTGGATTTAACACCAAGTGATTCAGTTGCATTGATAATCGTTATAGTTGGTTGAGTTCCATCGGGTGTTACACTGAGTGATTCAGTGGCATTGGTAATACTTATAGTTGGTTGAGTTTTATTCGGCGTTATACCAATTGATTCAGTTGCATTGATAGTGTGTATGGCTGATTGAGTCCTATTAGGTTTCATACTAAGTGATTCAGTTGCATTGAAATAAGTCGAGGAATTGTATTAGATATAACACCTTGTGATTCCGTTGCATTGACAATCGCAAAAGTTATATGAGTCTTATTGGGTGATATACCAAGTGATTCAGTTGCATTGATAATGGTTAAAGCTGGTTTTGAACTGTTGGCTGTAACACGAATTGTTTCCGTTGCATTATCACGCTTAGAGTTGGTTGAGTTCCATTGGTAGTTACACGAAGTGACTCAGTTGCATTGATTAACGGTTATAGTTGTTTGAGTTTTACTGGGTGTTATACTGAATGATTTCAGTTGCGTTGATAATGCTAATAGTTTGTTCAGTTCCATTGGGTGTTATACCAAGTGACTCAGTTCCATTGGTAGTGGTTCTAGTTGGTTCTGAACTTTTCGGTTTAACACCAAGTGATTCAGTTGCATTGATTATGGTTACAGTTGGTTGTGAACTGTTGGGTGTAACGCCAAGTGATTCAGTTGCATTGATAACGGTTATAGTTGTTCGAGTTTTATTTGGTGTTATACTAAATGATTCAGTTGTGTTGATAATGGTAATAGTTGGTTTTGTTCCATTGGGTGATATACGAAGTGGCTGAGTGGCGTTGGTAATTGTTCCAGTTGCATGTGAACTTTTGGATTAACACCAAGTGATTCAGTTGCATTGATAACGGTTATAGTTGTTTGAGTTTTACTGGGTGTTATACTGAATGATTCAGTTGCGTTAATGCTAATAGTTTGTTCAGTTCCATTGAGTGTTATACGAAGTGACTCAGTTGCATTGGTAATGGTTCTAGTTGGTTCTGAACTTTTCGGTTTAACACCAAGTGATTCAGTTGCATTGATTATGGTTACAGTTGGTTGTGAACTGTTGGGTGTAACGCCAAGTGATTCAGTTGCATTGATAACGGTTATAGTTGTTTGAGTTTTATTTGGTGTTATACTAAATGATTCAGTTGTGTTGACAATGGTAATAGTTGGTTGAGTTCCATTGGGTGTCATAACAAGTGATTCAGTTGCGTTCAATATGGTTATGGTTTTTTGAGTTCCCTTGGTTTTACGGCACGTGATTCAGTTGAATAGATAACGGTTATAGTTTTTTGAGTTTTATTGGGTGATATACCAAGTGATTCAGTTGCATTGATAATGGTTAAAGCTGGTTTTGAACTGTTGGCTGTAACACGAATTGTTTCCGTTGCATTTATCACGCTTAGAGTTGGTTGAGTTCCATTGGTAGTTACACGAAGTGACTCAGTTGCATTGATAACGGTTATAGTTGTTTGAGTTTTACTGGGTGTTATACTGAATGATTCAGTTGCGTTGATAATGCTAATAGTTTGTTCAGTTCCATTGGGTGTTATATTAAGTGACTCAGTTCCATTGGTAGTGGTTCTAGTTGGTTCTGAACTTTTCGGTTTAACACCAAGTGATTCAGTTGCATTGATTATGGTTACAGTTGGTTGTGAACTGTTGGGTGTAACGCCAAGTGATTCAGTTGCATTGATAACGGTTATATTTGTTTGAGTTTTATTTGGTGTTATACTAAATGATTCAGTTGTGTTGATAATGGTAATAGTTGGTTTTGTTCCATTGGGTGTTATACGAAGTGGCTGAGTGGCGTTGGTAATTGTTCCAGTTGCATGTGAACTTTTGGATTTAACACCAAGTGATTCAGTTGCATTGATAATCGTTATAGTTGGTTGAGTTCCATCGGGTGTTATACTGAGTGATTCAGTTGCATTGGTAATACTTATAGTTGGTTGAGTTTTATTCGGCGTTATACCAATTGATTCAGTTGCATTGATAGTGTGTATGGCTGATTGAGTCCTATTAGGTTTCATACTAAGTGATTCAGTTGCATTGATAATTGTTATAGTCGCAGGAATTGTATTAGATATAACACCTTGTGATTCCGTTGCATTGACAATCGCAATAGTTATATGAGTCTTATTGGGTGATATACCAAGTGATTCAGTTGCATTGATAATGGTTAAAGCTGGTTTTGAACTGTTGGCTGTAACACGAATTGTTTCCGTTGCATTTATCACGCTTAGAGTTGGTTGAGTTCCATTGGTAGTTACACGAAGTGACTCAGTTGCATTGATAACGGTTATAGTTGTTTGAGTTTTACTGGGTGTTATACTGAATGATTCAGTTGCGTTGATAATGCTAATAGTTTGTTCAGTTCCATTGGGTGTTATACCAAGTGACTCAGTTCCATTGGTAGTGGTTCTAGTTGGTTCTGAACTTTTCGGTTTAACACCAAGTGATTCAGTTGCATTGATTATGGTTACAGTTGGTTGTGAACTGTTGGGTGTAACGCCAAGTGATTCAGTTGCATTGATAACGGTTATAGTTGTTCGAGTTTTATTTGGTGTTATACTAAATGATTCAGTTGTCTTGATAATGGTAATAGTTGGTTTTGTTCCATTGGGTGATATACGAAGTGGCTGAGTGGCGTTGGTAATTGTTCCAGTTGCATGTGAACTTTTGGATTTAACACCAAGTGATTCAGTTGCATTGATAACGGTATAGTTGTTTGAGTTTTACTGGGTGTTATACTGAATGATTCAGTTGCGTTGATAATGCTAATAGTTTGTTCAGTTCCATTGAGTGTTATACGAAGTGACTCAGTTGCATTGGTAATGGTTCTAGTTGGTTCTGAACTTTTCGGTTTAACACCAAGTGATTCAGTTGCATTGATTATGGTTACAGTTGGTTGTGAACTGTTGGGTGTAACGCCAAAAGATTCAGTTGCATTGATAACGGTTATAGTTGTTTGAGTTTTATTTGGTGTTATACTAAATGATTCAGTTGTGTTGATAATGGTAATAGTTGGTTGAGTTCCATTGGGTGTCATAACAAGTGATTCAGTTGCGTTCAATATGGTTATGGTTTTTTGAGTTCCCTTGGTTTTTACGGCACGTGATTCAGTTGAATAGATAACGGTTATAGTTTTTTGAGTTTTATTGGGTGATATACCAAGTGATTCAGTTGCATTGATAATGGTTAAAGCTGGTTTTGAACTGTTGGCTGTAACACGAATTGTTTCCGTTGCATTTATCACGCTTAGAGTTGGTTGAGTTCCATTGGTAGTTACACGAAGTGACTCAGTTGCATTGATAACGGTTATAGTTGTTTGAGTTTTACTGGGTGTTATACTGAATGATTCAGTTGCGTTGATAATGCTAATAGTTTGTTCAGTTCCATTGGGTGTTATACCAAGTGACTCAGTTCCATTGGTAGTGGTTCTAGTTGGTTCTGAACTTTTCGGTTTAACACCAAGTGATTCAGTTGCATTGATTATGGTTACAGTTGGTTGTGAACTGTTGGGTGTAACGCCAAGTGATTCAGTTGCATTGATAACGGTTATAGTTGTTCGAGTTTTATTTGGTGTTATACTAAATGATTCAGTTGTCTTGATAATGGTAATAGTTGGTTTTGTTCCATTGGGTGTTATACGAAGTGGCTGAGTGGCGTTGGTAATTGTTCCAGTTGCATGTGAACTTTTGGATTTAACACCAAGTGATTCAGTTGCATTGATAATCGTTATAGTTGGTTGAGTTCCATCGGGTGTTATACTGAGTGATTCAGTGGCATTGGTAATACTTATAGTTGGTTGAGTTTTATTCGGCGTTATACCAATTGATTCAGTTGCATTGATAGTGTGTATGGCTGATTGAGTCCTATTAGGTTTCATACTAAGTGATTCAGTTGCATTGATAATTGTTATAGTCGCAGGAATTGAATTAAATATAACACCTTGTGATTCCGTTGCATTGACAATCGCAATAGTTATATGAGTCTTATTGGGTGATATACCAAGTGATTCAGTTGCATTGATAATGGTTAAAGCTGGTTTTGAACTGTTGGCTGTAACACGAATTGTTTCCGTTGCATTTATCACGCTTAGAGTTGGTTGAGTTCCATTGGTAGTTACACGAAGTGACTCAGTTGCATTGATAACGGTTATAGTTGTTTGAGTTTTACTGGGTGTTATACTGAATGATTCAGTTGCGTTGATAATGCTAATAGTTTGTTCAGTTCCATTGGGTGTTATACCAAGTGACTCAGTTCCATTGGTAGTGGTTCTAGTTGGTTCTGAACTTTTCGGTTTAACACCAAGTGATTCAGTTGCATTGATTATGGTTACAGTTGGTTGTGAACTGTTGGGTGTAACGCCAAGTGATTCAGTTGCATTGATAACGGTTATAGTTGTTCGAGTTTTATTTGGTGTTATACTAAATGATTCAGTTGTCTTGATAATGGTAATAGTTGGTTTTGTTCCATTGGGTGTTATACGAAGTGGCTGAGTGGCGTTGGTAATTGTTCCAGTTGCATGTGAACTTTTGGATTTAACACCAAGTGATTCAGTTGCATTGATAACGGTTATAGTTGTTTGAGTTTTACTGGGTGTTATACTGAATGATTCAGTTGCGTTGATAATGCTAATAGTTTGTTCAGTTCCATTGAGTGTTATACCAAGTGACTCAGTTGCATTGGTAATGGTTCTAGTTGGTTCTGAACTTTTCGGTTTAACACCAAGTGATTCAGTTGCATTGATTATGGTTACAGTTGGTTGTGAACTGTTGGGTGTAACGCCAAGTGATTCAGTTGCATTGATAACGGTTATAGTTGTTTGAGTTTTATTTGGTGTTATACTAAATGATTCAGTTGTGTTGATAATGGTAATAGTTGGTTGAGTTCCATTGGGTGTCATAACAAGTGATTCAGTTGCGTTCAATATGGTTATGGTTTTTTGAGTTCCCTTGGTTGTTACGGCACGTGATTCAGTTGAATAGATAACGGTTATAGTTTTTTGAGTTTTATTTGGTTTTATACCAAGTGATTCAGTTGCATTGATAATAATGGTTACAGTTGGTTGTGAACTGTTGGGTGTAACGCGAAGTGATTCAGTTGCATTGATAACGGTTATAGTTGTTCGAGTTTTATTTGGTGTTATACTAAATGATTCAGTTGTGTTGATAATGGTAATAGTTGGTTTTGTTCCATTGGGTGTTATACGAAGTGGCTGAGTGGCGTTGGTAATTGTTCCAGTTGCATGTGAACTTTTGGATTTAACACCAAGTGATTCAGTTGCATTGATAACGGTTATAGTTGTTTGAGTTTTACTGGGTGTTATACTGAATGATTCAGTTGCGTTGATAATGCTAATAGTTTGTTCAGTTCCATTGAGTGTTATACCAAGTGACTCAGTTGCATTGGTAATGGTTCTAGTTGGTTCTGAACTTTTCGGTTTAACACCAAGTGATTCAGTTGCATTGATTATGGTTACAGTTGGTTGTGAACTGTTGGGTGTAACGCCAAGTGATTCAGTTGCATTGATAACGGTTATAATTGTTTGAGTTTTATTTGGTGTTATACTAAATGATTCAGTTGTGTTGATAATGGTAATAGTTGGTTGAGTTCCATTCGGTGTCATAACAAGTGATTCAGTTGCATTCAATATGGTTATGGTTTTTTGAGTTCCCTTGGTTGTTACGGCACGTGATTCAGTTGAATAGATAACGGTTATAGTTTTTTGAGTTTTATTTGGTTTTATACCAAGTGATTCAGTTGCATTGATAATAATGGTTACAGTTGGTTGTGAACTGTTGGGTGTAACGCGAAGTGATTCAGTTGCATTGATAACGGTTATAGTTGTTCGAGTTTTATTTGGTGTTATACTAAATGATTCAGTTGTGTTGATAATGGTAATAGTTGGTTTTGTTCCATTGGGTGTTATACGAAGTGGCTGAGTGGCGTTGGTAATTGTTCCAGTTGCATGTGAACTTTTGGATTTAACACCAAGTGATTCAGTTGCATTGATAATCGTTATAGTTGGTTGAGTTCCATCGGGTGTTATACTGAGTGATTCAGTGGCATTGGTAATACTTATAGTTGGTTGAGTTTTATTCGGCGTTATACCAATTGATTCAGTTGCATTGATAGTGTGTATGGCTGATTGAGTCCTATTAGGTTTCATACTAAGTGATTCAGTTGCATTGATAATTGTTATAGTCGCAGGAGTTGTATTAGATACAACACCTTGTGATTCCGTTGCATTGACAATCGCAATAGTTATATGAGTCTTATTGGGTGATATACCAAGTGATTCAGTTGCATTGATAATGGTTAAAGCTGGTTTTGAACTGTTGGCTGTAACACGAATTGTTTCCGTTGCATTTATCACGCTTACAGTTGGTTGTGAACTGTTGGGTGTAACGCTAAGTGATTCAGTTGCATTGATAACGGTTATAGTTGTTTGAGTTTTATTTGGTGTTATACTAAATGATTCAGTTGTGTTGATAATGGTAATAGTTGGTTGAGTTCCATTGGGTGTCATAACAAGTGATTCAGTTGCATTAAATATGGTTGTGGTTGTTTGAGTTCCCTTGGGTGTTACGGCACGTGATTTAGTTGAATGGATAACGGTTATGGTGTTTTGAGTTTTATTGGTTGTTTTACTAAGTGAGTCGGTTGCGTTGTTAATGGCAATAGTTGGTTCAGTTCCATTGGGTGTTATACGAAGTGGTTGAGTTGCATTGGAAATTGTTCCTGTTGCTTGTGAACTTTTGGGTTTAACACCAAGTGATTCAGTTGCTAGTGGTGTTATAGCAAGTGATTGGCACGCATTAGTAATGGTTACAGTTGGTTGAGTGCCATTGCGTGTTATAGGAATTGATTCAGTTGCATTGATTATGGTTACAGTTTGTTGTGAACTGTTGGGTGTAACACCAAGTGATTCGTTTGCATTTATTATGGTTATTTTTGTTTGAGTTATATTGGGTTTCATACTAAGTGATTCAGTTGCTTTGATATTGGCTACAGTTGGTTGTGAACTGTTAGGTGTTATACCAAGTGATTCAGTTGCATTCATCATGGTTATAGATGAATGAGTTCTAAGTGATTTAGTTGTATTGATAAGGGTTATAGTTGGTTGAGTTCCATTTGGTGTTATGTCTAGTGATTCATTTGTATTGGTAATGGTTATGGTTGGTTGTGAACTGTTGGGTGGAGCAGCAAGTGATTTAGTTGCATTTATAATGGTTATTGTTGGTTGAGTTACATTGGTTGTTATACTAAGTGATTCAGTTGCATTTATTATGGTTATAGTGGGTTGAGTTCCATTGGGTGTCTTAACAAGTGATTCAGTTGCATTGATAATGCTTATAGTTGGTTGGGTTCTATGGGGTGTTACATTACGCGATTCAGTTGCATTTATGGTGGTGATGGTTGGTGGAAATTTATTAGGGGTTATAAGAAGTGATTGAGTTGCATTGATAATGTTTAGATTTGGTTGAGTTCTATTGGGTGTTATACTAAACGACTCAGTTGCATTGATAATAGTTATAGTTGGATGTGAACTTTTAGGTGTGTCATCAAGTGATTCAGTTGCGTTAATAACAGTGATAGTTGGTTGAGTTCCATTCGGTGTTATGCCAAGTGATCCAGTTTCATTGATAATGGTTATAATTGTTTCAGTTCTATTAAGTGTTATACTGTGTGGTTCAGTTCGTTTAGTAGCTACAGCTGATGATGAAGAATTTTGGGTGACCCCAAGTGAATGCGTTGCTTTATTAATAGCGAGAGAGGGTGATTCAGTTGCGCTTATTTTAGTACCACTAGATTCAGTTGCGTTAATGATGAAGATAGCTGTTTGAGTTTTATTAGATGTTACTATAGGTGATTGGGTTGCGTTAATAGTAGTTTGTAGAGTTATTTTGGGAGTTATACTAACTGGTTGTGTTGCGTTGATCATGGTGATAATTTGTAGAGTAATATTGGGTGCGAATGTTCTAACTTTGTTGCCATTGGTATTGCTCATTTCCTCAGTTCGAAGAGTATTTTGTTTGTATGATCCTGTTGCATTGATAAAAGCCGTCGTTGTATCGAGTGAAATACCTGTTGGTTGATATAATTTTGATGTACTATCTATAAAAGTCAAAGATGGTTTCATTATATTGGTAATTAAGTTGATTCATTAAGGTAGTAAGGAACTCTCCATTGTCGCGTTTTTTGTACGTGTGCAAATACGCGTAAAAAATTGAAATTTTTTAAATATGACTTGGATTGGGGTTGGATTCTGACGATAATTTGGTGTGTTTTTTTGGCTTAAAATGAATGATGTAACACCTTCAAAGGTTTAAAACTTTTATGCACTTGTAGCGTTGTACTCAAAAACGCTCAAAAACTGACGCGACAGTGCGCAATGATCCGTTCTTTGGTTTGGTGATTTATGTGCTTTGTTGTGACCATGGAATTTGATGGAAATCGACCGTGTTTGAAGTTATGAAAGTTTTTTTGTCCGAATTGTCTTGGGATGGTTGCTCTATGCTTTGTTCTGGTTACATATGTATAAATGTTTCTCAATGTGTGTGATGATAGAGACACTAACGTCTGTATTCAAAAAGCTCACTTATACTCATTGAATGTGACGTTTAAATTTTGCTATTACTGATGGAAACGTTAGGAAAAAATTGTAATCACCCACTCAATGAGTTTGAGTGTGAGTGTGAGTGAGCTTTTCGAATACAGGCGTGAGAGTTAAGACTATTGCTATTGGAATTAATAATATGCGTACTTTGAGGATTTTGAGGAGCATTGTAAGACGATCCCGTGTCGCTTTTCCTGGAGGCAGTTGCCGCTGTACTAATGTTTCGAGATTCATCATCCTTTGTTTTGTAGACATTTTGTGATGTAGGAATGGCTGTACCTTTTGTTGCAAGAACGCTTAATGCAGATGTCTGTGTTGAATAAATATCATTTGTGGTATTTATCGTTCCTTGCGTGCTGTCATTCCATACTTTAACATCGAGAGAACCTGTTAAGAAATAATTTCTTTCTGTTGCCAATACAATACATGCTTAAGTTGAGTTCACTATTTCACTCTACATTTAGGAATACTAAGATTTAATCAAAGTTATAGCAAACAACGGGCGATTCTAAAGCGAGTTGAAAAAATCATACAACCTGCCCCAGAAGTGAATTAATTGGATCGTGTGAACAGATCTTTAGAAGAATTCTTGCCCATCATTTTCTATATTCTATCTTTTTAATATATTTTTTATAAATTGTATGGCAAAAATTTGGGCGAATTTTTATCAAATTAAATATTAGTACCCAATATAGGGCAATTTTCGTTGAAATCATTGATAAGTTTGGGAATTTGTACTCGTGAGTCAGGTTATTTTCGCTAAAATAATGGCCTCTCCACCAAAATTTTCACCCGTACCATATGTTTAGTGCAGAAATATAATTCCATAGAATATACTATGCCACAATATATACCCATCAGATGGCATCCTAATGCAAATATTGGGAACTAAAATATTAAATATCCACACAAAGTCTGCATGGGCTATACTTAATTGTAACGATTTACGGTGGCTTTAACAGTGCAATTATAAATGCGTGGAAACTAGGATAAAAACAGCACGTAATTGCTACTATATATACATCACAATACAACCTGCGAGCTTTAAATTAGTTGTGTAGTTAGCAATAAAATGAAACTGGATGTAACTATGGCTACAATAGCGGGTTATATTCATTAAAGTTAACATGTCCAGACAATGAAATTATGAATCATTGATTTATTCTGCTGCTACACTATGGAATTTTCCTTGCAACTTGCAATGCAATCATAAATTTGAGGGATCGGGTGTTAATTTGCAAAGAGCCGTGTCCGAAATGTTAAGAAAACGTTATAGCACATCGTAAATGCCGGTATGTATTTTTCAACTTTAGATGCCTCAGGAGTAGAATTGCATTGCAAGTTGCCGTCGGAAAGTTGCACAGCGTAACAGCGCTTTAATTAAATCGACGAACATGAATTTCTTTCACCCATACCGAACATTTTGACTGATGCTCGCGAAAGAATATTTTATGTATTTATGATCTTGACTAAACTAAAAAGGTTAAGGTATTCACTTTGTGTATTAGAAGCGTGTATGGTCCAAGCGGAGGAGTTTGTTACTGTAAAATTAATTGTAAAAAACCTGTGTTTATAAATGAAAACGCTGGCAAGGCTGAAGGTTGGGCTTTGATCCAATAATCATTACTTTTGTCTTAGTATAGTGTAATATAAAATATTCAGATATTATAACGTATTCATCGCAACCTGTTCATTGATTTGAATACAATTATTATTTTATTTATTAGTGAGTTATATATAGTCATATGTATGTATTATATCTATTTTTACCGTGTGAACACCTGAAGTGGGCGCATCCTGGTTCAGGATTCTTTTTCAAAGCCTGACAGGAGAATTAGCTGCAGATATGATATGTATACATCAGGGACCGATTGTACGAAAGCTGGATAGCGTGCACTATGCATCGGATATTGGTTTTTTAAGTCGCATTGTTCGGTAAAGCTTTGAAAAAACCATAATATTTTTAAATTGACGATTCTCGTTAATAATCTCTAGCTTGAAATAATTAGCTTTATTGCTTTTCAAGCATTTTTACAACGGTTCGAAAAATCACTATCCGGTGGATAGCATCATCTGCACGATTTGCACGAACCGTCGTCGTCGTCAGTAAGCAAGGCTTTGTAAGTTCCCATTTATTCACAGCCAGTTGTTGAATGCCCAGGAATAAATTAAGTCAATTAACAGCTGCGTTTACAGGCCTAGACTGGCCTGGACCAGGTCTAGGGCAAGTCCAGGTAATATGTGCTACGTTCTGACTGTCTTCCTTACTGCTGATATCGGATAGCCAAAGTAAATGACAAAATACTTGGAAAAAGACCCAAAACACGCCGAAAAGTGGTAATACTATTAATATAATGTATCCTATACAAATCATACTATTAAGTTCAAAATTTGTCAGGATTTGGTAAAGCCTGTTCACATTACCAAAATCTTGCCCCAGGTGTAGTCCAGGCCTTCTTCAGGCCACCTTCTGCTGTTGGCTTGGATTTTCTGGCCTAGATCAGGTCCAGGCTAGGTCTAGGCCAGATAAACAACGTTCACATCTAGGCCTAGGCCTGGCCCAGGCCAGGTCAAAGCGCGTAGTATAAACGCGGCTGATGTGCCTTTTTCACCGGGCGTTTCTTTCACAAAGTGTGTATAAGAAATTAGAGATTCTTGATTGTTTTATAATGAAGTTGTTCCATGGAATGTCTTATTTTATTTACGCGATTCAGTTTTTACAATTTGTGTACACATATCAGACCAGAAAACATAACACAGTGTGACATGTACGATTATTAGGAACTATAAATAGTCTTTTTAATAAGCCGGCTAAAGGCATGTACATATGAGAGGGCCCTAGTCAGTTGAGTTCCTTTGGGTGTTCTTTTAGCCGGATATTTAAGGGTTAGAGGCTGTCTGTTGTGAGAGTTTTGTTCACAAATAAATGCACGCGCTGACCATACAATGAACGAGAAATTTCGATATTGCACGATTGAAATTTCGAGTTCATTGTATGGTCAGCAAGTGCGTTTATTTGTCAACAAAACACTCACAACAGTCTCTAACTTTAAATAAACTATGATCTTCATGGGTTATTCCGAATAAACCACGATTTTCATGAGTTATTGCAAATAAATTATGATTCCCATGATCTGTCGCCAGGCAACAAGAAACCACGTGATTGATTTTGAGTAGATCTAGGCCAATGCACGAAGATTGTATATTAAAGCAATATACAGTAAAATAATATGCGAAGCGAGATCTCGGCACTGCCGAGCTAGACCGGCTAAACCGAGCTGGCTCGTCTCATATGAACAGGCCCGGCCTAAGTCGTAGAAAGCTTTAGCAAGGCTTTAGTTATAACGGTAAAGTTTTAAAAATTATTCAATTACACGAATACGAAATACTCAAAATTATAGACTTCAGTTGCTAAACAGTAAGTAAAACAAGGTGAAGCTGGCTGCCACTGATCAGCGATCACAATATTAAAATCCCAATCAGCGACTACTATGATGTTCGCGTCGTGCATGTATTAAGCCTATATATAGTGCATGTTAAGGTCGACACAGACCGGATGCGATGCGGCAAGGCGACGCGAATTTTCAGTTTTAAGAAGCATGTAAATATAATTTTTGAAGCAAAATTTGGAATGTATGGACGCCAGAGTAGTCAAAATGTATTATCGTTACGTAATCTACAAGAATATAATAATAGTTTAAAATTGATTTGCTTTTGGAAAATGAAAATCGTGTCGCGTTACCAAAACGCGTCCGGTCTTTGTGGGCCTTAAGTCTGAGTTCGCACGCCGGGTACCGGATCGCTCGTCACGACATCTTCGTTTGCCGTTATGAAGCAACACTGTTTTTAGCAAATGCTTATCAATTTGATAGATTTGATATATTTATTCAGCTCTGGGACATTAAAAATCTCCACTGCCTTTTATTAAGTACAAAATTGTACCTGTTCCGATGGCAATCTGGTGCCGTGTGAGCGGGCCCTTTTAGCTCGCAATTTGTAAACAATAACGGTCGGGGCAGTGGCCATATCGCAATCGTTTCTGTATTATTACAATATAAAATAAAAGATCTATCAAATAACTTACGGGTGGAGTTTGTCACTGCCATGTTCTTTTCATTGATACATAGAAATAGTATGAAAATATGGATTAATCGCTGTTTCATCATGATATTCTATGTTTTATCGGTGGAATATTGACCGTTCGCGGGTCGGTAACGGTACAAATAAAATCCTTTTACGTCGCGATGCAAGACTTCAGTCGAAGAAGACATACGCCATCAGTCGAAGAGTAGGGTTTTGCGAAAAACCATTATTTTTATGCAAACAGAGCAAGAATTCTTTCATGCGACGCGACTGTCGGTAAAACTTTGAAGTTTGCCGACGGGAATTGTAATATGGCTATATACATAATAATTATTATGCAAAAATATTATATATTTTCTATAATAAATTAAAAATTTTGCTAATTGCTTGAAATTGTATTCTATTTGAACAGCATGAGTGACATCATTTTCTACAGTTATAATAATTATTATCAGAGCGGACATGCGGCTCCAGTCGTGAAACTCTTGTTTCTATACTTGCGAATTGTAGGGATAAACCGCGTTATTAATTTCTGAACGTGCATTTTCAAAGCAATCTTCCACTTATGTTGTTGGTAAATACGAGAACAACATGATTTAACCGTCACGACCGGCTGATTCATACTGGAGATCGATTTCGACAACTGGATGCCGGAAAACTTAGGGCAAAGAATTATAGAGCTGTTTTCCACTGTCGTGTTTTTCATACGCACGTACACACTAAATGAATAAGTCGATAAATTGAAAAATTTTTACGTGCGTGTACGTGTGCTAAAAAAACGACACTGCAAAGCAGCCCTTAAAGTGTATACCATCTGCCACGCACAGTGGCGGCGCCAGGTCTGAAAATTTGGGGGGGCATTTGAGGGGCAAATTAATATTTTGGGGGGGCAAAATCCTTCAAACAGAAATCCATAAACCGGTGTGTAATAGATTACGATGTGTCAACAATTGACAGTCACGCCCATTTTATCCTGTAGCTATTTTGTATTTCAATTTATTACTATTAAATATTATCTTTTACGGCAATAATTTCCGCAGACATTTGAGAAAGGGGGGGCAAAATGGGGGGGCAGAAAAAAATATGGGGGGGCATTTGCCCCCCCTTGCCCCCCCTTGGCGCCGCCACTGGCCACGCATTTTTAATATAAGTCGAGCCATACAGAAACTTATAGGATAGTGTGACCTTCACTTATGTCTTTATGTTCATAATCATTGTAACCTCTGTCACATTTACTATTGCATAACGCGGGCTGATAACGCATCGAAACATCTGTGACATATGCGGTAGACATATACAATTAATTTAGTCTACCTTACGTCAACCCCTTTTCAGGTAGTGACAGGTAACAGCAGAATAATGCATGAAAAGTAATATTTATTTTCACAGCTTATACACGCAAGTTGGTATCAGGCATAGCTATGACTGGGCAAATAAATCACAGAAAAAATTGTAATATCATATAGATTCATTGTGGTTTAATACAGGCAAAAGTCTCTATGTGCGCGTCTCTATTCACAGAGGGAAAATTGAATAACTTATTTAATATTAACTTTAGTTACATTAATATTCATAAAAGATGCATAGATGGATATGTCAACACCATTCAACACATAAAAATTTTAGGCAAACAAAGTTGGATTTTTGGCAAACACAAAAAAAATGTCCCCTGACTCTGCTGTAATGAACAAAATATATTTATGGTATACCTTGAAATACATTGATTTTATTACGGGTTTTAAAGTGCTCATGACGCAGAAAGAACTCAAGAATACGGATCTACAAAAACCCATACATCTTAGAGCTGTATTCTACCGTGGCGTTTTTTGCATACGTATACCTATATGGCGCAATGCCGCTAGTATATATCTGCCCTCTAGGCATATTAGTTAAGAGAAAACTAATTAATGAAAATCCATAGCCTAATGAGTTACTGTTATACTATATAATTTTTTATTTTCCCATAAAGGGATTTCGCCGTATTATTAAACAAATCAGAGCTGGACTCGAATACTCAAACTTAGTTTACTAATCTAAAAATATTGGTTGTGCATTTCCACGTCGACTCGCGTTGACCTTTACTGTCAACAAAAGACGAAATGACGAAAGGCAAACAACGCCTTAATTGTTTTATACCCTGCTGTTATCTGCATGTTTTAAACATTAACCACAGACCTCAGCTATCAACTGGCACGTGCATGCCGACCGCCGGGGTAAATTGCCGGTAAAAAACTAAGAATGTTGGTAATTCGTCGGTGAAACAAGAATCGTGGGAAAATCACCAGGCAATTTCTAGTAAATTAGATCTTACAATTAACAACTCGTCGGCGGACTCATCAATTAAATGAAATGAAATGAAAAATTCTTTAGAAATGAATAACCAATTCGTGTTTGTTCCTTCGCCCAAAAGAGCAATGTTGGTTGAGGTGAGGTTGAAGTTTTGTTGTACATAGTGTCTTCAGTCTTCTAACTAGCAACATTGCTTCCAGGGGAAGGGAGCTACAAGCATCTACTCATGCTATGAACTTGCTGTATTTCCACAATTGATGAAACCGCAGAAAACTAAATAAGGCGGTGTTTATAACTGACAAAGTAAAAAGATAATAGACTTGACGAATCTGCGACTATCATGTTTAGCAAAAGCAGCAACCCTAATTATTATAATATTTCTTATATCCCAAAACCTAAAACAAATTTTCGCAAAAAAGCACGAGCTATTCAGGTGCAATGTTATGGAAACCAAAATATGCAAGAGACATCTCAAGCGGGCAGTTTAAAAATATTCTGATTAACTAACTACAATTTTTCTCAAAAAAATCGGCCATGTCGAGACAGTTCGAACCAAGATATAGACTTTCTTGAATGGGGTAAACACTTCCAAAATTATTTCTCAAATTTACATGTCAACAATTTGAGTCGCAACAATCCGACTGTCGCGGATTTCAAAAACTTTTGCCGTTAAAATTTGAAATTTTCAAACTTTATCGCTTTATTTCTCCGCGAAAACAAATTCAATTTCAAATGTGATTACTATTTACGTTTCACGTTTCACGGCGATTCTAATGAGATAAATTCCAATTTTATGACATGGGCACTTTAAGCAGGGCCGGGGGAAAAGAGTCTGAGTACAAGACGCTAGCGACGACGTCATATCGGGTGAGTTCAATGAGCCATAGCCATCAGCTCAGACTACGATACCATAAATGGCCATATATAGCTCAGTGGACGCCACTGTATTTATTTCTCTTTGTATCATCTGGTATCATCTAATAGGAATATTTTATAAGCAAAGCTGCTCAAATCTAGTTTACTTCCCCCCCTGGAATGATTTTGGTAATTATTAAAATCAGGTGGGGCTGTTAATGTGCATCCAACCGAATCTAGCTTAAATATACCAGATCTGATGGTCGCTTTGTATGCCATCAAATGAACCATAATATCGGAGTAGAAGGTCTCAATTCGTCGTTCATAAGACATAACTAGCGTATTTATTGACGAAGCAGTAGTTTAGTGCTTCAGCAGAACTAAAGCGGTTTTTACAAGGTTTATCTGGGAAGATAAGCTGAAAGACAACGACATACAGCTTTGGTGTCCACAAACGAAGACCAGATTGCCGAAGGTATATTGTTAGAGTGTGTCAGTTAGTTGATAATAATGTCTATGAGGGTGAAAGTCATGATGTCACTATGATGAGAGAACTTGGTTAAGAAGAAGTAAGATAGTGATTTGAAATAGTTAATTAACTATAGTGCATGATATTTAAAGTTATAGCTGTAGTGTATGATGTATAACGTTATAGCTATATATAGTGTATGATACGTATAATATAAAGCCATATAGCTATAGTGTATGATATATAAAGCTATAGCTATAGCGTATGATATATAAAGCTATAGCTATAGCGTATGATATATAAAGCTATAGCTATATTGTATGATATATAAAGTTATAGCTACAGTGTATGATATATAAAGCCATAGCTATAGTGTATGATATATAAAGTTATAGCTATAGTGCATTATATATAAAGCAGCATCTACCAGACAAATTCCGAAAGGAAAAGACACCTTGAGAATCAATATTTGAATCAAACAAGATGCAGGTTGAAACTGTAAATTTTCGACTTTATTTCAAAGCTATATCTTCAGACAGAATGAAATACAATACTTTACAACACACATTCTAGAGGTTCAAAGGGTCTTAATTTAGAGTGGAATTATATACACTTCAAATTCAAGCCAGGAACAGGAAATGCTGTTTGAATCGAGTGAAGTGCCAAAATTAATAATCGATTTACCCTCACCTATTCCCGGCATTACCATCCTATACACATTAATCACGCTTGCTCTTGTCAGCTACCTCCGTAGCTCAGTGGCAAGAGCATTGCACCAGCATCGCAAGAGCGTAGGTTCTTTTTATTTCTACTCATTTTTCCATCAACTGTTCATGGCTTCAATATGAAGTGTGTATAATTCCACTCTAAATCGAGACCCTTTGAACCTCTAGAATTTACTTGCATGAAGTGAAGTGCCAAAAATCATAATTGATTTACCCAAGTCTAATAGCTACAACATTCTCATCAAACCCAACCAACCTTCTCCTAACACCTTCCTTAAAGCCAATAAAGAACTTCAACTGTTCACATAGCTCTACTCCACACTCTAAACTTGTCGGGTCTTTGTTTTTAATCTATTTATGATATAAACATTGTTGTAAATATATCATACAAATTTACTTTTCCTTTTCGTTATCAAGTTTTGCTTCACTTGGATTGATCGGCGTTCCGCCCACATTATAGATTGATGTATAATTCAATAGCCAATAGGCGTGTGTTTTTGCATCCTGGCTTACATCCGGGATATGATTTCCGTTTTCGACTCATCCTAACTCGGAAGAAATAATAGGTGCAAAGTCGGGCGGTGCCCGAATGACCGACCGCTAGTCCGTCCCCGTTGTGGAAATCATGGAGGTGTTAGGATAAGGCACTAAACTTGTTATAGGTGGCAGCGTGCTGTCTCAAACGAGTTTGTAGGTTGCGTTCGGTTTTGGCCACGTACGTATGGCCACAAGCAGAACATTTAAATTGAAACACGACGTTCGCTTTGCAAAGTCAAAGATCCGGAATTTTGTTCCTTTTTGGAAAGATCATTCCTCCAGATGGATAATCCGTCTCTAGTATAAATCGGGCAACTAACAAACTAGTAACGCGTCTATAGTAAATTTAATAGGATCTCCAATATAGAATAAGAACGCTTTAAATCATTCATATCTGGTTAGACAACAAAGATTTTTTCAAAACATTTACCCTGTTAAAGAAATTATAGCATATCAAATAAAAACTATTTAGTTTTAATAAACAAGAATTATGCTTCGTCAACTGGCATCAGTGGCGTAACTCAGTAGAAATATAATTGGAGGGGAGGTGAATATTCATATATTCAGTTCTGCCCAATAGATTTCGTTTGTAAGTGCAATCGCTTATAAAAGAGTCTGCAGAGTCTGGTCTCGCTTTATATAATTGATTCTATCCTTGGATCCCTAATGAGATGATGGCATGATTGATACAATTTACATACATAATATACGAATGCTTCAGTGCTAATGACATTACCCTAATTAAAATTTGTTGCTTTCTAGGTTTTAAATCTACATTTCCCCGTCAATTTGACTCATTTTGGGGCAGTTTTGGGCATGTAGTAGAAATACAGCCTGCAACATTTGAAAAGGTACATTTCTGTCAATATTGGTTTAGTGCAAAGTTTGCTAGAAACATTGCAGTATTGTGTGCATATTTGTGACGAGTGGCAAGAAACCAAAAGAGTCAGTCAGTATGGTCCGATATACATTCAGTCATAGTGTAAACATGACATGATATATTAAAGCTTTGAAGATTTTAGAAGGTACGTTTGTGTCAGTTTTAGTTATGTTCTGAAGTTATGTTCTTAAAACCAGGCCCGTTCAGTAAGTTAGGGCCGGCTGTTTACATGAGCCGGGTCACACGAGATTGAACGAAGTGCAAGATGATTCGGAGGTATTGAAATGAGCACTTATTAACCAAACAAGCACGTGCTATTGTCGAGTTGACTATATAATTATAAACTCGTTTAAACTTCGTCTAAACTCGTCTAACCAGGCAGGCCCATGTAAATAGACCCTAAGTCTCTATGTGACATGAGTATATCTAGACATGTAAGACGTGCAAGCTTAGTTACGATTGGGCGTTCTCACGAGACATCACAAAAATTAGAACCAAGGAACCTAAACGGAACGTGTATCATCCAAAGAGGGTTAATATTTTTTTCCTCCGAGGCTGAATGTTGGAACTATTACGGTTACATCAATTACGATTTTTGGCACTTCACAATATCAAAAATGCAATTTCAGAAGTTCGGCTCACCAGAGTACTTCACAGTTTTTACACGAATTTGCAACGAGATCGCTCTACTTCAATTTTAATGCACTTTCCAATATACATACACATCTAGTGAACAATCAGGTTGACCGCGATTACAATATTGATATGAACAGGATTGAAAAATTAATGTTGTGCTGCCCACATTTTTTAGAGTTTTTATGAACAGTATTGCGATTTATTTCATCATTTTCAACAATATTGTTCAATATTGTGTAAACAATATGGGCATGACAAAATAGTTCACTGCGGTTACGACGCGGGCTCAGAGTTTTTATCCGTGTACGGTTCACAGTCCAAATATCACAGTAATGTATTTTTCACAAAATAGTGTTCTATATAAAAATCTCCAACCCGAATCGATCTTCTAAGTGAAACCTATCCATATAAATCACTATTTTGTTACAGTAAAACCTCGTCCAATGCTATGGCTTCTCTCGATCTACAAGAAAAGGCAAACTTTTCGATGCTTAGTAGACTTTTGGTTGACAAAGGAACCGAGGCTTTGAGAATTACATTTGATACCATAAATTCACCTGTGAGACTACCCGGAGTACTGGCTGCAAAAAAAGCAACTCTTCAAAGGTTAAAACCTCGAGTTATTAATAAATCCCAGTGGGATTTGCTGTTCCCTCCGTCTGGCAACCCACCAGATTCCAAAACCTTTGATGTCACATTACTTACTGTTTTACTCCGAAACATTTGTGGCTTTCCATCAACAGGATGGGATGTTATGCCACCGGATACAGATAGGTCAATGCAAGCGAATATCGCAAGAATCAAGTGTTACAGAAATGAAGTTTATGCCCATGTAACATCTACTCGGGTTGACAATTCAACATTTGAGTCTTTATGGAAGAAAATCTCCCAGACGTTAGTAGAATTGGGCATTCCACAAAGTGATGTCGACATAGAAAAAAGTCCTTTAGGACCAGAAGAAGAAATTTATGTGCAAAAGCTTGAAACAATTCAATATGCTTTAAATCATTTAATAGAAATCGCCGAAGAAAACCGCGACGGAATAAATGAACTACAAAAAGAAAAGGAGAGTGATGAGGATTTACTACGAAATCTTGCAAAACATAATTTTAAGAATAAAATTCAAAGAAAAGTGAAATTTTTCCAGCCTGGAACAAGGATGTGGTTGCTAAAAGACGTTAACGAGTGGTTTTGTGAGAGTGATAGCGGTTCAAGAGTAAAATTAATAACAGCTGGACCGGGATTTGGTAAAAGCGTGTTTGCCGCTAAAATCTGTGAAGATTTTGAGAAGAATGGAATGCTGGCTGCTTGTCATTTTTGTGATTTCAGTGATTCAAACCTAAGAGATCCTATGGTGATGCTGCAGTCTCTCGCAAGTCAAATGTGTGAAAGCGTTCTTGGGTTTAAAGAAAAGCTCCTTGATCAATTAAAGCGACCTCATCAAGTCCAAAACCTGAAAGATGCCTTTCGAATATATTTACAAAATCCCTTAGATGAATTGCAAATGAAGGAACCACGTTTACTCGTTATAGATGGCTTGGATGAAAGTGCTGCAGATAATAAGAATGAAATAACGCATTTGATTGCTGAGTATTTTCCTGATCTTCCCGGGCTTATCAAAATCTTGGTGACGAGCAGACTAAGCGACGACGAAAAGACGGACATTACTAACGTTGACGCAAACAATCAGTTAGATCTTGAACTTTATTTCAAAGAATGTCTTCCAAGTCTAGTTGACAAGAAAGTAAATGATATTAGTTTAGTTTCCGTTGTGGTTGAGAAGTGCGCTGGTTCATTTCTCTATGCATATCACTTTCAATATGGACTAAAAACTCGCTATGATATTCGGAAGATAACAAACAATGAAGTCATGAAGTTTCTCCCACAAGGATTGAATTCTATTTACGAAGGATATTTCAAGCGCCTTGAAGACGAGCTCAAAGCCATAAAACATGAAAAGTTCAATGTGTTGAAAATTTTGGAAATGCTGGCTGCTTCCAAAGGACCTCTTCCTCTCATTTTCGTCGCTCAGGCTTTTGGTTTAGCTGCAGATTGTCGCGAAACGAAAGAAATCATCAACAAAATTAATGAAATCGTGTCTTGCTTGTTGTACGTTTCAGATGACATGTTAACCGTTTTTCACAAATCCGTTATTGATTGGCTTCTAGCGAAGGGCTACAAAGATCACCAGTATGCTGTCAAGGTCGATGATGGACATAGATCGCTTTGGCTTTTATGCGAAAATGTTTTTCAAAAAATCGTGAAACATGTTCGGTCAGGACATAACGCGAACTTGACTAATGACGTAATATACGCTCTGGAACATGGTATGGAACACCTAGAAGAATGTAATATGGAGGAATGTGTCTTTTGGTCAGTAGATGTTATTATTCTGTTTTATATGCTGTTGGTAAAGCCACGTCGACGGAATTATGTAGAATTGTGGAGCAGAATTCTAGGCAGTTTTGAGATTAAAAGCGAAGACCTGCGTGCCCGCATTTCGTGGCATGTCGTTGAATTTGAAATTCTTTATCAGTTCCTATTCGACGAGAACTTTCAGTACACAAAATTTTCAGGATTATTGTCGAGAACTTCAATATCGTATCTAGAAGCTGTTCTTACACATCCTCAAGAAGGTTATTTCAGTGAAGACGAGAAGAAAATCGCAAGGTTTCTACTGTCAAAGGCCCACCGACTTTTTGGCCTAAATACTTATAAAGACTCGTTTTTGCCGCGAGCAGTCTGGAAATCCACCGGCGTGAAGCAGATTACAGCTTTTTGCTTATCGAAAAATAAGAAAAAAGTAGCAGTTGTGGAAAGAAAATCTATCCATGTGCTATCATTACCAACTTTAGTTGAAATTATGAATTATTCCACAGAATTTAAAGAAATTTCTTGCTGCACATTTTCTCCAGACGATTCTCTCATATTATTTGGAAAACTTGGAACGGCGTTAAACATCGCTGAAAGAGAGGAAGTTCCATTTTTCCTCGGAAATGAAGAGACTTTCCTGTCCTGTACGTTTTCCCCTAACGGAAAGAGGCTGGTGACCAGCGATGGTTCAAACACCATTAAACTATGGGACGTTGCTAAACAAAGATCGCTCACTTTGCTTTGTTCTGAATCTTCTGTTGATTTTTGCTTTTTTAGCATCACAGGGTTGTTTATCATTGGAAATTCAGAACAATCCATGTATTCGAGGTATGTGGGTTCTTCATTCTGCGTTTGGAACGCCATCACATTCCAAAGAAGTGATAAACGAAGATTGTGTCATGGAAATATGGATGAACGAGGAGTGTTAAAGTGTAAGGAATGTGAACGATGTTTTCATCGAGGATTTGAGGAACCAAATTCTAAAAGATTAGAAATAACAGTGTGTCAACCACTTGGAAGAGAATTTATAACGTATTGTCCATGGATCTGCAAAGGTGTGGAGTTTATTTTTTCTCTTGGACAGTATTATGGTTCGAAAGTACTAGAAATTATTCCTATGGCTGCGGTTGTTGCTTTGAACTACTTGCTTTCTAATAATTCTGATTCTGATTTGTATCCGAAAAACAAAGCGACAGCTTTAGAAAATAATATGTGGCTCTGTGCAGATCGTAAAAAACTGATGGTCTTAAAGACATTAGCTTCTGCGCAAGAGCAATCCTGTCTTTCACTTCCAACGATGGTTTATTCGAGTTCGTTTTCTCCTGACGGCTCTCGACTTGCATCCTGCACGTCAGATGGATATATCAACGTATGGAATGTCTATACCAGCAAAGTTGAACAGCGTTTCGAAAGCAATCAAGAGGGATCAAGATTTTTATGCTTGTGGTCGAAAAATTTCTTGTCTGCGATTAGTGAGTCTCACGGTATTCCGAAGTTAACGCGATACCCGGTGGATAACAATTTAGAGATCCTGTCCACTTCCAATCAGCAAGTGTCGCTGCATCATTTATTGAGCGGAGACGAGCGCTTGACCTCCTACCTTGAAGGCTTTCTCATTTTTGAACTCGGATGCAATAAAACCGTAGAAATTCTTGATGTCAGAGGTGTTGACGGTCCCGTAGTGGTCAAGTTACCTGGGATTGAGCCTAAGAGTGTAGAAATCTCGACTGGTGGTGCTTTTATCTTTGGTTATAATAACAATAATGCTTATATTTGGAAAAGAAACGCCGAAGTACCAGCTTTGTATGAAGTCTTTTATCGCTCAACATATGATGATATAATGGATGCAATTTTTGATCATGAAATCAGATGTTTGTTCAGTAGTGATTCTAAGGTTGCTGTTCTCTCATACACGCCAGCTTGGCGCATTGACGAAGTTGACCTGGATACTGGTCATTCTAAAAGGTTATATTCTTCTGAATTCAAGTCTCGATTCCTGCGATATCCGCCAACATTAAAATCATTTTATATTCTCAAGAGAAGAGTACAAATCAATACAAGTTCTTCTTATTTTAAGATGTTTACTGACGGAGCTTCCGAACGTTCTGTTCAACGACAGTTCGATAATCGATGGGTGCGACAAACAGTTCAACTTTCCCCCAAAGAAACCATGCTGGCTTTTCCTGATCGCAAAGGCGATATGGTGTTTCTTCCACTGTCTATCCCACCAAATCTTTTGTTGCCTGATATTAAGTGAGAGGCAATTGTTAAATGTTCTGGGGCCGGTTGTATCAAGCCCGTTTAGCTTGAACGGTGGTAAGTCAAAATGAAATAACACTCTTACAACTCTCTTGAATGAGTCAACTTGAATATTATGCACTGAATATATGTGGTTGTAAACATGATCGTTGGACTTGATCGGCAGACTTGCTTTCTATTTTGAACTTATACACCGTTTATTATAAGCTAAACATGCTTGATACAACCGGCCCCTGGAATAAATAGGTGCTGTAATTCTAAAGTGCGTATCCCTCACAAAGCGGACGCGAACCAGTCCAAACAAGAGAGCGATTAATATTTTTTCAAAACGAATTTTTTTGCGGAACAATTACGTTGGCAGTTTGTTTTCGCCTCGCACGGTGTAAAGTCGTTTGGTGGAAACAGCCTTATATAAGACTGCTTTTACTGCAATATATACAAAGCTGTACACGTTGCGTTTCCCGCAGATTATTCATGTCAATCATACACGAATATCTTTGATCTTCAAAATAACTCGAGTGAACCCGTTCACACAAGAACGAGAGCCAGTAGGAGGAGGCTTAGTTTATAAAGACTCTGTTATGAATGACAGATGTTTTGGAAATTATTTACCAATAATTACAGAATTTCATAATGAATATATAACGAACATGCAAAAATAAAAAAAATATGGAAAACTACCATCAATAACTTTATGATCGGGCAGCGGCTAGACTTTGCTTGGAGCTGGTCTAAAGAATGGAGAAGTAAGACACCTCCTTCCCTCCTCTGGGAGTTCACCTTGGACAAGTGACAGCACTCCCTAACTGGGGTTACAGTTTGTTAAACAAAACAAAGATCAGTTCTTGAATATATATCTACAAGAAAAAAGTTTTCAAAATGTGTAAATCGTATGGTATTCAATGGTTGTCACAACTTCTCTCACAAGCTTGCATTTGTTTCAATCATTCAACAAAGACAGATAATTCTTATTAGTTCAATTCTTTCAAGCCACAACAGATGCTTTTGACCCAATATATACAACTCAAATAATTATTATACATCTCCGTTTGATTTCATATACAACCTAAATTTAATGCTTTAATTTCCTTTTTTTATCGGAAGAAAAAATTAAACTTCATATCCTTTGAGTTCTCTTTTATGAAAAAAGACATTTTAGCGAGATTTTATAACATTTACTTCGCTTCCCGACAATTTCAGAAAGAACTCAGAACAAAATTTTTCCTCAAATAAGGTGAAAAAAATTCAGCGCAGTGCTCTAAGCCTCTAACAACCGAATTTTTTTAACTTCCCTAGGAAAATGTCGAAAATTCCTACAACTTTGTTAAAATTTCTTTCACGAGTCAGTTTGAAAACTCGTAAATTTACTACCAGGCCTGATCAAAATTGATTGTTTTTACACTCTATCACCAGGAAATATTTTAAAGATAGCCGATAATAAATAGAATTTTAAGTCAAAACAATATGAATTTCACACTCGTTGGATGCTCGGGCGGCGGTCGGTGTACCCTCGTAAAGCGCTCATATCCTTATATATAGGCCCATTTTTGAGCTTAACGATCTCCATGAGGTCGAATTTTGAAAGCAATCAAAAGTTTGTGCATAAAAACTATGATTAACAGAGATTATTTTTGTCCCTGTTTCGTTTTGAGGCACTCGGCAAAATCTTAAAATAATTTACTTTTTTTTCAAACAAACCTTCAGAATTTGGGCGAAAAAAAAAAGATAGTTTCAAACTTCAAAAACACAAGAATAAGAACACAGAAGATTAGAAATCACACTTTTAAATACTGCTATAGTCTGTATTAAATCAAGGCATTGAACATAATTTTGAAACCATCTAAACAAAATAGTAATAATTTTTAAACGGCATTTGAGCATCCACAAATAGTGACAATCACATACCCAATGTGAAATGTGTCGAAATTCGCATCAGTCTAAATTTTTACGACTACAATTCCTGTAAAAATAAGAAGGTTAGAGAATAAAGGCTCTCAGTTTAAAGCAGCTATCGTTTTGAGGCACTCGACTAGATTTTTTACCAACTTGCGTTGAAAATGCATGAAATATCTAATATTATCGAAAATAACCAAGTTTGAACGACAATCACGTCTTGTGTGACAATCCAGTATAAAATGTTTAAGCGTTTTCTGTGAATTAAAAAGCTGAAAATATATATACTCACCCACCCGTAGTTTCACCTCTAGAGCTCTAGTTTTTTTTGTTTACAACACGACCGCTGGACCAATGTTCTCACTTTTAAGGATAATTCCAAATAGGAATCTTTTTTTAGGAAGAGTTTTAGAAGTTTTAATGAATTCAGGTTTTGAGGAATTTTGTAAGATATTTCTGAAACATTCTACGACTACGAAGATAATAAACATTAACCGTTAAACCACGCACGCAAATGAGATGTGAACTTGGTACTTTGTATGTTTGCTGTTATCAAACGTATCTTCAAAAGCTACAATTTAACAATGGACCCAATTCACTATTAAACTAAAATTTAAAACTAGGGATATTCATCAGCATATTAGAATTTGAATACCCCCATTCCCTTATTCCCTCATCCCCTTATTCCCCATTCCCCATTCCCTTTTCCCTTAATTCCCTTATTCCCTTATTCCCTTATTCCCTTATTCCCTTATTCCTTTATTCCCTTATTCCCTTATTCCCTTATTCCCTTATTCCCTTATTCCCTTATTCCCTTATTCCCTTATTCCCTTATTCCCTTATTCCCTTATTCCCTTATTCCCCATTCCCTTATTCCCTTATTCCCTTATTCCCTTATTCCCTTATTCCCTTATTCCCTTATTCCCTGATTCCCTTATTCCCTTATTCCCTTATTCCCTTATTCCCTTATTCCCATTCCCTTATTCCCTTATTCCCTTATTCCCTTATTCCCTTATTCCCTTATTCCCTTATTCCCTTATTCCCTTATTCCCTTATTCCCTTATTCCCTTATTCCCTTATTCCCTTATTCCCTTATTCCCTTATTCCTTATTCCCTTATTCCCTTATTCCTTATTCCCTTATTCCCTTATTCCCTTATTCCCTTATTCCCTTATTCCTTATTCCCTTATTCCCTTATTCCCTTATTCCCTTATTCCCTTATTCCCTTATTCCCTTATTCCCTTATTCCCTTATTCCCTTATTCCCTTATTCCCTTATTCCCTTATTCCCTTATTCCCTTATTCCCTTATTCCCTTATTCCCTTATTCCCTTATTCCCTTATTCCCTTATTCCCTTATTCCCTTATTCCCTTATTCCCTTATTCCCGTATTCCCTTATTCCCTTATTCCCTTACTCCCTTACTCCCTTATTCCCCATTCCCTTATTCCCTTATTCCCTCATTCCCTTATTCCCTTATTCCCCCATCCCCTTATTCCCTTATTCCCTTATTCCTTTATTCCCTTATTCCCTTATTCCCTTATTCCCTTATTCCCTTATTCCCTTATTCCCTTATTCCCTTATTCCCTTATTCCCTTATTCCCTTATTCCCTTATTCCCTTATTCCCTTATTCCCTTATTCCCTTATTCCCTTATTCCCTTATTCCCTTATTCCCTTATTCCCTTATTCCCTTATTCCCTTATTCCCTTATTCCCTTATTCCCTTATTCCCTTATTCCCTTATTCCCTTATTCCCTTATTCCCTTATTCCCTTATTCCCTTATTCCCTTATTCCCTTATTCCCTTATTCCCTTATTCCCTTATTCCCTTATTCCCTTATTCCCTTATTCCCTTATTCCCTTATTCCCTTATTCCCTTATTCCCTTATTCCCTTATTCCCTTATTCCCTTATTCCCTTATTCCCTTATTCCCTTATTCCCTTATTCCCTTATTCCCTTATTCCCTTATTCCCTTATTCCCTTATTCCCTTATTCCCTTATTCCCTTATTCCCTTATACCCTCGTTCTTAGGCCTTTACTCCTCCATTCTCTTATTCTCCCATTCCTTTACTCCCCCATCCCCTTATTCCCCCATTCACTTATCCCCCCATTCCCTTATTCCTCATTCCCGCATTCCCCCCCTTTCCCGCATTCCCTCACCCCCCTATTCCCCCATTCTCGCATTCCCCATTCCCTTATATTTATTCCTGCTGGCCTATATAAGAGGAGTACATCCTTATCCTCCTGCATCCCACAGGCCACAGTGAATCAATCAATTGGATGAATGATTTTTAAAAATAAACTAAATTTTGTAATTAAAAGACTTTGGTATGGATGTTATCAAAAATTTATGCATTTGTTTAAATATTGCCGTTTACAAATATTGCCGTTTAAATATTGCCGTTTTTTCAAATGGGCAGTTTAAATATTCTTATTATTCACGACAGTTCAAATGACAAAATCACACCTTTCTGGAAAGTTGAAAGGTGTAAATACTACAAAAATTATTTCTCAAATTGAAGGCTAAAACATGCCAACAATAGTACTCTCTCTCAACCACACTCAAACTTCATTTACTCACAGACAGAGAGTTATGGGAAGAACGAGCCGGGAGTTAAAGCAAGTTCTTTGCAAAGGGGGGGGGGGGAGGGAGTAGGATGCAACTTGTATTCTCTCATTTCTATGCTATCAGAAACCTTATCGTGCGCCGCATATACGCGCCGCCGTAAATGAAGCAGAGTACTGCTTGAACTATTGTAACTCTGTGCTTTTGTAGTCACTGTTACGTATGAGTGCACTTGGGATAGTATATGGACACACAATCCGAACGAATAAAAGCGCGGTTCGCATGTCCTTTAAGTCGCTATTAATATTGACGATGCAAACGCGAGACAATGGCCTCCAGACTATGGATCGACAACGGCTCATTCCTAAACGAGGGACTGGAATTAAGACGCTTGCTTGCAAGGAAAGTTTGTATTCTGACAGGACTCGATTAGAAACTGAATAGATTTTCTCTAATGTGAAGTATATAAGCTTGGACTCTTGAACTCGCCCGTGAGGACAACACTTGACGAATAATACGCATTCTTGAGTCCATTTACATTTCTCCCCAAGAGGAAGTCGAAGCTAAGCTAAGACCTGAAAAAACAACTTTTCTTAGTCATTCTGCAATAAATAAGCTAGGTAACTGAGGTTGCGCTTACCTAAAGCCACCCAACCTGTAAGCAGAACAAATCTGGAAAACGAATCAAAGGCAACCCCTATCATCCAGCCATCCGACTAGGTTTCAAAAAGTATAATATGTAGGTAGGAATTGCCCAACGCAAAGAACCCGGTTATTCCGTTTATCCCATCACGCTTTTCGAGCTTAGACCATGAGGAAAACTCAATTTTCAATAGTTGTGCGAAACAATGTGCATCACATTCAAGATGCACTATTCAAACTACAAGTACAAACTGGTCATAGTGCAGCATTGAAGTAGAATGAGACAAACGCGACTGTCAGATATTGCCGCAGTCACTTAAAACTCAAATACTTCCATTAGGTATGGCTTAAACTAAAAGTAACGCACACAAAAAACGGAAACAAACGGTAAGGGAAAACATAATAATGGGAGACCCTGGTGTGGTAGCAGACTAGGCATCAAGCCCAAGCTGACAAACCTCTGGCATTGTTAGTAATTAACAGCATAACAGACCTCGGGTTTGTGCATAGTACAGCATACTCGATAGCTTAAATCATTACTCCGCACAGCAACAATCGATCCAATGTGGATTGGACAACTTGTTCCACCAGAATGTTACATGTAAATGTTAAAATTCTAAAAAATGTTTATTATTCAACACACTTTCGTGTTCAATTGAACCTATTTGTGAAGTACTCTTGCAAAGGCGTTCTAAGGCGAATTGATTTTCCTTCCCAGCAAAATATTTCCCAGTAACATATTTGTATACCGTCTTAAACATACAACACAGGATTTTATCTTCGTTTCAAATCGAAAAAAAATGTTTATTTCGTTATTCATGCAAGCAAAAAGAAAAAACAAAATTACAAAATTCAGTGTTCAAATTCAAAAATCAAGCATGCAAAATGCAAATTAATAACATTTAAGATGGGATACCATCTCGAATACAATTAGAATTAAAATTATGGTTTAATTAAAGTCGACATTAAAATAACCGCCATTTGGGATGTTCTGTCGGTAGAATTGGCTCAAATAACCACCTTGTCTGCTGTTTTCAACTCTTGGAACAAGCCTTATAAAAGCACCGGCTCCACCTTGAAAAATAAAAGAAAATTGGGATTAAGGTGACCCCCCACAGTTTTCAAAAAATTAATTTAAAAGAAAGATACTCAAAGAGTGGGAAATGGAAACAATTTCAAGATATTTTGGATGCTGTCAGCTAGCCATACCAAGGAATAGGAAGGGGGTTGGAGGGGGGGGGTGTATATTCAAATATTCATGTTTATATATCGTAGGAACAATAGCGTGCAAAATCAGTCATTTGGGTATAAGACGAATATATGAATATACACCCCCCGCCCCAATTAAGCTTCTAGCCACGGCCCTGGGAATAGGTATTATCAGAAATCAGAAGTGTAACTAGCCAGAGATTATTTTTTGTGTCCTCTGTGAATTTTTTACTATTTCTGTCGTTTTAGTGGTAATTTGTTGGCTTTTAATTGATATAATTTAGTAAATTTAATTTTAAATGAATTTTAGATTAATTTTTAATTTCATTTAATTAATTTTAATGAAAAGTATTCCTGAATACGCAACCTAAGAGAGTGAACATGCTCATATTCACAGATGTACCGTCAGCGATTATCGACCGTTTACCCTTAATCCGATGTCAGCTGCTAGTTATCCAAGGCCATTTTAACCAGTTATACGCCTGGGTTTTAATAGTCATTTTATCAGTCAGAAAAATGTGGACACTTCCAGTGGGATCGTGTTCCAACCAACATGAAAACTAATGCTTCAGATGTAAGGATTTCAGGATCTTTAGGTTGTACTGGGCCATAATTAACAAAACCTGAGTACTGTTCGGCTTTCTTTGGGTCCCACAAATGAATGTTTGCTTCCTTATCGCCATGGCATCAAGGATGAGGCAGCAGTCTTTCTTCGAAGGTGTTTTTTTTAATCTCACTTTGTAATGATTGCAAAAAACCTGGCTCACAGTTAACTGAGCTTGACCATTTTTGAATTAATGATGGATTTGGCAATAATATGATCGGCTATCATATTAATATGCCTTACCCTTGGATGAATAATAATGCAATGTTAGAGACAATATATTAATTATTTGATGTCATCAGTGTATCGTCTTCCATATGGGGAGACAGTTGTGTTGATTTTGGCATTGTGGAAAATGGATAGCTGTAATCATTTGCCAAATGAAGCGTGTAATCTGTCGGCAATTTCAGTTTTGACAATCAAGTTCTGCTCCAAGCTGTTGATCACATATGACATGATGGCAATTTTATATTTGCATCGCCGTAACTGTTGCTGTAGGTTTTTATTTTTTATTTCAATTGCTTATTGGATATTTCTGTATTGTTGTTTCTGAAGATCTTTTCACAGTCTTTGAACGATTATATGTACTTTTGCTGGCTGGTTGTGGAGTGTCCTGCTGCCTGCTTCGTTTCTGTCCTGTGTAGCTTCGAGTGCAAACTGTTACTGCATGTATTTTGGTTAATAAAATATTATTTTTTAAACTTTTATTGACTTTTAAATTATGTCAACATGTAGTAAAGGTTTCGCAAACAATGGTTCCACAAACAATGCAGGTTATAAGGCATCCCTGTTTAGGGACGCAAAATTTGCTTTGGTTTTACATTTTGATTGCCTTTAAATTTAGCTTTAATAAAAACATCATTTAGTTTTATTAACTATATTTTTGTCAGTATTTAAATTCAATTTTTCCGACTGTAGCGTTCAATTCTCTTGAAATTTTGCATATGGATGTATTTGACATGGGTTGAAATAATTTCTGAGGTTTCATGAGTTAGTTTTTCTTAAAACGTTACTGCAGATACTCAAAGCATCCATAGTTTATATACTAGTTCTGTCAGTCAGTCATAAGGCTAGTTTCCACTCAGGAAAATTCTCCTTTGGATCGGACAGGACAAGAAAGTTTCCTTTGTATAAACGTCGCCTGAGAACTCACCGACAAAGGAAATTTTCCTGTCCGTTCCGATCCAAAGGAGATTTTTCCTGAGTGGAAACTAGCCTATATCAATCAGAAGAAAAGTGAACATTTCCTACCGTAGTTTACTTTATCTCCCCTAATTAAAGGCTGAATATTAACTGCTCTGTGTATAATTATGACATTTGCCACAATCTCCTGCTCTGTCAAGCGCACTCGAACCAAACAAAGTATGTATTATACCTTGTTGGGTTGACGCAAAGGGATACTCGTCACAACTTGTGGTCGAATTTCCATGTTCTCTTTGTAGTTTTGGACAACCAGAGGCTCTTCTATTTATTGCAGTTTGGGTTGCATTTTTGAGGTAATACAGTTGTGATGGTGCGCCGTTCTGAATGGCGTTTTCCATGTTTGCACAAACGTGTGGCATTTCAGAACAGGGAAAGGTGATGGTAGGATATAACACCCGGCCAAGTATGTCCAGCTGTTTAACTGTCTCGTAAGGATAATCTAAACATAGACATTGCGTTTTTTGGTGGAAGTAGGATACAGGAAAAGCTTTTACACACAACAGCTCCTGGTTCTTAACATCCTCGCGAGGGGCTTGTTGAAAAATGCGGACTGGACATGTTTGCGCACCCGTGGGCTAACAAATTGGTCAGACATTGAAATAACATGCAATAGTTTGATTTGTAAAGGTCTTTTTTTAAAACACCCTGTACAGGGTGTCAGCTTGAAATCACCTATTGTTAGAATATGAATGCCCTGGCACTTTGCAAAAAAATAGAATATCTTTGTAAGGTACTTTTTGGCCATGGGAATTTAAACCAAATTAAACAGACTAAAATAACCATGCATAAACTTTAATTGCATTTTGAATATGCACCCGTGCATGGGTTTAGTTGTTTTGTCTGGCAGGAAAATAGTTAATTGCATCGAGTATTACTAGTATATTTATGATTTATTATTTATTTATTAATTATTTATTCAAATTCTAACAATAGGTGATTTCGGTTGTTTAGGGACACCGTGTATAATACATGTCCCATCAAAGATAAAATGTTCAAAAGTTTTTTCAATTGTTGGTAATGATACAAAATATTACCCAATCACATTTAACTTGATTTAATCGATAGTTTCAATGATATTTATGTGGCTGCGACGGTAGATAATATTTGTACCTACCCTTTCGAAACGCTGTAGTGAAAAACGGAATAAATGCCAGTAAAACAACGGACAAGCTGAACGATTTCATAGTCGAAAATCTTCAATGCTGCAAAACTCTACAAAAAAAATGTGGATTTAAAAAATTTTTCTGAGAAATCAGGTTTGGTTTAAACACTGTCAGCAGGTAATTTGAAAATGTTTGGTGTATATCAGAATAGTTTTTTAAAAGGATAAATTATTAATGATGGCTAACACAGGACGAAAATCGCGCCATTAATCACCTTTAAGAAAAGGAGTAAAATTAATGAGTGTCGCTTTAAATCTTTAATTCGTGGATTAAAGCTGATTAAAGCAAATGAAGCATTTAATCTGGTTTTAACTAGCGGTGATATTTTGCGGGTAGAAATTTAGAAACAAAAGCGAGACAAGAAGGTAGTCTAAAGAATATAATCCGACCGCAAGAAGTCGATAGCGCGACATTTTGCAGCGAATGCAAATTCCCCCATGAAAGGATTGATTATTTGTTTTAGTTACTGGATCGAAAAACACATGAGTGTGTATTAACTTTCTTTATTTTCTGTGCAATTACTAGAATAATGTGAGAAGAAAGCTCAGGGCACTTAAAAGCACAGATGAGAGTTGTGTTTTAAATTGAATAAAAAGTAGAGGGAAGAAGGAATCTAAAAGCAACGAAGAGATCTAAGTTCGGAATTATTTAACTTTTTATTCTCAAACTTATGTAGCCCAGAATCTCAAGACAATGTCAAGCTGTTTCCCAGACTGGTACAAGAATTGAATCGTGAATTTGGAGGACAGGAAAATTGTCCTTGGTCAGTGGTTGTTTTGAAAGTTATATATATTTATATATAATTATGTATATAGTAGCTAGATGTTATTCTTTGATAGATCCAATAATTTTAGTCTACCGCATGTCAATCAAATTGTTTAGAGTGTGAAAACATTTTTGTGGATACGGGTGTGAGTAAAGTTAGGGGGGTGTGAGGTCTTCCATAATCTTAATTACAGCACCATTTTTGAACAATATTAACTGAAATGTGTCCTGCAATTTAATAGAAAGCAGCTTTCTTGGGGGGAAGGGGCAGGGTAAAGCCCTTATAGGAAAACTTTTGAAATTTTAGTCGTTCATGAGCCTTAAAAGATAATTTTATTATGTGAGTGGCCAAGCCCCCAGGCTCCCACTTCTCTTTGATCCGTGAATTTTATTTGTCATGCCAAAATTCGTGATTGTGATGATAACAACAACAATAATAAAAATAATTTGAAACTTTGTTTAGAAACTGCCAATGAGATTGAAGCAGCTAAATCGTGTTGACTGGAGCCAAGGAGAGTGGTAAAAGTGGCTGATATTCTAAGAATGGAGTACATGTCATCCAAAGAGAGCGAGGTCGAGAAAGAAACCTTGAAAGTTAAGCATTATAACGTTAGAGGTTTTGCTTGGGAAAGCCGAGAATTGAAACGGGCAAAGAGAAAACTCGATCAAAGCCATCACTACTCACTTCCTGGTCTGTCAAAACGCACAGTTATACCGAGAGAGCACGGAGACTGACCCAGCAATAAGCAAAAGCCAGCAAACTGCTGATTCTTGCGATAATACGGTAGGTTTAAATATCTCCCGCTGAACTATAATTTGAACTACTTTAACCTTTATGTTTTTAGTACAAAGTTTCTTTTGAAACTTACTGAAAGTATTGTGATGAGTTGCTTGAAATAAAATTTTCCGCTTATATAGGAACTCGAATTGACACTAAAAGACAAAAGATAATGCAAACTTAACTCAATGAACAAAGCGCTTGTTCGGCACAGGAAGAAGTTTGCGATAAATTTGCATTTCTGTTTTCAGTGATAATTAGACTTGTTTGACAAATTTTCAAAAGAAAAATGTCCAATTCCCATCGGCAGAAGAATGTAATTTTTATCGACAGTTTTGTCGACCCAATATTCGTTCATTATTTAACAGAATGACGCGTACATGGATGTCATTTGAAAGGCAAATAAATAAACTTATAACAATGGTGTAAAAATCAACCAATTTTGTCACATGTATTCTGCGTAAATAGACGTCAAATTTCGATTCGAATTAGTCAAACCGTGTGTGTGGTCAGCACTCTGTATTATGTGGACACCAAGTCGATACGGAACATAATTGATACTATACAAAACGGACATTTTGTGCAGTAATCAAATCATTTTGGTGGTATACAGTATTCATTATAAGTATAATATTATTGCTTTGTATCGATTTATACGGTTTATTTACTTTATTTACAACGCAACTATTTTTGCTATTGTTTTGAAATGACGAATAAATTGTTGCCATCATATACATGTTGTTCATGTAGTCACATGCAGTTGTTTGACGAAGAAAAGAGACTAAACTGACAAAATCGCGCCCTGTTTTATGCCAATATCGCGTCTAACGTAATTTGAGTACTTTGAATATTTTCCTTTTGATTAAGGGTAATGTTTAATTAGCCTAGTTCTTTATATTTTTACTGACATATAAGTCAAACGTTTATGTTGGGACAAATGTCTGGCTGCTTAGAACTATCTATCTATGTAACTTTGCACTATCCTTGGATCCCTAGTCTAGCTTATATATGCACATGCATCACATGCATCCATCCACAAGTTATACCAGGGCCGCATGCCGTGCACTTACGACTGGCCTTGAATCCCGTTCGATCTAACATCATTATACAGTTTTACAGCAATATAGAGGAATATTTCATAAAAAGAATAGACACGAAAGTTATTTATAAAACGAAATTGTGATGTCTTATATGTACAAAGACAAAGTGTCGAGGACATAAACTGGAATTATGGTTATTACAATAAATTATTATTTATATATATGAACTAATTGAATCTTGTTGCTTGTTTATGAATTATGTGTATCTGCATGTGTGTCTAAACCGCAAATTTATGCCGCGTTTCAATTTTACAGTTACCCACGTCTTCATGCAACATTCATGTATTCGCAATACGCAGGATTAATTTCTTTTCAAATGAGTTGTCTTTACAGCCTGTTAACATGAATATATGAAGTTGGCCCCCCCAATTATCGATGCTGGCTGCGTAGCGAATTGTGTAATGTTTAACGACAATAATAAGATCGTGTTTTCATGCATTAGTCTTGGAAGCATACCAATGGCAATAATTGTTCGGGAAAATGCTAGAAAGTGCTTATCGCCTACGCCTGCTATCAATATTCCAAGTCAAGAATAATATAGTAATCCAATAAAGGGCGTAGTTAAACTTCCGCTTACCAGTTTTATCGGGTCAGAATGTGTGGTTAATTGTCATTTTACATTACTTTAAACAGTCATTATCAACGGGTTAAATGTAGCTTTAATAATATTTAAGCGAAATGGCTTTCTATAACTAAATTCGTCTCTAATCCCTGGCTAAGAGCGACATTAAAGCTGATTAAAATACGATCTTGCGGCTTGCACTGCTTTAATTTGATACCCCACAACACGACTTTATTAATATGTCGGTATTAATTAACATTTAGTGTCTTTAAGACTTTAATAAATAACATTCCCTTGTAAAATAAGTTAACTACTAATTAACTACTACTATAGAAACATTATGTCCTACCTTCTTACTCAGTGGCGGATTTCCAAAATATAAGATCAGTCACGTAATACAGGCAATTTAAAATTCCTGACAAGCATGCGCAATTTTAGTTCAGGAACAAGTACAGGATAAAGTAAACATTGATATTGGATAATTGGTTTTAGAGTTTAGCATAAATATTCTACATGGCCGGGCTTTTAAGTAGGTTGTTTACATGATCGGGGATGATTCAGAGGTACCAAGACTCAAGGGAAAAATCAAATGATTGGTTAAAAGTGCCAATGGAATGACTTTCGTTGCAAGTCTAATAATGGCTAGCAACTTTCATATAACTGGAATCTGTCCTGACCTGTTCTGTTCTGTCCATGTGCATGTTCATGTCCATTTCCGCTTTACGTCATGTGCTGATTTTGCAGGGTTATGAAATTTTCTACATTTGTTTCCCAACTTTTACTCATTCCCAGACTACCTTTAAAATAATGGATTTCACTCTTCTTTCCCATATTAGAATCGATTTAGTTGATTTAACCCGATGCTGTAGGTGGAATTATTTAATGCTCTAGTTGATAGTTTTCAAAACGGGGGTGAATATTCGAGCAGGCGAGTAAATTAGGGAGCGATCAGCGCAGGTAGCATTAGAAATGCGGGTAATGCGAAGGGAAACAAAATGACGAGGAAACGCTATGAAACGCCTGTGGAAGAGGTAGTAAATGGTTCATGCTGTGTTTGATCGTATTCTTCAATCCTGTGCAAACTGCGAGGTGTCAACGCGCCCATACACGACCACATCATCTGGTTAAAAGGCAAAATAGCAGCGATATTATTAAAATCGGACCAGAATCTACACGTATTAAATACATTCTTAATCTTACCCCAATTAAATCTAAACTTAATCGAACAGCATCAAAAAGATGGTTTGTTTGTTTCTCTTGGAGGAATTGCCGTATCATGCTAGCGAAATCAAATCACCCATCGGAAAATTAGCCAAAGATTTCGAGCTGTGCACCACAATTTTTGGGAGACAAAACATTGACGTAGATAAATACGGTCACATACGCTCTTCAATGAGCGTCGCATCCGGTCAAGTCCTGGGTACGAATTAGCATTTCACTTTCCAATACTAGTACATATCGCGCCAAAACGCACTTGCGACGACGAGAATAATAATAAAAAAAACTCAAAACCGAGGCGTATTTTCAACTCCGTCGCTCGCATCGGAGTAATTAGCAGTTACGGAATATTTTATAAATGGAATAGACACGAATACTATTTATAAGACAAAATTGTAATGTTTTATATGCACAAAGTGTCAAGGAAATAAACTGGAATTGTCATTGTTACAATAAATTATTATTTGTGTATGAAACTAATTGAATCTTGTTGCTTGTTTATGAATTATGTGTATCGGCATGTATGTCTAAACCGGCGAGATGTGATTAAAATGTCAAACGTATTGTCAACTAGCCAATGGGCAAGCTATAATTGAGGAGAGAATTCATGCAGGCACTCTAGAACATCCAACATCGTGGCTTGCAACATGTACGCACCGCGTGCCTATTTTTTAAAATAGCATTGCAAGAATTATTAAAAATCGCCCTAATAAAAGGAATAGTACATATTCTTCCGAGACAAAGAATAAATTTTTGTAACTAATGATGGAAACATTAGCTATAATATACTCGGTGGAATATAATATAGACTGATTTGAGTTTTGTGTCATTTCATAATAATAGTTTATAGGTTTAGGTCAGTTTAGCTCAGGAAATTGTGCACTTGGTTTGAAATAGCGAGGGGTTGCTGCATGCATTTATTTCTATTAACTAGAAGTTACTATCGCAAGGGAAGTGCTGGCATCGCAAGTCTATTTATCGCATTTTGAAGAAAAACAACGGCTGTTTAAACTAAATTTGTCTACTCCACAGAGGCTTTCTGGGCTTTTTTTTCAAATGAATAATATTGTAAACATTGTCGTGAACAATAGGTGGTGCATTAGGTGTTACAGTAAGGTGGTGCATTAAGTGTTACAGTGCACTACTGTTACAGTAACAATGTTGCGACAACATGTGTTTTTGCGCGTGTACACGGTTAAAAATTGACCAGGTTGTCGCATCAGTGGTGAACAATGCTGTGCTGCACCCCGGGAACAATATTGTTAACAATGTTGTTGAACCTTGTCGAATCATCAATGTTAATGCAATCACGATGCAATGTTGTTGTAACAAGTTGCGACAACATTGACGATTCAACAAGCTTCAACAATATTGTTAACAATACTGTTCACAGGGTGCAGGACAGCATTGTTCGCTCCTGTTTTTAACAACTTGCATCAACGATGATTTTTATGCGTGTATTTGATACAGCATTAATTTGCTCCTGCTAGCAGCTTCACGCGTGCTGAGAGTTAGAGCAGTTGTGAATAGACTCATCAAGGTTATTTCCGCCATATTGCCTGCGGCTGCAGGGCAAAAAAAACTGGGTTTGAGCTGCGCGACCCGCCAATTCAGGCATTTACACTAAGATTCAATACATATGGCGGTCACAGAATGTTTTCCTTTTTGCCGCCATGTCTAACGAAGCACTGTGTTGTTGTGGCGAGACGGGATTTTATTTCAATTAATAATAGTAATACTCAATCTCGTCTCCAGTGTGCCCAGAGCCCGCAATGCTTTGCTTGCAAGTGTGAAAATTTAAGGCTATTATAAGAGGTGGGTGGCGGCTTTTCGGGGCGGCTGTCGTGCGCTTGTCACCACGCGGAAATACAAATCAACACAAATCATCCTTTGTTGTGACTTCAAGCAAGTTAAACCGCTCAATAAGACGAATGCTTCGTTAGAAATCGTTAAATTCAGTGTTCACTTGCGGTTTGACTACAAAGTGGCAAAAACGAAAACTTTCTATGACCGCCATTCGTATTGAATCTTAAAACTCATTGTCATCGGATCAGATTGCATCTTAAAGTGGGTGGCTCATTTTAACTTGCGATTTCTGTGTTAATACTTACCGATTTTAATAAAAATAGAACCATTTTAAGGAGGAAATTTTCCTCAGTAGATACATGCATTTTTTAGATCGATATATATGTTGCCAATTCGCCATGATATTAACTTGAGTTAAGCGCGTTCTTACTGCGTGCTCGGAATGTTGTCATGCGGTGGGAAAAGGCGACAAAACTCTATGACACCCTCCCTCTAGGGTAAATTTGACCCCAAAAATGGATTCCTGATGTAAAATTGGACCAAGAAGTCAGTTTTTCGGCTTTTTTTTGTCCAATTTCATTTTCGATATTTGCATTATTGTGAAATAGTATTGCCGGTGATGTGATAACTCATATCATCATGCATGTTTATATAAAAAAATCGGCAAAAAACCTCTAAAGGCTCGATTTTGACGCTAAAGATATCAAAATATTCCTGAAAATGTGAACTAACTGTACTAACTCACTGTGTCGGAAATTGTCTCGAACACTCGTGAAACAGGAAGTAGCGATTATAATTTAGCCAATAGGGAGACTGGGTTTACATGTGCTAGGAGCGAGATAAAATATAGGGATTTTGAGACTGTTCTTTTCAAAACGACTAGTGATTTTTCGTAGATACATACTTGGGAGACGGGTAATTTACGAAACGTGGCACCTCTGACGGAATTACGTTATTAACGGTTTACGTTATATATATATTTTGCGATTATATTTTGTGATTACATCTGTGATTGCATCTTGGACGTGGTAATATTTTGGATACTTTTTAATATGGCTACAAAACCTGATGAGAAAATTGCAGTGCTGGACGTTAAACTAAAGCAACTACTTATTACATGTGAGAGGACTGGCTCTGTATTAGAATCAACGAAAGACATCGCAATAAATCGGCAAATCGATTCGCTAAAAGCACTTTCACAAGATTTCGAGAAATCGCGCCGCGAAGTCGAGTTAGTAAAAATTACAAATGAAGAGCCAGAAGCTGAAATAACGACATGGAATGCCGAAGTTAAAGAGAAGTTATCGATGACAGATGATGATATTAAGCGGCTCGAGAAATAGCAAGACGAATACAAGCAAAAGAAAGAGTCTATGGAGTTTAACTTTGAAATAAAGCATCACGAACTAAATTACAACTTCAATCGGAACAGAATACGAAAGTTTCGGGTAAACAAGCTATTTCAGTGAAGGAGGATGTTGCTGTAAAGCTGCCAAAGCTAGTGATAACAAAGTTCGACGGATTATTAACCGACGGGAATCGTTTTTTGGGGCAACTCAGCGAATCTATAGAGAAATCTGGCATCGCAAGTGTTGTGAAATTTTCGTATCTAAAAGAGTTACTAGGCGACAAAGTACGACGTGACGTCGAGTCACTTCCGTTCACTGCCGAGGGCTACAATTGGGCGAAAGCTATCTTGTGTGAGAAATACGGGAAAGAAAGCGAGATCGTGAAAGCATATAGTAAGAAAATACTAGATTTACCGGTAGTAACATCAAATAACCCAAAGAAGATCAGCGAATTCAGTGAAAAATTAACCTACTGTGTACAGTCCTTGCAGACTATGAAGAAGTTGGATGGTGTGAATGGTCTGACCTCACTGACACTGGACAAGTTACCAGCAATTCGGGGAGATTTGGTACGATCGGATAGTGGATGGGAGTCTTGGGATCTGGAGAATCTTGCAGAAGCCTTGCGGTTTTGGGTACGAAGGAACCCAGTTGATGCATCACGTGATCCTGATGAAGAGCAAGAGAAAAGGAGACGAGAGGCGAAATGGTTTCATTCTCGTGTGGGACGGCCTACCTTGAAGGCTTTCTCATTTTTGAACCCGGATGCAATAAAACCGTAAAAATCCTTGATGTCGGAGGTGTTGACGGTCCCGTAGTGGCCATAGTTACCTGGGATTGAGCCTAAGAGTGTAGAAATCTCGATTGATGGTGCCTTTATCTTTGGTTATAATAACAATAATGCTTATATTTGGAAAAGAAACGCCAAAGAACCAGCTTTGTATGAAGTCTTTTATCGCTCTACATATGATGATATAATGGATGTAATTTTTGATCGTGAAATCAGATGTTTGTTCAGTAGTGATTCTAAGGTTGCTGTTCTCTCATACACGCTAGCTTGGCGCATTGACGAAGTTGATCTGGATACTGGTCATTCTAAAAGGTTATATTCTTCTGAATTCAAGTCTCGATTCCTGCGATATCCGCTAATATTAAAATCATTTTATATTCTCAAGAGAAGAGTACAAACCAATACAAGTTCTTCTTATTTTAAGATGTTTACTGACGGAGCTTCCGAACGTTCTGTTCAACGACAGTTCGATTATGGATGGGTGCGACAAACAGTTCAACTTTCCCCCAAAGAAACCATGCTGGCTTTTCCTGATCGCAAAGGCGATATGGTGTTTCTTCCACTGTCTATTCCACCAAATCTTTTGTTGCCTGATATTAAGTGAGAGGCAATTGTTAAATGTTCTGGGGCCGGTTGTATCAAGCCCGTTTAGCTGGAACGCTGGTAAGTCAAAATGAAATAACACTCTTACAACTCTCTTGAATGAGTCAACTTGAATATTATGCACTGAATATGTGGTTGTAAACATGATCGTTGGACTTGGTCGGCAGACTTGCTTTCTATTCACAACCCATATAATGAGATGCAAAGGGATGAGTTATCACTGGAGTGACATATAATGCGTCAGTGGCTGTGGGCATGCGTAATACACGGCAGTTTGACTATAAATAAGGGTTAAACCCCTAAGCGGGTGCTCAGTTGATTCCAGCGGACAACAAAGGCCGAAGGACGACCCACCCGCCCTTCCCGACATTGCGTGGGTCGTAAAAATCGCCACCTCATCACCAGGCTTGCCAGCCTGGCCTACACCGCTGGATCATATTTCCCCATACTAATCACTAGAGCATCTCTAGAGGGTTGTGAATATTATACTATTTGAACGTATCCACCGTTTAAGCTAAACAGGCTTGATACAACCGGCCCCTGCAATATAAAGGTAGCGGTAATTCTAAAGCGCGTATCCTTAACAAAGCGGACGCGAACCAGTCCAAACAAAAGAGCGATAAATATTTTTTCAAAACGAATTTTTTTGCGGAACAATTACGTTGGTACTTTGTTTTGGCCTCGCGCGGTGTAAAGTCGTCTGGTGGAAACAGCCTTAAGACTGCTTTTACTGCAATATATACAAAGCTGTACACGTTGCGTTTCCCGCAGATTATTCATGTCAATCATACACGAATATCTTTGATCTTCAAAATAACTCGAGTAAACCCGTTCACACAAGAACAAGAGCAAGTAGGAGGAGGCGTAGTTTGTAAAGACTCTGTTATGAACGACAGATGTTTTGGAAATGATCTATCAATAATTACAGAATTTCATAATGAATATATAACGAACATGCAAAAAGTAAGACACCTCCTTCCCTCTTCTGGGAGTTCACCTTGGGCAAGTAATAAGCACTCCCTAACTGGGGTTACAGTTTGTTAAACAAAACAAAGATCAGTCCTTGAATATACATCTACAAGAAAAAAGTTCTCAAAATGTGTAAATCGTATGGTATTCAATGGTTGTCACAACTTCTTTCACATGCAAGCTTGCATTTGTTTCAATCATTCAACAAAGACAGATAATTCTTACTAGTTCAATTCTTTCAACCCACAACACATGCTTTTGACCCAATATATACAACTCAAATATACATCTCCGTTTGACTTCATACAACCTAAATTTAATGCTTTAATTTCCTTTTTATAACGGAAGAAAAAGTTCAACTTCATATCCTTTGAGTTCTGTTTTATGAAAAAAGACATTTTAGCCAGATTTTATAACATTTACTTCGCTTCCCGACAATTTCAGAAAGAACTCAGAACAAAATTTTTCCTCAAATAAGATGAAAAAAAAAATTCAGCGCAGTGCTCTAAGCCTCTAACAACCGATTTTTTTTAACTTCCCTTGGAAAATGTCGAAAATTTCTACTACTTTGTTAAAATTTCTTTCACGAGTTTGAAAACTCGTAAGTTTACTACCAAGACTGGTCAAAATTGATTGTTTTTACACTGTATCACCAAATTGCAATTATAAAAATTAAAAAAAATTTAAAGATAGCCGATAATAAATAGAATTTAAAGTCAAAACAATAGGAATTTCACACTCGTTGGATGCTCGGGTGGCGGTCGGTGTACCCTCGTAAAGCGCTCATAAAGTCTTCGACGCATTTTGAAATTTGGCCTTATAGGCCCATTTTTGAGCTTAACGATCTCCATGAGGCCGAATTTTGAAAGTAATCAAAAGTTTGTGCATAAAAACTATGACTAACAGAGATTATTTTTATCCCTGTTTCGTTTTGAGGCACTCGGCAAAATCTTAAAATAATTTACTTTTTTTTCAAACAAACCTTCAGAATTTGGGCGAAAAAAAAAGATAGTTTCAAACTTCAAAAACACAAGAATAAAAACACAGAAGATTAGAAAACACACTTTTAAATACTGCTATAGTCTGTATTAAATCAAGGCATTGAACATAATTTTGAAACCATCTAAACAAAATAGTAATAATTTTTAAACGGCATTTGAGCAGCCACAAATAGTGACAATCACATACCCAATGTGAAATGTGTCGAAATTCGCATCAGTCTAAATTTTTACGACTACAATTCCTGTAAAAATAAGAAGGTTAGAGAATAAAGGCTCTTAGTTTAAAGCAGCTCTCGTTTTGAGGCACTCGACTAGATTTTTTACCAATTTGCGTTGAAAATGCATGAAATATCTAATATTATCGAAAATAACCAAGTTTGAACGACAATCATGTAGGATATCGTGTTAGTATCGATATTTATTCACCTATGTTTCTAAATATATATTACAATTCTAACGAAAATATTAATGTTTACTCGAAGACTCCGTATTCCGTTTTTCTTATATATATATTATTTGTCCTTTTATATGTCTCTGTTCGTACGCATGAGTACCTAATTATGCGCATATTTAGTTCTATTTTGTTACTGAGGGATCGTTATTTGCTACGACACTACATCCCTCCCCTCTTATATATTTTTCCGTCTATTATGTATGAAAATCCTTGTATATTGTTTGCTTTGTCGATATTCTATTCCTCATTGGTCGTGGGCTCCTCTGTCTCGTCGGCTCTCTCTCTTCTCTATCAGGTTGCATCTGCCTACTTAATGATGGTTGCCATTCATTGTCGCTTTCTTCATCCTCAGCGCATTTCAAACGTTTACACTTCGCTGTATTTCTGCATAGTATAGTCTCTCCTTTCTGAGCTGTTATCATCGAGCCTTTCCTTGCGATCACCACAAACGGTTCCGGATTATAACGAGGGGTTAAGCTGTCAATTTTGTCCTGCTCCACAAGTATTTTGTCTCCCACTTCGATGTGTATCGCTTTGGTATGTCTCCTGCTGTCTGCATAGGCCTTGCACTTTTGTTTGGCAGTTGCGTCTCTTTGTCGGATGGTTGCATCAGATACTGTCTTCTTCGCCATTCGAGGTGGTAGACGACCATTCAGTTCCCTCCCAAAGATCAACTTGTTGGGGGTTTCTCCGGTGTTTCCATGTGGCGTGTCTCGATAGCTTCTGATTGTTTTTTGAATTTCCTGTCGGATGTTCTTTCCTTCTATTTTCGCTATCTTCGCACTTTTTTTTATGATTTGAATCATTCTTTCGACATCACCATTTGCCTCGGCCCATTTTGGAGTAACTTTCCGGTGTTTAAAACCCAGCGTTTTTGCAAATTCTGAAAATTTTCCCGAGTTGAATGGTGGTCCATTATCTGTCTTTATCTCTTTTGGAGTACCATATGTAGTGAAGATACGTTCCAGCGCACGTATTGTTGTTTCTGCCGATGTTGTGGTGACGAATTCGACTACTGGGTATTTGGCATATTGATCCCACATTACCAATATCGTATCTTTGTTTGGTAAGGGTCCCGCGAAGTCCATGCTGACTTTTTCCCATGGTCCATCTGGTAGTTCTGTCATTTGTAGTGGCTCTCTGTTATTCAATGGCGTAGTTGCTTGACATCCCAACACTTGTCCGTGTAGTTTTTCACTGCTGCATCTATTCCCGGGAACCAGACGTGTGCACGGAGCATTTGTTTAGTTCGTACTACTCCTTGATGTCCTTCGTGGGCAATCTGTATCATTCGTTTCTGCAACTTGTCTGGGACTACCATTCTTTCACCTCGCATGATCAGGTCGTCCACCAATGCCAGTTCCTGGAATACGTTTTTTAATCCACTGATATCCTCTGTATTCACCATTTGTCCTCTTTTTATGCATTGCGACAGTTTTCTCATTGCTGGGTCTTCTTTCACAGCTTGCTTCATTTCCTCTATACTAATCGAGATAGGCACGTCATTTTGGAGAATATAGTTCACATATTGTTTTACTTCCTTACTTGTACTTAGCTCTTGCTTGGTACACTCCTTACGCGGTAGCGGGTGCCTTGAAGTATAATCGGATATGTTGCTCTTTCCCGGCCTGTATTCTACCTTGAAATCGTAGTCCACAATCCTTACCAAGATTCTCTGTAGCCGTATTGAGGTTTGATGTCTTGGATTATTTATGATTGCTTCTAATGGTTTGTGGTCCGTGATTATTGTAAAAGGTATTCCGTATAAATACAGGTGAAATTTCTTACATGCGAAATCTACAGCCAGGGTTTCCAGCTCAATCTGTGAGTACCTGCTTTCTGTATCTGTCAACGAGCGGCTTGCGTATTGTACTACTCGCCACGGTCCCTCTTTGTCACTTCTTTGCACCAGTGTTGCTGATATCCCCAGAGGACACCCATCTACGTGAACTTCGTGTTCCGCCTTGGGATCGAAGTACACTAGGCTGGTCTCGTCACACAATCCTTTTTTTAGGTTTTCGAATGCTCTCTGGTGTTCAGTTTCCCATTTAAAATGTTCGTCTTTCAAAAGGCTCCTCAATTTTTCAGTCGAAGGTGCAAATCTTTTCATAAATCTAGCGTTATACTGCACTGTGCATAAAAATGAATTAAGTTCCTTGGCATTCCGTGGTGGAGATGTTGTTTTGATTGCCTGAACTTTGCCCGGGTCTGGGCTTACTCCGTCCTTCGAGAATACTAACCCGAAATATAAACACTTGTCTTTGCTAAATTCGCACTTCGATTTATTGAAAGTAACCTGTTTATCTTTCGCTGTTTCAAGAAGTAGTTCTAGTCTTTCGTCGTGCTCCTGTTGATTTCTCCCCGATACCAGTATATCGTCGCTGATATTAATAACGCCTGGTATGTGCTGGGTCAGTTCTTCCCGTATTTTGTTTTGAAATATGTCACCAGCTGATTTCGTCCCATAGTTGAGTCTCTTATACCTGTAGAATCCGGTATGTGTCGTGAAGGTTGTTATATCACGGCTGTTTTCTTCAAGCTCCAACTGGTGGTATCCATGGTTCATATCTAGGTGGGAAAAGACTTCCGCTCCATTTAATTCATGTATCACTTCTTCGATCGTTGGCGTAATGCTGTTCACTCGGGGGATGGCACTATTAGCTACTCTCATATCGACGTTGAGACGTATTTCGTTTGGATTCTTCTTGGGGGTGATTACTGTGGGGGACACCCAACTAGTAGGTTTATCTATTTTCTCTATGATATCTTTCTCCTCCAGCCTTTTCAACTCTTCTTCTATCTTCGGACGTATACTAAACGGTATCCGCCGAAGTGGTTGTGCGACTGGTTTAACTTCTGTGTCGATATTGAGGTCGACTTTTACTCCTTTCATTTTCCCAATACCTTCGAATCTATCGTTATAAGTCGTCAATAATTCCTCCACTCTTGAGGGTTGCTCCTTTACTGCCGTTACAACCTTAATCATGTTCAGTTCTTGGGCAGTTTGGTAGCTAAGCAATGGCTCTGTTTTTGTCTTTCCCTTTACCACGTAAAATGTTGCTGACACCAATCTTGTCTCGGATTCAATCATCGCGTCGAATTTGCCAATAATACGTAATGGTGGAGTTGGATTTTCCTCTGTGTGGTATGGTTGCATGATGCTCTTTACTTTTCTTAATGTCTGTCCTTTTGGGTATAATTTCCTAATATTCACCTATGTTTCTAAATATATATTACAATTCTAACGAAAATATTAATGTTTACTCGAAGACTCCGTATTCCGTTTTTCTTATATATATATGATTTGTCCTTTTATATGTCTCTGTTCGTACGCATGAGGTAATTATGCGCATATTTAGTTCTATTTTGTTACTGAGGGATCGTTATTTGCTACGACACTACAAATCACGTCTTGTGTGACAATCCAGTATAAAATGTTTAAGCATTTTCTATGAATTAAAAAGCTGAAAAATATATACTCACTCACCCGTAGTTTCGCCTCTAGAGCTCCATTTTTTTTTGTTTACAACACGACCGCTGGACCAATGTTCTCACTTTTAAGAATAATTCCAAATAGGAATCTTTTTTTAGGAAGAGTTTTAGGAGTTTTAATGAATTCAGGTTTTGAGGAATTTTGTAAGATATTTCTGAAAAATTCTACGACTACGAAGATAGTAAACATTAACCGTTAAACTACGCACGCAAATGAGATGTGAACTTGGTACTTTGTATGTTTGCTGTTATCAAACGTATCCTCAAAAGCTACAATTTAACAATGGACCAAATTCACCATTAAACTAAATTCAAAACTAGGGATATTCATCAGCATATATAGGCGGCGAAAGGTCGTTAAATTAGGGGGAGTGAATATTGCAATTGGATTTCCCCCATTCCCTTATTCCCCCATTCCCTTATTCACCCATTCCTGCGTCCCCTTATTCCCCCATTTCCTTATTCCCCCATTCCCTTATTCCCCCATTCCCTTATCCCCCCGTTCCTAGGCCTTTACTCCCTCATTCCCTTATTCCCCATTCCCGCATCCCCCCACCCCCCTATTCCCGCATTCCCCCATTCCCGCATTCCCCAATTCCCGCATTCTCCAATTCCCGCATTCCCCCATCCCCGCATTCCCCATTCCCGCATTCCCCCATTCCTGCATTCCCACATTCCCCCTTCCCCCATTCCCCATGCCCGCATTTCTTATTCCCGCATTCCCCCATTCCCGCATTTCCACATTCCCACCTTCTCCATTCCCCCATTCCCCAATTCCCACATTCCCCATTCCCACATTCCCCATTCCCCCATTCCCGCATCCCACCATTCCCGCATTCCCCCATTCCTGCATTCCCCCATTCCCACATTCCCTATTCCCGCATTCCCCATTCTCGCATTTCTCATTCCCGCATTCCGCACATCCCTTATTCCCCATTCCTGCATTCCCTCATCCCCGCATTCCCGCATTCCCCAATTCCCGCATTCCCCCATCCCCGCATTCCCCATCCTCGCATTCCCCACTCCCGCATTCCCACATTCCCACATTCCCCATTCCAGCATTCCCCCATCCCCCCACTCCCACATTCCCCATCCCCGCATTCCCCCATCCCCGCATTCCCCACTCCCGCATTCCCGCATTCCCACATTCCTACATTCCCCATTCCCGCATTCCCCCATTCCCCCACTCCCCAATTCCCACATTCCCCATTCCCACATTCCCCCATTCCCGCATCCCCCTATTCCCACATTCCCCGATTCCCGCATTCCCCCATTCCCGCATTTCTCATTCCCGCATTCCCCATTCCCTATTTTAAAAATAGCCATTTATTATCTCACAAATGCTACATGCTTTGTTCCTCTTTGCTCTATTGGCAAAAGTCGAAAATGTCGATACGTGTTCAAGAAAAAGCAAAAGTACAATAAGCGAGGCTTTAGTTTTCTGTGTATTCATTTTGTTTGTTTTGGCTTTTAAATGCCTTTAGTTAATTTTCACGCGCTTCTAAGGGAAAACGTTCTCCCGTGTGTCACGCGCACGCCACATAGTACACGGACTTATTTGTTCGCGCATGCTCAGACAAAATTTACACCTCTATAGCTCTGAAACAGCTTGGATATTTGTTGTCACTGTGCAAAAAATCCCTGGCACATTCCCTGGTTCAAAAAATCCCTGGTTCGAATTCGGATTTTAAACGAAATTCACGAAGCGAAAGTTTATTGAGATCTGAATTTCTTGTGGCACTGATCGAAAAGTTTCAAGAATAAACAATTAACAGTAGATTTTTGCCGCCGTAAATGAAGCAGAGTACTGCTTGAACTATTGTAACTCAGTGCTTTTGAAGTCACTGTTACGCATGACTGCATGAGTGCACTTGGAATAGTATATGTGGACACAGCCTCGTCCCCGGCGCGTGTTTTATTTAATCGGTGATGTGGACACACAATCCGTCAGTTTTGGAAATAAAATTGCCGTCACGATACTGATCTGTTTTATTATATAGTTCGGATTAAAGTTGCCAAATGACCAGAGTTGACTATGATATGCTTAGCTTGGATTTTGATTAGTTCAGAAGCCCGAAATAAACCAGAAAACCCGAGAACGAATAAAAGCGCGGTTCGCGTGTCCTTTAAGTCGCTATTTGACGATGCAAAACGCGGGACAATGGCCTCCACACTATGGATCGATAACGGCTCATTCCTAAACGAGGGACTGGAATTAAGACGCTTGCTTGCAAAGGAAGTTTGTATTCTGACAGGACTCGATTAGAGACTATATTTTCTCTAAATATATTTTCTGTGTTGTGTAATATATACGCTTGGACTGTTGAACTCGCCCATGAGGACAATACTTGACGAATAATACGCATTCTTGAGTCCATTGACATTTCTCCCCAAGAGGAAGCCGAAGCTAAGACCTGAAAAAACAACTTTTCTTAGGAATTCTGAAAAATATAAGCTAGGTAACTGAGGTTGCGCTTACCTAAAGCCACCCAACCTGTAAGCAGAACACATCCGGAAAACGAATCAAAGGCAACCCCTATCATCCAGCCGTCCGACTAGGTTTCAAAAAGTATAATATGTAGGTAGGAATTGCCCAACGCAAAGAACCCGGTTATTCCGTTTATCCCATCACGCTTTTCGAGCTTAGACCATGAGGAAAACTCAATTTTCAATAGTTGTGCGAAACAATGTGCAACGCATTAAAGATGCACTATTTAAACTACAAGTGCAAACTGGTCATAGTGCAGCATTGAAGTAGAATGAGACAAACGCGACTGTCAGATATTGCCGCAGTCAATTAAAACTCAACTACTTCCATTAGGTATGGCTTAAACTAAAAGTAACACACACAAAAAAGAAACAAACGGTAAGGGAAAACATGATAATGGGAGACCCTGGTGTAGTAGCAGACTAGGCATCAAGCCCTAGCTGACAAACCTCTGGCATTGTTAGTAATTAACAGCATAACAGACCTCGGGTTTGTGCATGGTACAGCATATCCGATAGCTTAAATCATTACTCCGCACAGCAACAATCGATCCAATGTAGATTGGACAACTTGTTGCACCAGAATGTTACATGTAAATGTTAAAATTCTAAAAAATGTTTATTATTCAACACACTTTCGTGTTCAATGAACCTATGTGTGAAGTACTCTTGCAAAGGCATTCTAAGGCGAATTGATTTTCCTTCCATGCAAAATATTTCCCAGTAACATATTTGTATACCGTCTTAAACATACAACACAGCATTTTATCTTCGTTTCAAATCGAAAAAAATGTTTATTTCGTCATTCCAAGCAAAAAGAAAAAACAAAATTACAAAATTCAGTTTTCAAATTCAAAAATCAAGTTACGCATGCAAAGTACAATTAATAACATTTAAGATAGGATACCATCTCAAATACAATTAGAATTAATAAAAATATTTATGGTTTGAGTGCGACATTAAAATAACCCCCATTTGGGATGTTCTTTTGGTAAAATGCGCTCAAATAACCACCTTGTCTGCTGTTTTCAACTCTTGGAACAAGCCTTATAAAAGCACCGGCTCCACCTTAAAAAAATAGAAAATTGGGTTTAAGGTGGCTCCCCACAATTCCTAAAAAATAAGTATTTTGCGTAACTTTTACGTTCAACCAAATTTAAAAGGAAGATACTCAAAGAGAGGAAATAGGAACAATTTTAAGATGTTTTTGTCAGCTACCCATACCAAGGAATAGGCAGGGAGGGTGGTGGGGGTGCGTGTATATTCATATATATTCATGTTTATTATATACACAAGCGCCAGATATGAGGTATGCTGCAATTTCATTGGTTGGCTACTAGACAGATATTAGCTCATATCTGTCTAGTAGAGAAAGTAAACAAAATGGCCGAAAGATTTGGGGAGTTGAGTGAAATAGAAATCCAAGCTTTAGTTGATAATAGCACACCAAAATGCACCGAAGGGGCGACGAAGTTTGTGAATATAATAAAACAGTTACTCTGCTCACTCGAGTCGTATAATATAACCAATAGCCAACTCGGCGCTACGCGCCTCGTCGGCTATCAGCTCATATACGAATCGAGTTCGCAGAATAACTGTTAATTATATACCGTAAAAACAATAGCGTGCAAAATCAATCAATTGGGTATAAGACGGATATATGAATATACCTCCCCCCCAATTAAGCTTCTAGCTACGGCCCTGGGAATAGGTATTAGGGACCTTAAGCATGCGGGACGGGAACGCGACGACGACGGCTATCAATACAATGGGTCATTGAAAAGAAATGAATAATTAAAGACCCATGATGGGTTTTAAAAGTCGTCTTCGTTCTGTTTACAACGGGAAAACGTGGTTTTTTACGTCTTGCCTAGAACGGATGCATTTCAGGACCCAGCGAGCCCTACCTCGAATTAGGCTCTATAGAATTGTCCTTAAACATAAACACAATGTTTTTAACGCCTTATATCTCACTAAATCTGTACAATAAATAATATACAACAACAACTTTGCTGTAGCATTTATTTAAAGGAGAATTTCAGCCGCGTCGTCGTCGTGTACATGTTTAAGGTCCCTATTATCAGAAATCAGAAGTGTAACTAGCCAGAGATTATTTTTTGTGTCTTCTGTGAATATTTTACTATTTCTGTCGTTTTGGTAGTAATATATAATATAATAATATATATATATATATTTTTTTTCCTTGAGTGCATAGGTATGCGGGTAATGAATGGTGCAATACAGGTGCACAATATTCAAGAACCGGTAACAACAACTTACGCACTATTTGAAATTTGAAAGTAAGATTTTGATACAGAAAAATAGCGTTTTCTTTGCAAATAAAGGCTCAAAAACATCTTTCGATGCTTGTCTCATACGTTTTACCGGGTCGCGTGAATCCTGGCGCTGTCCTCTAAGATTACATGCAGTGTTGCAGGGAATGCGTTCTTTGCTTTCTCGTCCATGGCAGTACACCGCACTGGAGTTGGCCTGTGTTTCTGATAATAGTGAGGTATTGCCAACGTTCAACCACAAGGGGTGCTAAACCATTTTTAAACTGAGTAGGGAAAGTACCGCATATATAATGCTATATTTCGAGAACTTGCTTGACATTAGCAATTTTTTATCAACCCTTGGTGGGTAAACCACTACTACAGTACGTATAGTCTCCAGTTGTAAACAGAATGTGTCAAATTTCAGTATGCTGCTATCAAGGGAGATTAACTCCACTTAAATTCAGACCTAGATTAAAGGGTGTCCCTTCTCTTTCGAGGCTGAGCTATCACCCTTTAGGCTGCACAATTACTCTTGCAATATTTGCTGTGGTTTCTAGCAATGTTCTGCTGTTGACAGATGTAGTCTGCAGCATCTTTTCCTTTTGATGGATGAGAACGAGTGGATGACTTGCAAAACTTCAGACGAGGCTGCAGATACTCAAAGCATCCATAGCTTAAATAATACTACTGTATTATACTTATATTATGTACTGACTGTTAGTCAGTCAGTCATAAAGTTAGTTTCCACTCAGGAAAATACTCCTTTGGATCGGGCAGGACAGGAAAGTTTCCTTTGTATAAACGCCGCCTGAGAACTCACCGACAAAGGAAATTTTTCTGTCCGTTCCGATCCAAAGGAGATTTTTCCTGAGTGAAAACTAGCCTATATCAATCAGAAGAAAAGTAAACATTTCCTGCCGTAGTTTACTTTATCTCCCCTAATTGAAGGCTGAATATTAAGTGCTCTGTATATAATTATGACATTTGCCACAATCTCCTGCCCTGTCATGCGCACCCGAACCAAACAAAGTATGTATTTTACCTTGTTGGGTTGACGCAAAGGGATACTCGTCACAACTTGTGGTCGGATTTCCATGGTCTTTTTGTAATTTTGGACAACCAGAGGCTCTTCTATTTTTATCAGTTTGGGATTTATTTTTGAGGTAATAGAGTTGTGTTGGTTTGCCTTTTTGAATGGCGTTTCTCATGTTTGCACAAACGTTTGGCATTTCAGAACAGGGGAATGTGATGGTAGGATATAACAGCCGGGCAAGTATGTCATGGTGTCCAACTGTCTTGTAAGGATAATCTAAACATAGAAATTGCGTTTTTTGGTGGAAGTAGGATACAAGAAACGCTTTTACCATATAGTCTATGCTTTTACACACAACATCTCCTAGTTCTTAACATCCTAGTTGTAAAATGCGGACTGGACATGTTTGCGCACCCGTGGGCTAACAAATTGAGCAGACATTAAAATAACAATAGTTTGATTTGTAAAGGTATTTTTTAAAACACCCTGTACAGGGTGTCAGCTTGAAATGGCACCTATTGTTAGAGTATGAATGCCATGGCACTTTGCAAAAAATTTAAATATCTTTGTAAAGTACTTTTTGCTCATGGGAATTTAAACCAAATTAAAAAGACTAAAATAACCATGCATAAACTTTAATTGCATTTTGAATATGCACCCGTGCATGGGTTTAGCTGTTTTGTCTGGCAGGAAAATAGTTAATTGCATTGAGTATTATACTAGTATATTTATCATTTATTATGTGGTAATGTCCTCGTTGGCTCATTTTATGCACTCGTGGGCTCAGCTTGTTGCTACAGCATTCAAATTCTAACAATAGGTGATTTCGATAGTTTAAGGACACCCTGTATAATACATATCCCATCAAAGATAAAATGTTCAAAAGTTTTTTCAATTGTTGCATGGTAATGATACAAAATATTACCCAATCACATTTAACTTGATTTAATCGATAGTTTCAATGATATTTATGTATATATCATCAATATAAATAAGTGAGTGCAGATGTTCTGTGGCTGAGACAGTAGATAATATTTGTACCCACCCTTTCGAAACGCTGTAGTGAAAAACGGAATAAACGCCAGTAAAACAACGCACAAACCGAACGATTTCATAATTGAGAATCTTCAATGCTACAAAACTCTACAAAAATAGAAATGTGGATTTAAAAAATTTGTCTGAGAAATCAGGTTTGGTTTAAACACTGCCAGTGGTTAATTTCAAAACTTTCGGTGTATATCAGTAAAGTTTGATTTTTTGTTTTAGTTAGTGGATCGAAAAACACAGTGTGTATTAACTTACATTATTTTCTGTGCAATTACTAGAATAATGTGAGAAGAAAGCTCAGGGCACTTAAAAGCACAGATGAAACTTTGTGTTTGAAACTGAACATGTTGACTGGAGCCTAGGAGAGTGGCAAAAGTGGCTGATATTCTAAGAATGGAGTACACGTCATCCAAAGAGAGCGAGGTCGAGGAAGAAACCTTGAAAGTTAAGCATTATAACGTTAGAGGTTTTGCTTGGGAAAGCCGAGAATTGAAGCGGGCAAAGAGAAAACTCGATCAAAGCCATCACGACTCACTTCCTGGTCTGTCAAAACGCACAGTTATACCGAGAGAGCACGGAGACTGAATAATACGCTGAACTATAATTTGAACTACTTTAACCTTTATATTTTTAGTACAAAGTTTCTTTTGAAACTTACTGAAAGTATTGTGATGAGTTGCTTGAAATAACAATTTTCCGCTTATATAGGAACTCGAATTGACACTAAAAAACAAAAGATAATGCAAACTTAACTCAATGAACAAAGCGCTTGTTTGGCACAGGAAGAAGTTTGCGATAAATTTGCATTTCTGTTTTCAGTGATAATTAGCATTTCAAAGCCTTGTTTGACAAATTTTCAAAAGAAAAATGTCCAATTTCCATCGGCAGAAGAATGTAATTTTTATCGACTGTTTTGTCGACCCAATATTTGTTCATTATTTAACAGAATGACGCGTACATGGATGTCATTTGAAAGGCAAATAAATAAACTTAACAATGGTGTAAAAATCAAGTGAACCAATTTTGTCACATATATTCTGCGTAAATGGACGCCAAACTTCGATTCAAATTAGTCAAACCGTGTGTGTGGTCAGCACTCTGTATTATGTGGACACCAAGTCGATACGGTACATAATTGATACTATACAAAACGGACATTTTGTGCAGTAATCAAATCATTTTGGCGGTATACAGTATTGATTATAAGTATAATATTATTGCTTTGTATCGATTTATACGGTTTATTTACTTTATTTACAACGCAACTATTTTTGTTACTCTTTTGAAATGACGAATAAATTGTATGTTGCCATATATGTTGCCATCATATACATGTAGTTCATGTAGTTACAGTTGTTTGACGAAGAAAAGAGACTAAACTGTAAAAATTGCGCCCTCTTTTATGACAATATCGCGTCTAACGTAATTTGAGTACTTCGAGTATTTTCCTGTTGATTAAGGGTAATGTTTAATTAGCCTAGTTCTTTATATTTTTACTGACATATAAGTCAAACGCGTTTATGTTGGGACAAATGTCTCACTGCTTAGAACTATCTATCTATGTAACTATGCACTATCCTTGGATCCCTATAGTCTAGCTTATATATGCGCATGCACCCACAAGTTAAACAAGGGCCGCAATGCCGTGCGCTTACGACTGGCCTTGAATCTCGTCATTATACAGTTTTACAGCAATATATAGAGGAATATTTCATAAATAGAATAGACACGAAAGTTATTTATAAAACGAAATTGTGATGTTTTATATGTACAAAGACAAAGTGTCGAGGACATAAACTGGAATTATGGTTATTGCAATAAATTATTATTTATATATATGAACTATAATTGAATCTTGTTGCTTGTTTATGAATTATGTGTATCGGCATGTGTGTCTAAAGCGCAATTTTATGCCGCGTTTTAATTTTACAGTTACCCACGTTTTCTTGCAACATTCATATATTCGCAATACGCAGGATTAATTTATTTTCAAATGAATTGTCTTTACAGCCTGTTAACATGAATATATGAAGTTGCCCCCCCAATTATCGATGCTGGCTACGCCACTGAATTGTGCATGCATGTAATGTTTAACGACAATAATAACTTATAAGATCGTGTTTTCATGCATAAGTCTCGGATTAGGACCTATTTAAATATTCGTATGTATAAAAGCATGCCAATGGCAATAATTGTTCGGGAAAATGCTAGGAAATGTTTATCGCCTACGCCTGCTATCAATATTCCAAGTCAAGAATAATATATAATCCAATAAAGGGCGTAGTTAAAGCGAGTTAAACTTCCACTTACCAGTTCAATCAGGTCAGAATATGTGGTTAATTGTCATTTTACATTACTTTAAACAGTCATTATCAACGGGTTAAATGTAGCTTTAATAATATTTAATCGAAATGGCTTTCTATAGTTAAATTCGTCTTTAATCCCTGCCTAAGAGCGACATTAAAGCTGATTAAAATGATACGATCTTGCGGCTTGCACTGCTTATATTGAATACCCCACCACACGACTTTATTAATTAATATGTCGGTATTAATGAATATTTAGTGCCTTTAATAAACAACATTCCCTTGTAAAATAACATTCCCTACTAGTTAACTATTACTAAAAACATTATGTCCTACCTTCTTACTCAGTGGTGGATTTCCAAAATATAAGATCAGTCACGTAATACAGGCAATTTAAAATGCCTGAAAAGCATGCGCAATATTTAGTTCAGGAACAAGCACAAGATAAAAGTAAACATTGATATTGGATGATTGGTTTTAAAGTTTAGCATAAATATTCTGCATGGCCAGGCTTTTAAGTGGGTTGTTTACATGATCGGGGATAATTCAGAGGTACCAAGGCTCAAAGAAAAAATCAAATGATCGGTTAAAAGTGCCAATGGAATGACTTTCGTTGCAAGTCTAATAATGGCTTATAACTTTCATATAACTGAAATCTGTCCTGACCTGTTCTGTTCTGTCCATGTCCATGTCCATGTCCATGTCCATTTCCGCTTTACGTCTTGTGCTGATTTTGCAGGGTTATGAAATTTTCTACATTTGTTTCCCAACTGAACTTTGCAGTTTTTACTCATTCCCAGACTACCTTTAAAGTAATGGATTTCACTCTTCTTTTCCATATTAGAATCGATTTAGTTGATTTAACCCGATGCTGTAGGTGGAATTATTTAATGCTCTAGTTGATAGTTTTCAAAACGGGGGTAAATATTCGAGCAGGCGAGTAAATTAGGGAGCGATCGGCGCAGGTAGCATTAGAAATGCGGGTAATGCGAAGGAAAACAAAATGACGAGGAAACGCTATGAAACGCTTGCGGAGGAGGTAGTAAATGGTTCGTGCTGTGTTTGATCGTATTCTTCAATCGTGTGCAAACTGCGAGGTGTCAACGCGCCCATACACGACCACATCTTGTTAAACGGCAAAATAGCAGCGATATAATTAAAATAGGACCAGAATTTAGAAATTCATTGTTTTCACAGTCGACGAACACTAAAATATTAGCATAGCATGACTAAATTGTCGGGCTGGCTACGATAACTAGCGCTAGCGCTACTTCTAAAACATGTTCCAAGAACAAAAGCTACGCCCCTGTCATTTTTGGCATATGCAATCCTGGATATACATTAAATTTAAAGAACGTTTATTATATATTCTCAAGTTTTCCAAATTTTGTTACATGTTAATTTCGACAGAAATTTTTAGTCTGACGCTGACGCTGATAAACCCGTGGCCCTCATCTTGAAGGCAGCTGTAGGTACATCAGGTAATTACAGCTCAAGCGGGAGCAGTAAAATATTATATAGTAAGGCAAATTCAGACAAATTCTAGAGAGTAAAAATGAATCAATGGCTTCAAAGACAGCCGAATCGATCACTCAAGCTGCATCCACTTTCGGAACTGCTTCATATTTAATTGAATAAATGTTGTGGAATTTAGTTAACGCGTGGTTGAGCACACCAACCATAAGAATAGTCATTTACATAGTGTGCGCAGATATAGTGTTAGGGTCGTAAATTGTATATGTATTGTAAAAGGAATTGTTATGTAATGTTAATAGAATAGTGTAGTATAACATAGGAAATGAAGTATGTGTAATATAACATAGGAAATGAAGGTTCGAGGTAGCACGTTGTAGCAACCGCGAAACCAGTAATAACGTAAACGGACGCAAATGTGGGCTGTAGGGGAGAAAAAACCGCAGAAAAACATCCTGTGGTTCGGTAAGAGATGCGTCAGAGAAACGCATCATTGTTTGGTAAAGCATCCTGTTTTAGTGTTATAAATATAAGTTAAAATCATTGTTGTAAGTTAGTTGTGTATTAGAGCGTGAATTGTTGATTCCTGAATAAATGTAAAATTATATACAGTCCCAGTGTGTGAGATTGTGGACCAGCGAAGCGGAAAATCAGACTTGTTTGGAGATTTTCAAAAATGAATATTAGGCAAGCTTAAATGATTTTAATTTAAAAAAGCAGAAAATAAAAATTATAATTCCTAATAATTTAGAGAAAATGATGAATATTTACCGGAATGTTGTTACAGTCTGTTCGATATCCCAGTTCAGGTGTAGTGGTGAGTTCAGTCTTTATATTGACATGACTGTCTGTTGTATAACACATTGACCATCCACCACCAAATGACGTCATATCACAGTCTGCCTCGAATGTAAGGTTTTGGCCATCTCCATGTTGATCAATAATATATTTTCCGTCTGCTTTCCCTACACTTCTACGCTTTATATCAAGACAACTAGAACCTAAAAAAAGATTTTTGCCTTCAAAAACTCACATGAAGACAATGGAAAACAACTCAAAATGAAGACAATGAATAACAACTCACAATGAGACAATGGAAAACACCTCACATTGTTATATAGGTGCTGTGTATTTTAAATGTCGTCCCGTCAGGGATACAAGTGAAAAATTGTTGCCCGCTTCTTGCACTAACAAAGTGAAATGTTTTTTTTTTAAATGAAATTGTTGTGTAACATGTATGTTTTTGCTCCTATATAACAAAACACTTAATGTTCACACTACCTCGGGAAATAGTGAGTTTTGTTTTCCCTCGGGTCTCCAACATTCAGACTCTTGGGAAAACAAAATTTACGATTTCACTCGGGAGCATACATTAAGGACAATACATTAAAAACAACTCACAATGAAGACAATGGATAAAAACTCACAATGCAGACAATGGATAAAAACTCACAATGAAGACAATGGATAAAAACTCACAATGAAGACAATGGATAACAACTCACAATGAAGACAATGGATAAAAACTCACAATGAAGATAATGGATAAAAACTTCCAATGAAGACAATGGGAAACAACTCGCAAAAAAGACAATGGGAAACAACTCCCATTGAAGACAAAGGATAAAAACTCACAATGACCTTTACCTTTAATATTTTGTTTAGTCACAGATGGAATGCAGCTTGTATTGAATCTCTAAAAGTTGAAATGTTTGTAGCTTACTCGAAAAATTGGAAAATGAAAACTGTTTACGTTCCTACAACAACACTTTGTTGATACATGCAGATTATTATATAGCTCTTCCATCTTCACTTTTCTTGTGTTTTAATTACGCGATAAAATTTTAAAAGTCTAGTTGAAAAATGGATGCTGAGAGGGAAAATGGTTTTGGAAAAAGATGGACAAATGGATGGATATCTTCGCCAAAAAATCTTTGGTCCGATGTTTCTGGCTTAAAACGTTAAAGTGGAAGTCAAGTTCGCTGCTTATTGGTTCTGCTCATAACAATGGAGAGCCCTCTCTATAAAAATTTGCCCAAACATCGCATGTTTAAGATTTTTCTGCACATACGCTCTAATAATTATTATGTTCATTTATAGAAGCGTAGCGAACCTAAATACAGTATTAGATATTAAAAAAACTATTGTATTGTATAAAGAGTATTGAAGTTAAAAATGCAAACAAACCGTTTGTTTACATACCGGACTTGACTTCCACTTTAAGTATTAAGAAGGTAAAAATGCTGTCTTTTAAATACAGTCAATAGCACTCAATCCCTCCCACCTTTATTGGGTTAATCAAATAAATGTGATCATATTGAGAATTTCGCTGCAGTAATTTCTCGGAAACATTGTATGGAACGTTATGTAACATTTCACAGTTTGTGTCATTCTCCAACGGCGAGCTATTTTTAAAGTTGACCGATCTACAGCAAGGTTCACTGACACATTCGTTGACACAGACCATCCATTGCGAAACACGTTTAACCACAAAAACAGTGGTATTGAGTCGCACACCTGCAATAAATATGAACAGGGCCTTTTTTAAGTTTATAACTTGGAGGAGGGGTAGAAAAGCCCATCCCTAGCCTCTCCTTCTGCGCTCCAGCGCCAGTCCCCCGCCCATCAAAGACCCTTTTGAGTGAAATAATAGCAAAATAACCATTTTTAGAAGAAAATAAGGAACTTCTCTACACAAAGGATTCGTCAGTAAATATTTCCCAAAATGCAGGAAATGACGTCAGAGAAACTTAAAAATACAGAAAAAAAATTTGGGGTAGGTGACCCAGTTCCCGATACAAACTTCTGTATCTTATATAAAAATTTCTAGTTAGGAGCAATACGTCCACGGTTTCTTAAAAAATGTTCTGAAAATAAGAACCTATAAAATATTATTGTTTTTGTTGAAATCGAATAGACTCGTGTGTCTACTAGTTAAACTTTAAGCTATTCGGTTGATTAACTTGCATTTTCGGTTAATTTTGTATATAATGGCATTAAAGGACACTGGTAACAATTTTGTATTGCGAGACTCATCTCTTCATTTTTGTTCTTCCCAGTTAATGATGAACAAAAGCTCTTTTTGCTCTATCAAAGTTCCACGATGATATAAAAAAGTTTGCAGCCAATAATATATTTATTTAATAATTATCAGGAACAAGATATAATACATATACATATACAGTGGCAGCGGTCGGATTTGAACCCACGTCATCTAAATGACTGGTGCCTAAAACCATGCAACGCCTTAGACCACTCGGCCACGCTACCTAAGCCTGCAGCTGTCACAATTTGGAAAACTCTGTTTCTACATAACTGAGCAAAGTTTATTGCGTTACTCTTTAAGTATAAAATAGACGTGACAGTAATGCTAAAATTGCATGAAATCTGGCAGCGGTGGGATTCGAACCCACGCCATCGAAATGACTGGTGCCTGAAACCAGCGTCTTAGACCACTCGGCCACGCTACCCACAAAGCGTTCCTGCCCAACTTTCCGTTTTGCAAAGAGTACTTTCCCATAACGAGTACTATTGCCTGTGCAAAATGCATTACGATCATATGGTTAAGTATCTTTCTTATTTGTAGAAAAATATGCCAATCCGGATTGCAACTTTATATCCACTGTAAAATATTGTGTCTAGTGTATTCTCATCTTCATTAACGTTTTTGAATGTTTCACTTTCTTTTTCACGATTCATGGTGTGAGGAAATTTTGTCCAGCCAAAAAACTTTTTCTTACAAGTCCAAATTTGACAGAAGTAATTTCAAAAAGTATTTTTTAAAACAATATTATAGGAGTACTAATTTAGTATTAGTCAAAAATTGTCAGGTGTGGGATTCGATCCCACACCCACCATTGTGGACCAGAATTCCTCACCACGTTCTTAAGTCTGGCGCCTTAGACCGCTCGGCCAACCTGACGAGTAGCTACCACAACAACAATACCTACTGGTATAAAAAAAAGAAAATT